CCACAAATAATCTCTGAATACGTTCTTATGTTGTTCCCTGTCAAAACCAGCATTCCGATTTTCGAGGGGTTGTTCTTTGAGCATTATTATTGATAGCCATCTGCAAAAGAAGCCGAAGCCTAAACCGCTCTTCCCACAAAAAATGGACTTGTGTGGCGGACAAAAACATGTCAACTCCACACCAGTGCAAATAAACACGATCGTAATGAAATGCGCAATGTTTATCTTGAGCCCCGCGGGCTTACGATATTGGAACGGATTTGGGGAGAGGGCAGAGTTGGCGCTGCGACGTTTGAGTTCAACAACAGTTCAGTCAGCAATTCTTACTGATCTTTGTCTTAGAACAAGTCTTCCAGTGTTTTCTAAGTCATCGTAGCGTCAGGATGAGTGAAGTTAGCAATAGCGGAAATTAGAAAAGTCATCATGTTGTAAGCCTAGGCTCTGCCGAGCAAAGTCTCTGCCGAGCCTTCGCTGAGAGTTCGCAAAGCTTCCATTGGGCACGCCACGGCTTGTAGGCACTTGCTACAATCTTCTTTTGGGTCTCTACGCCTCGTATAGATTGATTTGGCATTGCGATTTTTCGACTCAGCGACAGTATTTTAGATGTACTCACATCAATAATATCTATAATAGATAAAACTTACGGATCTTCGTTTTTGCCGAAAATTTTTGGTCATTTATACCTTTAAAAAAATCATGGTAAAGTAAACTAATGTTAGTAACAGCTAAGATTAGAAAAAGTGGGCATATTGCAAGTCTTCGCCAAGTCTCCGCCGAGCCTCCGCCGAGCCTTCGCCAAATCTCCGCCGAGTCTCCGCCGAGCCTTCGCCAAGTCTCCGCCGAGCCTCCGCCGAACCTTCGCCGAACATCCAACGACTTGCCAGGCCTCGTAGGCACTTCCTACAACCTTCTTTTTGGGTATCCACCTGCCCTACGCCTTGTAATGACCGATTTCGTGTTGACCCGAACAGTCATCGGACCGAAAAGTCCAGACGCGGCCAAGTTTCCACATAAACCAATGTTTTGCGGAGTTGTCGAGGTGCAAAGCTCCAAGTTCGTTGAAAGTTGACTCAAATGATCTCTAGAGGCTTGAAAAAAACGCAAACAAAAGCTTAGCTAGTGCTGAGCAAGACTTATATTCAACAATCTTTTTTGGCGAACCTGAAAGATTGTTTTTTTGTTAAATTGAAGTACTCAAGGGGAGCTGCGCAGAATTTTTTGAAATTTTCTGTAGATACAGTGACGACCTGATCCAGTGGCAAAGAACGTACCATTTTGCATCCGGGAAGTATCAAAAATGTCGCGAAAAGCTTCTCTCGGTCCCCCCACTGTACTGCTTCCAAGCCATTTATAAGTTTCAAAAAAATTTAGCTTTTGCTTTGCAAGTACGGCTGAGACATTCAACAATCTTTGTAGGCCAAATCAATGGAAATTTAGGAGGGGCGAAGGGAGAAAAGACATTTTTTGGCCATATCTTTTCCATCTTTGATAAGAATAAATTAATTGATTGTTAAGAGTTACCAATGTTTCAGAGTATTTTTTATTTCGTATTTTACAACTTTTTAATATCCTTTTTTTCCCAACAAAATTATTCACTTTTTCTTTTCAATAATGTAATAATGCCAGCTTATCGCAACAATATCCCATTAGACATTCAAAAAGGCCCTAATTTCCCATTCCCCCCTCCCTCACATTAGAAGGCCAAAGATCCTCTGGCCAAGTGCCGTTGACCCCAAACTTGGTGGTGTTCGATTACCACTGTTTCGACGTTACTGTCGTATCAATTTTCGCAAAAACGACGCCGCAGAACCCGCATTTTTTTGCAGCGGGCGTTCCAACATGCCTACAAAAACAAGTGATTTTGGGGTAAACAAGCATGGATAATCGTGGTGAACACGAGGAGGGGATAGTTATAGTTTAGGCTGGAGGGTTCGAGTCGCTCTAAAAAGGGTTTGTGATGGCGCTGGCTACAAAAAAATGCTGAAAAAATTCCATTTTTTGTCAGCGCTTTTATAGCGGAAGGGCTCAAATTGCGATGATCGTATTTTGATGACAATTCGCACAAACATGAGCTTTTTATAAATCATTTACGGGGTTCGCGCTTTGCAGAGGCCACCGAGATTTTGATATTGCTTTTTTTGACGTTTCAAAAAACGTGTTAGTTAATCGATATGAACAACAAAATGAAATGGGTAGACAGAAAAAAAACGGAGATTTTTGTGATACAAAAATCTTTTTTCCTAACCTAAACATTTTCGCGTCAGGACCCATGGAAAATCATGCATTTTTTCGGGATACCCTGTAATCTCGGACCGATTTTGGACGCTCTCTCATTTCGCAACAAAAATTATCTGATCACATAGAAGTCTGTCGGGAAAATAATGAGCAAAATGTCGCTATCGCGTCACCGAAGTGAAAAGCAATCTGATTGTGTCGCGAAACAATTCATTTTCTCGGCGGATTTTCGCTCCGACAGAATGCTCATTATTTTCCCGACAGACTGATAATATCAGAGATGTCTGTCAAGAATTATATTCGCGAATACTTTTCATTGTCCTCGCAAAATCTCTAGTCCTATCACAATTTAAATTACTCTCATTTCCAGCCGAAACTCGGCGGTTTCGCTCGCTAGACTGCGTCGCCACTTCTCTCGTGCATCTAATTTGCTCTTCTGCATTTATGACCTTGCAAATGTTTTCAGTATACAACTGCTCGAATTGCCGGCGGGCACAAACTTGAATCCCCCTCCATTACGTCCAATTACATCCAATTTCGGAGGCGTCATTGGGGACGCACATCACAACCCATCTCAAATTCGGGCCGTGTTTTTTGTTTGCGCCCGCTTTTACGCTTCGCTTTGTCGCAATTTTTGGGGCGGTTTCGCGGAACGGTGTCGTGTCGACGACTGATAACATTGTAGTTTTAAAGGGCCGTCTTTTGTCCTCTTCTTACGCTTGGGCGCATTTTTGTTGCTTTGTACAGTAAAACGGGTAATAATGGCTATTGTTTCGGAGGATGCACTTTTGAATGGGAACCATCTTTAGACGGGTTAAAGTAAGCTTACGGGAATGCGAATATTATAAAGCGTCTGAGAGCGAAATCGACTCTATTATAAGAACATTTTGGCAAAAAGTTAATGACTTATTTGTCGACCAAAAATATTATATTATACTATAGAGTTGATAGACTCACAAGTGAAGTGTTCAAAGTACGATGCTCAGATTTTTTTCAAATTTGACATAAAAATTGGATCTGTCATAGATATCAGTCTCTGAGAATTTTAGCTGACGCTTTGCAGGACCAGCCGAGATATTTATCAATGTTTGTCGACGAGAGAGTACGCGAAATGCCGAGTGCGGTCAGAAAGAAAACACTTTTTCGCCATATTTTTGCTAACTTCGCGGGGAAAAGTTTTTGATTTTTTTGTTGGGCACGCGCTATGCAGAATATGCGAGATTTTTATCACAAAAGTCGGACAAAATTCGGCGCTTCTGCGAGTTTTTGCATGAAAAGTTTCAGTCATATTTCTACCGTATAGGGTTAATGCTTCAACAAAAAATTCATTTTTTCCCCGCGAAATTGGCGGAGATATGGTCGCAAAATGTCTTTTCTCTGACCGCCCTCCGCATTTTGCGTACTCTCTAGACGACCGATAAATATCTCAGTTGTCCCTGCAAAGTGTAAGATGAAATTTTCAGGAATGGAGGTGTAGCCGAAGTGTGTGCAAAATCTAAAGAAAATCTGGGCGTTATTTCCCGAGTTTTATCAAGTTGTTCTACAGGGTGGCCAGAAAAAACGAAAAATTTTTTTAATGGGTCCTAGCGCGAAAGTGTTTTGGTGTAGCCAACTGATTCTTTTACCATTAAATTCTCCGTGTTCTTCTGCCCCAGTTCTTTGATTTTCATATCCATATCGATTATTTAACTTGGTTTTTTTGAATGTCAAACAGAGGGACCTCGATTTTGGACATTTTTTGTAGCTGTTTGAATTTTTAATATCATCCCATCCTTTTCTCCTCCTTGTGGTCTAAGTTTATACATAGCTCCAAACAAAGCTTAGTGTTCTACGATTTATCGCTTCTTCCCATTTTTCCGAACTTCTTTTATGGCCATCGTTCTGGACATTAAAACGTCCAGCATTAATCCCCATCTCCCCGCTCTTCGCATTCATTTTTCTCAAGCGGCTCATCTCAGATTGCACGTACGCAAACTCTACAACTCTATGATTCCCTGTACTGACATTTGAAGGCCGTGTAATCCCTGTATTTGCCGCTAATCATAATTTATTCATCGTTTTTTGAATCGACTTAACTTTAGTCGCTAAAATATAATAAGTGCCTTACAATTGTGTTAAGCCAATATACTTTGGCCTCAGGGCTGCATAGATTGTAAAAAACGGTCTTAGACCAAGGAAGGCGGTCGAATTTACTCGGAACCAATCTTCTTTATGAAAAGATATATTTTTTCATATTTCATAGCTGTTTATGACATCATAGACCAATATACAATCTCGAACCCCATCCCATACAAAAAACGGCACTCTAAACTTTGTGCGTAACCGAAGATGTTGTTGTAGTAACGCCTTTTCGCACGAGTTTTCTTGATTTCTCCATCTGGACCCTAGTATAATATAATTTTTGGAACCCCTGACCAAGTATTCCTTTCGAATGTCCGAGAAATGGTCTCTATTTGCTCTGCCACACGTACTTTTGAGTTGGGTCATTCGTAGCCTAAGGCAATTCCGTGTTTGAAAAAACAATTTTCAGTTCCGGATTACGAATGGGTGGATATTACAAATACCAGTTTTTCGAACATGTAAAAATACATTTGGGCATGGCGTGTGGGGTAGAATGGACGCTGCTAGACGGTAATTCGTTTTAATTAACGCCAAAGGTGCATTTTCTTTTTCTTTTTTTCCAAATTTTAAAAAATACATTATACTTGATAGCTGAATTCCGAAGTCTTGGTGAAATTTTGTTTATTTGCGGTATAACGTCGCGGTTATAAGAAATAATCGGATTGGGGTTTTTTAGCGGGTGCGCCGCGGTGTTCTTGCGGGGCCGCTTCGAAGATAGTGAATTCTTTGTTCAATTTGTCGTCGAATTCCAGGATGGCGGCTACATTTCCACATCTAAAATCAGGGATTACTAATTTTACAGTCCTTTCTTGCTTCTCAATTCATTTTGAGGTCAAATCTCGTGGCTTGATCTACCATATAACCAATTTCCAGCTCAAACCCGTACTTCCCCTGCCTCAAAACTCATTTTGTCTCAAAAATCGTCTACTACAATATAATTTTTCCCCACACCACCCTATTTCCTCAATTTACCCTAGTCTTTCGCTTCGAAATTCTCCTCTCTTACCTATAACAGTAATTGGGGGCGGACCACACCGTCAGAACAGTCTCATTAAAGTGCCATTTGTAGCCTTCCATGACCAGTTGATGTGCTCGACAAATCAGTTCCATTTTGTTGTTCTCGCAGAAACTCTGCACCACGTCCGGCCCGAACAGGAATCCCGCGCCTCGCGGGCTCATCCCGAACCCGTTCCCGTCCTCGGGGTCGGACCAGAGCAAGTCGCACATCGGGCCGTCGTGTGGGACTTCCTGTTTTCGGTCGATCACTCGAATGTCGTCAATGGTCGATATCGACGGGGAGAGGCCTCCGTGCACGCAGAACACGCGGTTGTCGATGATTGCGGCCAGCGCTAAGCAGTCAAACACCTCGGTGCAGAATCGCCACACTGTCGAGCAGCCGTATTTCCGCATGCATTCGTCGTAGAATCCATATACCTGGAAACAATCCGTAAACACCTCTCCAACGGAATTCTTGAGCTTTTATCAAGGCGTTCCGGATTTTATGGCTCTTTTCCCAATTGAACATGTGAAGTTTGGGAGGGGGAAAGCGTCCAAGAGTTGATATAATAGGTGAAAACCCAGAAGAATGTCCAAAAAAGAATAATATTGGAGATTGGAAGTGATCTGGAGGAATATTTTTAAAAAAGGATTGGGTTTTTGAAACAAAATTTGGACTCTTTTATTAGAGAAATGTTCGAGACGTTTAGCTCATGTTTTACGAATCCCGGCACAAATTAGATTAATCTTTTCCAAGACATATTCCAGATTTTTAGATCGCGTTTTGCAGAAATCACCGAGATTTTAGTGGCCAAAACTAATTTCAAACAACCACTGACCAAAAATCTCAATAATTTCTGCAAAATGCGGTCTAAACGTCTGACAAATGTCTTAGTAAAGCTTATTCCAAATTTGTGTCACGCTTCGTAAAACACGCGCTAAACATCTCGAGCATTTCTCTAATAAAATAAGTCCAAATTTTATCAGTCTGTCGGAAAAATAACGGCGGATCGTCGCATCAAAATGTCTCGCCTCGCCGCTGTCGCGCACCAAATCCCAATCCGCGGCTTGCAGTCGCAAAGCGATGATGGGCGATTCCGAGGCGCGACGATCCGCCGTTTTTTCCCGACAGACCGATATTTCAAAAACCCAATCCTCTTAAAAAAATATTCCTCCAGATCACTTCCAATCTTCAATATTACACTTTTTTGGACATCTTTCCGGTTTTTCACCTATTGCATCAACTCTTCGACCCCTCTCCCCTAACAAATTCCACATGTTCAACTTTGAAAAGGGCCATAAAATCCGGAACGCCTTGATAAAAGGTTATCAGCCCCATAACCAATCGGCGAAAAGGTCTCATTCATTCCCCAGGCAACGCAGAAATTCATGATACATTCTTCGTTCGACGTGCCCTTATTAATCCTTTAATGTGTTTACATACAATCCCATCCCAGGCTTTCTGAGTCACTGTAGCCAGAGAACCGGGGATGGGGTCTTGGGGCTCCTACCATCTTCCTTTAATCTAGACTTTCACGTCGATTTAAAAGTACAGCAACGTTCTCTGATGACTCGGCTCAAATCTCAAAACACTTAAGCTCTCTATTGTAATCCATGTCAACAACTTTTTGAAAAGTGTGTGAACTAGTATTCTGTCACGTATTTAGTGCACGTTCGTACAATTCGACCAGAAAAATACGGTGAACACTTGTTCTTTGAGTTTTTGTGGGTATCAACGCGTTCTTTGCGGCTCTGTAGGTATCAACATGGTCTGGGTAATCTTTTACTCACTTTTTTTGGGGATATATAATGCTACACGGATCCATAAAGCCGCTAAAGACCTTTGGATACACTTTTTGAAGTATGAAATAATGCGAGACCAAAAAATTTTTTTCAATCTCTTATTTTTAGATAGTCCCATACTTTTGCCAAGTCCCAGGAAAGCCTTCCCGATGCTTTTTTCTTCTTTCTTGACCCTTGCTATTACCAACTAAACTAATTTTATTTCCAAAATCATCTACTACAATATAATTTTCCCTGCAAATCCCAAAATTTCCGCTAATTCCTACCTGTGTGATCTGTCGGCTCTCATGATTCCCTCTGATCAGGGTCATTCTGTCTGGATATCGGACTTTGATTGCCAACAGCAATAGGAACGTCTCCACCGAATAGAAGCCTCTGTCCACAAAGTCGCCCATGAACAAGTAGTTGGTTTCGGGGACGTTTCCGCCGACCCGGAACAGTTCCATGAGATCGAAAAATTGGCCGTGGATGTCGCCGCAGATTGTGACGGGCGGATCAATGTACTGTACATTCCCTTCTTGGATCAGGATTTCGCGCGCTTTGGAGCATAGGACTTTGACCTGAAAAATTGTGGGAAAAATTGCGTGCAAGTCAAGTGCAATGTCAGGCTTCTTGTCAAAACTTCCGTAACTAACGGCAGCGCTCTGACAGGCCTCTGTAAATCCCGTTTTCTTACTTCGTTCTCTGTTGGTATTTGACATTTCATGAGGGTTTCGATTTGTCTGTCCAGGTCGTTGATGGTCAACTTGGCGTCGGTCGGCATTTTGATTGCGCTTTCTTCTTCCGATGCCATTTTTTGTGTGAGTGGGTGGGGGGAGGGTGGTTAGATCACCTGGAATGATTTTACTTCACTCTGTGATACAATCCTTCAACTGTTTTATAAGTAACGTGATGCCTTTTCCGAGGATAGGAGAAATAAACTGCAAGGCGCTAGAGACGTTGTATTTTTGGGGATAAGGAAGAATCAAGCAAAGAGAAAACCATTTTTCAATCACAACTTCTCGGATTTCGCCTAGAAAAAAGTTTATTTTTTCTAGAAATAATGTACTCCCCACTTCTCAAATGCGGAATACATTTTTTCTACAAAAAATCAACTTCTTCCAGGCAAACTCCGAAAAACTATGATTGAAAAACGTCTTTCTCTTTGCTTGGTTCTTCCTTATCCCCCAAAATACAGCGTTTCCAGCGCCTTGTAATTTATTTCTTCTATTCTTACACTATTCTGCGAATAATTTCCTGGAAAGTCTTCTCCAAATTACCGATTTCCCACTGGTTTCTAATCTCTGTTCTCGGGGCAAAAAATAGAAACCTTTCCACAAAAAAATCTGACGTATATTTGGGGTCATCCCAATTGCTATGCAGTCATTTTTGGAGCGCCCTAATCGGGGAGGGGGGATTAGGTGTCAAGGGGCGGCACAAAAAGCTCTGTGTGTTCCTGGGGCACATCTCTGGTCTTTGAAACCGAGAGGATAAAGATCCCATGAAACTCTAATCTACGTATTTGAAGTTCGATATTTTGGGACGCGTATTAGTCGAGTGGATTTTACAGTATTTGTTTCATACTTTGGCCATGTATTTTGCCCATTTTTACGCCTAACTCATCCATTTACGTTATTTTCCAGAGCTTTGCAATTGTCGTTTTTCGCAATTTCCGTGCTTCGCCATTAGTCGACTTCCGCTTTGTATTATCCCAATTTCAAACGAGATCTAGCAAAAATCCCGACTAGTCATGACTTTATTGACATTTTACAAGAGAGGAGTGGAAGAAAGAAAGCTTGCACAACAATCTCCTTAATGCTGTTGCACCTCTTATTTTGCCTCGAAAGGCTTCAAAAACAACCGCTTATGCTCATTCCATGATAAACTTTAAAAACCTCGATCACACTACAATAATCTTTAGTTGTTGGCAGTACATTTCAAAAAATACCATTGCGTGCGGGCGTTGCGTGCGCCTGCCGGACCAAAAAAAAAGGTCGCGGATCATTTTTCGGCCGCTTACAATGAATTACTCACTTCTCACAGCAATTGGCACATTTCGTATATACTTTCATCCCCTATTTCCAATCTTATACTACTTCGCGACTACAACATCGAATTTTTTAATTTTCAAAAAATTGCCTACTACAATATCCAATTCTAAAAATTTTAAATTTTCAGCCTAATGTCAGCATGATTTCTTGCAATGTCAGTGAGCCATGGAGACCCATGGGCCATGTGTTGGACCTTTATGTTTTGCCAGCCGTTTGTGTGGTGGGGTTGTTGTTGAACATGGCTTGTTTATTCGTATTTACTCGTCGGTAAGTAACATTACTACTCAAAATTCCAGACCAATCGTTCATTTCCGGATGGAATATGAGAGCTAACTCGAATACAAATTCATATTCGAGTCCAGCTTTCATATTCCATTCGAAAATAAACGATAAGCCAAAAATGATTGCGGGGGGCATTGGACTACATTTTCTCAAAAACTGTGGCCGGAAACGCTACCTTGTTCACTAATCCGACAATTGTAAATTGCCTGTTTTGTCTATTCCAACGATGAGATCGGAGCGAACGAGGGACGGGCTTTGGGGACGGCCACCGCGCTGAAGTTTGAAATTCCAAAATAAGATGATTTTGGGAAATCAAAAATTCATTCGGCCCCACAAATCGTCAAAATCAAAACATTTGAGATCATTTTTAGCCCAAAATAGGTTGCCGCATGCCAAAAAATTATCAATGACCTACTACAACATCTCATATCCATCAGTTTTCGTATAATAAAACCAATTTTCAGGCGATCTCATCCCTTAGTGCCAGCGCTAATCGTTCTCAGTGTTTGCGACTCCCTTCAACTCTTAATTTCACTATTCGTCCTTTATTTACCAGCTCTACACGATCACCTAGAGATGGACCCTTTCGGGACGGTTGCTCAAATCGCCTATATTGCCACAGGGGCTTTGGCTGGAGGGCTTTTGGCTTCTAATTGCGCATCAATCTGGACAATGTGCTATATCTCAATTCAGAGGCATCGGGCGATAATTTCGCCGCTATCTACCGTCACCGACGCGCGACGTTCCGGGATTTGGGCGCTGGTTGGGATCGCCGCCGCCGCTTTGTTATTCAACTCCCCAGTTTGGTTTGAATTCTCGTGGTCGTTGGAGGAAGTGGTGACCGAAAATGGGGAGAAGCGGCGCATTCTGTGGCATGCTCCTTCTGCGCTGGCGCAGAGTGCAACCTATCGATTCGTTGTGAGTTTTCATTGCGTTTATTCGCTTTTTTAACTAAAATTTTCTTGCTTCCAATGCGCTTTGCGACTTTTTGGACTTACTTTGGCAAGAAGGTTAGAAAAAGCTCAAAATGAGTTCGAATTTGAAATCAGAAAGTGTCGCAGAGGCCAAAAAAGGGGTTTCTTTCAAAACCAAAGCCTTTTTTGTCTCTGCGACACTTTCCGATCCCAAATTCAAACTCATTTTGAGCTTTTTCTAACCTTGTTCCAACCAAAGCCAGTTCAAAAACGATATCACCAGCAATATTTTCGCTGTCCGTTCTAATAATTTCCCTAAATTTCCCACTTTTTCAGAACCGCCAAGTTCTCTACCCAATCGCCGTCTACATTGGGCCTTTAGTCTTAATTTCGGTGCTCAACCTTCGGATCTTGACGCACATTTTCTCGGCCAGCAAGACAATGGTGCAGTCCATTGGGTACCAGCGGCGGATGGAGAAGGAAAAGCGCGCCATTTGGCTGCTCATTTCCATTGTGCTCTTCTTTTTCTTGTGTCATACTGGTGAGCATTGTCTTTTTTCTTACATTACAGTAATTATCGTATCTTTTTGGTGACAAAAAAATGCTTCTTCTTCAAAATTTTAATACTAAAATTTTCAGGTGGTCTTGTAATTCGTTTTGTGGATCACAGAAAGTACGGGAATGAGCCTTGTTTCGTATTTGCCAAAGATTTCATCAACTTTTTGTTCAATATCAACTCGTTTGTCAACCCAATGGTAAGTCTTTCCATTATTTTTCCCCTTATCTCTTTGGAATTTGACACCTCTTGAGTAAACAATTTCTTATCAGAGGAATTAAAAAATTAAATCAAATACGTGTTAACTACCCGTTTTCGGGGTTCTCACCAAAAAAATTTCGCGATATTCAAGCTTTTCTGACCAACGCAAACTCAAAAGGGATACTGTAACTTACTTTGTGTTTGAAGCCGGGGGTGTGGTGAGATCTGTCGAGTGCGTTTTGGGGACCCTAAAAGTAGTTTATTTAGTGAAAAAATCAACAGAAACAGCTTTAACAACAACAAGATCGCGAGAACGCCTCGAAATTCCAAAAAAATCAACAAAAAGAGACAAAAATACACAAAAATCATCAAAAATAGACAAAAACCTTCAAAAACAATAAAAATGTTAGTCGAAAAAGGTCCTAAACCCCTTAAAAATCTGTTATAAACCCTCTAATTAATCTGCTTTCAGCTGTACTTCTTCTTCACAAAACAATTCAAGGATCTGCGGGTCAGCTTTACATTCCTCAAACGGGACAGCCCGTCCCGGCTGCTACAAACAACTTGGCTGGAGAACGGCAACCGGGACAACTCCATCACGAAGCGTCTGCTGAGTCGGCTTTCGTCGCGCTCGATGGTGTCCAGGAGCAAGAGTAATACCTCGAACCAAATCTGATCTCCCTAAAATTGCAGTATGCTATCAGCCGAAGCCGCTGCGCGCCCAGAGCATACACTGCCAGCCGGTGGCGGCGCAGAAACAGCGGCCGCGCAACTCAACCCTGGCCGTCTGTTGGAGCGACACGCGGCCGATCGCGGCTTCCAAGAGCCGCTCTCAGGACAATTTTGGTGGCTAATGGCTAATGTGGAATATCAAATAAGTGACCTTGTACAACCGGTTCTACTCTCTAACTCATCTCTCCTCAGGGTATAATAAGAATTGTAAATTAAGACCATCTTTGCGATGAATAATATGTAATAAAAAATTTTTGATCATCAGACCTCTAAAGTAACATAATAAATCAAAAAATCATGTGGAATAACCGGGGAAACCCATAAAAATCTGTAAAATGACATAAACAGGTAAGAAAAGGCATAAACCCGGTGATAATCGAAAAAAATCCCCAAAATATCACCAAAAACATATACATCAACCTAAAGTAATATAAAAGTCTCTTCTAAATCTTCACGCAGTACAACCTCTGCTGATTGATAACCTCATTGGGGATTAAAACAAAGTGAGCAAACTTCTTATCCTCGCTTAACCGAAGATTTAGAGGTATTCGAAGAGGTGGAGCTGATCTCAGCGACACTCTATCCACTCCCATAACTCTCGTCAAAACAAAGTCGTCCAGCTGTTTGATCGCTTCCTGATTCCCCAAGTCACTGATCAGCTTCTTGGTGAGGCCAAAACGGTCGTTGGACATGACAAAACATTTGTTATTGATCATCAACGCCGTCATGATTGCAAAGGTGTCATCGTCGGAACTGAAACGAAAAAAACCGTGAGGAGGGCAAAAATAATAGATTAGAGCTCCGGCTAGAGCCATAGAAAATTTGAAATGAGGCGACAACCAGGGATCAACCATAATTTTCTCATTTTTTGTTCTTATCTTCATACGATATCTAAAACAACAAAAACTAATATCAAAAAGACTTACTGTCTCTCCACCTCGACGATTCTGAGTCCATGGCCTCTCAACCTGGGCTGATGCTCAGCCAAAACGTTTTTTCTTATGATCAGCACCACTTCCTCATATTGATCTTTCAACTTTAACAGGAAATCCAAGGTCCCTTTGCTATTTGCGGAGTATCCCCCGCTCAGAACGTTGAGCGTATCAACCACAAGACATTCTTTTGTGGGCCTGAAAATTAATAATCACAAGGATCGTGGTATTTTATAAGGTATTAGATTTATGCCTAAAAATAAAAAAGATAGCAAAACCCTCACATTTTATCATTGTGATCCCGTTTGATAGCTCGGATAAGTCCTTGAACATTCATATAATCACGAACACAGCCGCTAATTTTCCGTTTTACCGACTTCTCCATATGGGCAATCAAAACTTCCTTGAGGGTATCGAAATTACTCTCTTCTAGGTTTACAGCTCCAATTTTTGTTCCACAATTTTTACAGCTGTTCGATTCGACGGCAGAGTCCGTTAACTCGCCCTTTGCCGCCCTAAAATCACAATAAACCCATGAAAAAGACTTACACAGTTGCCTTCGAGATGTGTTCGAAGTCTTCCACAAAAATCGGAGATTTACCAAATTGTTCTAGAAAAGGTGTAAGCCAATCTTTCCCGGAGGCTTGAACTCGCTGAATATATTGCTCAAAAAGAGTCGCATTTCTGTGAAGATTGTAGCCGTGTTCAACGAAATGTTTCAGTATCTAAAAACGGAAAATAAAAAAAAAAATTATATTGTACTTGCCTTTCTAAATTCATTCATGTCATTTCGTCGAATTGCTTCGACTGCTAACACTTCAAAGCATGTCGAGGACAAAACCCCGTAATCAACAAGCTGTATTGGCCAGTTACCCGTCGTAACATCGAAGATACACTTTGTTCCAGCAGAAAATGGGCCTTGTTTTGGCAATAATCCTTGAAAAAGCCGATAAATTTCACAATCTTCCGGAGAAATAGGGGCTTGAATAAACGCAGCGGCAAGGACCTTTGCAAACAGCACAGAATTGTGGTCGGTCAGGAGCTGCTGTTGCAGAACATTCGTCAAAATTGAATGGATTCGGGCTGGAGATGGCGCCTTGGACAAAGCGATCAAAAAGGCTTTCAAACTGGGCGGATTTAAAACTTCGAACACTTCGGCAAGATCATTGGCACTTCGACGACAATTTTCCGGCCATTCGTCCAGATAAAACTTTATTCCAAGCCCCGTTGCTTTGAATTTTTTCGGAGGCACCTAAAACAATATAAATTTTACAAAAAAGGACTTCGCAAAACCGCTTGTTAAGCGATATTTGCAGTATTTCGGGATAAAAAGTCTCAAAAAGATTGTAGAAAGCTCCATGTTGCCGACCTAAACGTAGAAACAAATAAATCGCGGGAAAAAACTTACCTGTTTTAGATCCACGTGGGTCGCAAATCGGCGAACCGCCGCTAGCCGTAATATCGAACGCATTTCCCGTATTCCGAACATCTTTATCAACAGGAAGCGATCGATCGGGCTTATCCTAAAGACAGGGATTTTATTTCGGAACAAAATTCCGTTTGCGAAATAAAGCCGAGGAGAGCCAGGACGAAATGCCACGGAATTTATCGGATTTTGACACTTTGCAACATTCTTTAGTTTTTTTGTTTTTGAGTGGGGAATTGCTCGGAAAAGCGATGGGGTTGGAGTAGAAAGCTTTGCTTCATGATCTAGGATATTTTTTTTGCCAAAATAATTTGAAAATTAACTTGGATATATTAGTTTAGGTCGCCAAAATATTTTTTTTTCAAGTTTATTGAATAAAACTCCATTATAAAAATACAACAGGTTAAAAAACCCGTATGAAATACAAAATCAAGTCCTATTTACGGTAAAGGCTTACAAAAATGTTGTACTAGTTAGAAATCGGTTAAAAATTTGGTTTGGAATAATGTACAAGACAAAGTTCAATTCTCGCTGTGCGCATCGGCTTTGTCCGTTTTGTAGTAGTGCTCGTGGCCAGTGTAGGGGCTGACGGCGGCGTTCATGGTGGAGGTGGCGATCAGGTAGAGGATGGCGATCAGAATCAGTAGGATCACGACGTTCACCACCAGGATGATGGTGTTCTTGTCGAAGTGGGCTTCGGCCGCCTCCACCAGCGACTGTTTCCGCGCCCCGCCGCTCGACTGGCTGCTGCTGCCGCCGGTGGGGGTGAGCGAGGAGCGTCGACGCATGTGCATTCTGGGAACGGCGGCGGAAAAGGGGAACAGAGGGTGCTGCAAGGAGAATTTAATATTTGTTTTCGAAAAAATCGAGCTTTGTCATTTGAGACGATCACGTAAGGCACGGGTATAGAGGTTTTGCGGAAAAATCATAATGAAAAGGCAAAACGAAGTCTGAGAATTTTTAAAAACAAGCCAAAATGACAATCTAGGGCAAAAAAATGGGGATTTACAGTGGGGGACCTGATCCAGTGGCAAAAAACGTACCATTTTGCATCTGGGAAGTGTCAAAAATATGGGAAAATGCTTCCCTCTCCAAGTGAAAAAACTTCGAAAGGGCGCGCCCTTCAAAACGAAGTTTTTTCACTTGGAGAGGGAAGTATTTTGCCACATTTTTGATACTTCCCAGATGCAAAATGGTACGTTTTTTGCCGCTGGATCAGGTCCCCCCGCTGGATCAGGTCCCCAGCCCGGCCATATGACAAGTATGGCAGGTGGTATGGATAAGTTGTTGGTTCTAAAGATTCAAAAAATAAAACTTTCGCGTCAATGCATACTGGTCCATTCGCAAAGTCGCTGAAGTGATTTTTGGCGTTTGCACTGTGCAGGCAAAGTCAGGATGCGAGCGACAGCCCAAAAAGCCTATTCCACGGTGCAAAAAGCAATAATCTGCACAGTGCAAAATAAAATTTTGTGTTCGCACAGTGCATGTCGCTGAAGTGATTTTTGCGACATGCACTGTGCGGAAACAAAAGTTTTCTTTGCACTGTGCAACTTCCGGCTTTTTGCACCGTGCAATAGACTTTTTTGGTCTGTCGCTCACAACCTGAATTTTTGCGGCACAGTGCAAAGGTCAGAAATCACTCCAGCGACTTTACTGACTAGAAATGCCCAAAATGCTCTAAAAGTGCGCCTTCAAATTGATCTTTCTTTTATTCAGACCAAAATGAGCTCACGATAGGGAAAAGCGGAGTTATTTCGAAGTGTTAGTATTTAGGAATTAGTATTAATCACCCGTTCTTTAGACATTTTCAGTTTCACTCTTGGTCTGTGACGTGGGGGAGAACGTCGGAAATCGTTGAGCTTTGACAGCTTCGATGGAGAAAAATGGGAATAAGATTGATGGGACTTTTTGTCCGAAAGAAAACGCAAAATGAGGAGAATCGGGTAGACGGAGAACGTTTTGCGGAAAGTCCTGTTTCAAAAAATTTCATTTTAAATTTGACCTAAGATTAGTCGAATTAGAATCTGTAATCTCAATTTCAAGTAGAGCGAAATTTATATTTCTAAATTTTAAAATACAGCAACTTCTGGCTGTCTCTCCTCATTTTCCGTACTTTCTGACCTGCAAAGATCGAGGGATATCTCGGCTAGGCTTGCACTGGGCTAGCTGAAATTTTCGATTATTCATTTGTGGTCTACAGTGGGGGACCTGATCCAGTGGCAAAAAACGTACCATTTTGCATCCAGGAAGCATCAAAAAATGTGGCAAAATACCTCATTTTTTGTGAGGGGAAGGGCGCAAAGTTCAAAACGAAGTTTTCTCACTTTTTTTCGCTTAGAGGGGGAAGCATTTTGCCACATTTTTGATGCTTCCCGGATGCAAAATGGTATGTTTTTTGCCACTGGATCAGATCCCCCACAGAACTGGCAGGCAAGATTCGAAGAAAATAAGTGCGTCGCACATCGGGGATTTCTCTGCGGAACTTCATTACAACAGACCTCCTTAAGTCACCACAAAACATCAGTAAAGTGTATCAGTCTGTCGGAAAAATAACGGCGGATCGTGGCAGCAAAATGTCTCGCCTCACCGCTATCGCGCACCAAATCCCAAGTCGCGGCTTGCAGTCGCAAAGCGATGATGAGCGACTCCGAGGCGCGACGATCCGCCGTTATTTTCCCGACAGACCGATATATCATAAACTGCAGTAGTCGGCTCAAAAAGTCCTTGGAATTTTGCACCGTGCGGTTTTTTCGCATTGTCTGTCGCGCTCTGAAAAAAGGATTTGCCACTGGCGAAGAATGGGAATCGCGCGCGACAAACAAAAATGCACAGTGCAAAAGGTGTTTCGGGTCGAATGCACTGTGCAATCCACTTTTTTCGCGATTTTCGCAGCGACGCTCCAAAACGAGCAAACCTGCACGGTGCAAAATTCCAAGGACTTTATGCGCCGACTGGAAAATGACAATAGAAGTTATGACCCCAAAAACCTCGATTTCCCTCCAAAAAATTCGACAACTCGCGAACAACCCGGCCAATTAATTCCCCATTCAACCTAGCTGTGCAAAAACCCCTCCGGCACTGAGCGGCCCCTCGTAGATCCCAACGTTTTCCCGGCCCCAAACGTGACAAAAACAAAACAAAACGGCGAAAAGGAACGTCTTGAGGCCATCGGATGAGGGATCAGTTGTATTTCGACAGACTTTTGTTCCGAACAGGTGAGGATGTCTCGGCCAAAATCGCACGGAAAATATTTGTTCCGTGCCTCCGGGCTATATAAAAAACAAGAATTGCACACGCCGAGGGAGTGCGGGATGAGAGAGCGAACATGTGCTGATCGGGCTAATTAAGCGGCGTTAAGAACCCGATAAAATACGAACAGAGGAGGGGCTGTAAATCACGCTGATGGCGGGATCCGGAAGTATTGAGGTCTAATGTAAGGAAAGGATAATTAACGCCTCTGTACAGCAAGGCCATGGATCGGGGCTTAAAAATCTTTATGTTTCCAGAAAATGTGTCATTATGACAACGATTTAAAATGTGCTACTAGTGTAAAAAACGGCTGTATATGGCTAGTAACAGTCCTTAAAGGCAACGGAGAAATTTCGGTCATTACAGCGAAAAAAGTTTTAGAAAATCCGTCATCCAGAACGCGCATTGCAAAAGTGTTAACATAATTTTTGTTGTGGACACTTTAGTGAGTACTCCTAGCAATATACGGCTTTGTTTATACCACTGGCATATCTTCAACGGGTGTCATCGTGACACTTTTTCTGGACACACAATGTAAGGGAAGTATAGAAAAATAATTCTAAAAGGTCTCTACATGTAGACTGCAGTAATTCTACCACAAAAAAATCTTTGGAATCAAAATCATCCCCGAAAGAGCATTTTTTCAACGGCGAGCTGTATAACCCCCAGACGTAGCCGCAGTCGCCTTTTAAGAGGCTATTGGAAGACCTCAAAAACTTTGATTAACGATGTGATCACATCAAGTAAATATTTTGTGAATTTACGGATACACTAACGGATAATGCAGTACAAATATTGTGGAGCGGAAAAATCTGTCATGCATGTACTGTTTTGACTATTTTATGGATGAGTTTTCCTGTTTTGACTATAAAAAGTACAGTAAAATTCATATATGTACCAAGAAGCGCCTTCTATACTTTTTCAACTTATGCTCATTACAGTAATTTGCAATACTGTAATCAGCGGAACACTTGACACATTAGGGTCAACTCTTTCTTTAATTTTCCTTTTTCCCAAAAAAATATTTTTTTCGATAATTTTAGTGATAAAATTGGTATAACCGAGACCAAAGTGCGAGAAACTTTCCGTTTTTTTCTGTTTGACAATGTTAAACTTGTTCTTCCGTCTTTTTCACCACCTTTTGTCGAACCTAAAATAATATAATTTTTAGTAAGGTTGTTAAAACTTCAGATGCCCAATGTCTTCCATTTTCAAAGGGTTATCTTCTCAAACTTATTCAAGACCTCGTCACACCGTTCGATTCGAAGACAAGTCGTTCAATTTGTGAGGAAATTTGATGGCGCGAAAAATCGTGGATTGCTCAACAAATTCTTGTTTGGAAAATCATTGGCGTTGGTTGGATTGACTCTGCGGTAAGTCTAGACCGTACCTTCTTTTATCTTCTGTGTTTAGGCAAGCGGAATGTCGCGCAAAAGTGTCGAAAAGTCTTCGAAGCGAAGGCCAACGTCTGCCAGCACCTGAAGTTAGCTGGAAGGAGCTTTTCCGGTTGATCCGGCCCTATCTTCATTGGCTTTTGACGGCTATCGCGGTGAGTGCAGCTTTCTAGAGCTGTTGAAAACTTGTTTGCTTCGGTTTAGATCATTGGGAGATTAGGAATTGACTTTTGGCCTACTACAGGGTGTTTCAAGAAATTCCCCGGAAAGTAATCGTCGATTTCTCGGCGCTCAGTCAAGATATCCAAAAAAATTCTTTTGCATAATAAAGAAGAATATGGGCGGTTTTTTGCCTATGAAAATCATTTTCTCCGCCAACGCGGAAAGCAGTGTATTCGGCGGAGACTTTTGGGCACTTTTTTGGTCATCACACCCATCTTAAACGCTTTTTTATGGTTTCTGATGGTTGAAATGAGGATTGTTTGCTGATTTTTGCGTTTATCAAGCGTTCACTGAAGGTACGGCAGCTGCTCGTCGTATCTTAACTCAGCTATGGACAAGAAATAGCCCAACACAATTCCTATGGTTTGGCAAGCATTCTCTGCAGGTGTCGTAAACCCTCAAAAATCTTGTCGCCAAGCCTTGTGACAACGTTTAGCCATCGAGAAACAACTTGGTTCACTGGAAAACAACAGAATATTTTTTTTAAAATTTCTCTTTGCCATGCTGTTTCGAAAATCCGCACGGTGCGCTCCGACTTTATCGACGTTGCAGCGACTGCATTGCACCGTGCAGTTGCTTAATTGGATCGCATAGCATTGTAGCCGGCCATTTTATCCATTGTGCAAAAAATTTGAAGACTTTCTGGATGCCTAAGTGTCGCAATAAAGCATTAAAAATTCGTGTGATAACCAAAAAAGCGTCCAAAGGTCTCCGCCGAATACACTGCTTTCCGCGTTGGCGGAGAAAATGATTTTAATAGGCAAAAAACCGCCCATATTCTTCTTTATTATGCGAAAGATTTTTTTTGGAGATCTTGACTGAGCGCCGAGAAATCGACGATTACTTTCCGGGGAATTTCTTGAAACACCCCGTATAATATAATTTTTTCCAGTTTTTAGGCGGCGGTTTTAGTCGCCATTTTGAATGTCCGCATCCCTCTCCAACTTGGCCAACTTGTCAATGCGATCAGCAACTTCCTTGGCAACAAGGATCCCCAGCATTTCCAGCACATCAACCGAGCTGCCATTAATTTACTGACCTCTTACATTGGACAAGCCGTTTTCACCTTCGGATACATCTCATTTCTCTCGATTATGGGCGAGAAAATGGCCGCGGATCTACGAGTAACCCTTTTCCAACATCTTTTGCAAATGCCAATGTCTTTTTATGACAAACGAAAGGTTTCGGATCTAAGTGAACGTCTAAATTTTGATGTTCAAGAGTTTAAAAGTAGTTTTAAGCTGTGTGTCTCGCAAGGATTACGGACTTCAACACAGGTAGGACATTTTGAATTGTTTTTCTTTGATTTTTAGGCTGTTTGGATCATCTTCGACCATATTTTTGGTATTCACGACCTTGTTTTAGATCGGCGGATGTCTTATTTCGTTGTATCTGATCTCCCCATCCCTAACGCTCGCTACGGCCGGACTTTTGCCGATTGTAATTTTGGTTGGGACAGCGTGGGGGTCGGCGTTACGGCATTTGAGCAACAGATCGCAGCAACAGACCTCCATGGCGAACGCTTTGGCCGACGAGGCCTTGTACAATATCCGGACAGTCAAAAGTTTCAACACCGAGAACTATGAGACTGAGTAGGTGATTTGCATTATTGTTCCTTCATTTTTAGACTCTATGCTGCGGAATTACGGAAGGCCGAAGCTTTGAGCATCGCTCTTGGCCATGGAATTGGCGCCTTCCAAGCGGCTTCGAATATATTTTTGAATGGAGTGGTACTCGGAGTCCTTTATGGCGGCACGAAGTTGATGCTCACGACCTCGGAGCTCTCCGCCGGAGATCTCATGTCCTTCTTGGTGGCGGCTCAAACCATTCAGAAAAGTTTGACCCAGCTTTCTGTCGTTTTTGGCGCCGCAATCAAGGGATTTCAGAGTTTGGGCCGCAGTTTGGAGGTAAATTTATATTTTTTTAGCTCTGAAAAAGTCTTATTTTTACAGTATCTTCGAGTGGACCCAGAGAGACCAACGGGCCGGCAGAAAATCCCTTTCCATTCACTGGCTGGCGATGTTGTACTGGAGAAGGTCAACTTTTCCTATGAAACTCGTCCAGATGTCCGAGTTCTCGACGATTTGAGTCTCCGCATTCCTGCAGCTCACACCACCGCCCTTTGTGGACCTTCAGGCTCGGGGAAGTCGACAATTACGGCACTTCTATTACATCTGTATAAACCAACAAGTGGGGGGATATACTTGGATGGGAAAAAATACGAAGATTTGAGTGATGAATGGCTTAGAAGCAGTGCAATTGGCATCATCTCACAGGTAATGGGATGTTTCGGGGTTGGAAAGGGTTTAAAGTCGGCGAAAATTGTTTTAGACAGCAAAAAATTCAGAAAATTCGATAAAAAAGATGATTTTCAGCCGAAATTTTTTTTTTATTTGTAAGGCTTAAAATGAAGTCGGAAGTCCAGAATGGCCCTTATAATTGCAGGGGAGATTATTAAACAACGCTATTCAGCACAAAATTTGGCCTTTTGGTTAAAAATTTTATATTAATTTACCTTATTTTAGGAGCCCACCTTGTTCTCGACGACGATCGAAGAAAACATTCGATACGGCCGACCCTCTGCAACCTTTGAGGAGATCCGTGAAGCTGCTAGATTGGCGAACGCCGACTCCTTCATATCCGCCTTCCCCGAGGGCTATAACACCAGGGTTGGCGAGCGCGGCGCCCAACTCAGTGGAGGCCAAAAACAACGGATCGCCATTGCCAGGGCACTCCTCAAAAACCCACCGATTTTGATCCTAGATGAGGCGACGAGCGCCCTGGACAATGAGTCCGAAGCCCTGGTTCAGGACGCGTTGGCCAAAGCGATGATCAACAGAACGGTCCTGGTCATTGCCCATCGGTTGTCCACCATCCAAAATGCCGATAAAATTTGTGTTCTGAAGGATGGAAAAATGGTTGAGGCAAGTAATTTTGGGTGTTTAGAGAGCAGTAAAGTTAGTTTCATCAAGAAAAATTTGATTTTTGATCAATTTTTGCCTAAAATAAGGTAAATTTTGATCAAAAAAATCTTGAATACCGATAAAATTTTTGGTTGGGGCAAGTAATTCTGGGAGTTTAGAGAGCTGTAAAATTAGTTTTCATCAAAAAAATTTTGATTTTGATCGTTTTTTTGCCTAAAATAAGGTAAATTTTGATCAAAAAAAATCTTGAATTCCGATAAAATTTGTTATCTAAAAGATGGAAAAATGGTTGAGGCAAGTAATTTTGGGAGGTTAGAGAGCTGTAAAACTATTTTTCTTCAAAAAAATTTCGATTTTGATCGTTTTTTTACCCTAAAATAAGGTAAATTTTGATCAAAAAAATCTTGAATACCGATAAAATTTTTGGTTGGGGCAAGTAATTCTGGGAGTTTAGAGAGTTGTAAAGTTATTTTTCATCAAAAAAATTTTGATTTTGATCGTTTTTTTTGCCTAAAATAAGGTAAATTTTGATCAAAAAAAATCTTGAATTCCGATAAAATTTTTGGTTGAGGCAAGTAATTCTGGGAGTTTAGGGAGCTGTAAAATTGTTTTTCATCAAAAAAAAAACTGATTTTTATCGTTTTTTTACCTAAAATAAGGTAAATTTTGATCAAAAAAAATCTTGAATGCCGATAAAATTTGTGTTCTAAAAGATCGAAAAATGGTTGAGGCAAGTAATTTTGGGGGTTTAGAGAGCTGTAAAGTTAGTTTTCATCAAAAAATTTTGATTTTGATAGTTTTTTTGCCTAAAATAAGGTAAATTTTGGCAAAAAATCATCATTTTTTAATTTTTTCTCAAATTTTATTGCTCTTATTTTTAGGAAGGCACCCATTCCGAGCTCCTCAAGAAGAAAGGAGTATATTCCAAGCTGGTCGAATCCTCCAAAGGCCACAATGGAGTACTAGATTAACCTTATAGGACTTGATTATGTTGTTGTAGATAGAAAATAAACTTTGTTAAATTTCTTTGATTGATTTTTCGGCGTCTTCTGTTGTTTTCAACGGTAATTTATCGCATTTTGTTTGGTTTTCGTCACGGTAATTTTGGTCAACTTGACCGGTCAATTCGTTCGAAATTTTTTTTTGCAGTGGGGGACCTGATCCAGTGGCAAAAAAAGTGTTATTTTGCATACGGGAAGTATCAAAAATGTGGCAAAATGCTCCCCTCTCCAAGTGAAAAAACTCGAATTTCGAAAACGCGCCCGCTCTTTTTGTGAGGGAGCCTTCAAAACGGAGTTTTTTTTACAGGGGAAGTACTTCAAGTGTGACGCTCAGATTTTCTTTAAATTTTGCACACACGTCGGGTATGGACTAAATATCAATTCCTGAAAGTTTTAGCTCGCGCTTTGCGGGCGCCGCCGAGATATCGAACGATTTTTGCCGCCGAGAGAGCACGCTAAACGTGGAGAGCGGTCAGAGAGAAAACCGATTTTTGGCCATAACTTTGGCAGTTTCGTGCGGAAAATTTTGATTTTTTGTAGAAACATTATCCTTTACAGTTGAAATAGGCATGAAACTTTTCGTGCCGAAATTCGGCAAAAAGTCCTAAATTTTCGCCGACTTTTGATCTAAAAATCTCGGTTGTTTCTGTAAAGCGCGAGCTAGGATTCTCGCATATATCTTAGAAAAAATTATTCTAAATTTATGCCAAGTTTCATCAAAATCTGAGCGTCACACTTCAAGTACTTCCCTTGTTAGCTGGAGAGGAGGTATTTTGCCACATTTTTGATGCTTCCCGGATGCAAAATGGAATGTTTTTTCCACTGGATCAGGTCCGTCACTGTAGTTGAGCCAAATTGCCGGTCATATAGGGCATCTTAACTGGTCAGATTAGCTGGGAAGCATCAAAAATGTGGCAAAATGCTTCCCTCTCCAAGTGAAAAACTCGAGTTTTAAAAGCGCCCCCGCTCTTTTTGTGAGGGAGCCCTTCAAAACGAAGTTTTTTTTAGTTGGAGAGGAGGTATTTTGCCACATTTTTGATGCCTCCCGGGTGCAAAATGTACGTTTTTTGCCACTGGATCGGTCCCCACTGTATTTGTTTCGAATGCTTGCCGTCCAAGCACTCAATCGCTTTGTTCACGCCATTGAAGAAGGCGCCGCCCCCAGCGAATTTTATGAAGACATCCAACAGGCCTTTGAGATGGTGAGAAGAGAGAATGAAAGGATTTCACCTAGACTGGTCGAAAAAATCTGCAATTATTTCCCCGGAGACATTGGTAGCTTGAACAGCAAAGCGTTGCTCTTTGATCAGGAAGGTGGGAATTTTTTGAAGCATTTTTTTGGGATTTGTAGATTTGGAATACAATTTTGGAAGTTTTTGGAGAGAACTGAACGCGAATTATCGATTTTTTTATCGAAAAATTTCGAAAATTCGATTTTTTTTTAAAGTTTTTTTTTGATTTTTTAATGGTTGATTTTGAAGGAGATTTTGATTTTTATAAAAAAATAATGCTCAAATTTTTATGAAAAAAAAATAAATTAGAAATTTTTTGCACCTCTTAAGCCCCAATTTTCTGAAAAAAAAATTTTTTTGGGTTACTGTAACAAAAAATCCAAAAATTTTTTATGATGACAATTGAATTTATGACCACTGATGATCACTTATGTTCATTTTGAAGCAAATCTGAGCTTCCACCTTTGAAAAATTCACGTTTTTCTAACCTTATCTGACCTTCAGGGCTGATTATCCAATCGGTCTGCACTTACACGGAAATTTTGCGAAGTACGGATGGACAAGTAGATGTCCGAAATGACTTGGAAAATATTCGAACCCACTTTTTCGACCAATGGCATTGGATCATGGCCAACGATCGACGAAGAAATCGCGCGTTTTTCGAGGGAATTCGAGAAATTTTGGGGATTTTCAAGGAAAATTCGATGGAATCAGGGTAAGAAAGGGGATTTATAGGTGAAGTTGGGTTCTAAATTTTTTTTACAGACCCCCTGAGGGGATTTCTGGGGTAAAATAATACTTTTTCGAAAAAAAAAATTTTCAAAAAAAATTTTTTTAATAAAAAATTTTTTTCCTGATTTTCCAAAAAATTGTCTATTTTCTAGCAGATCCAAAGTCAACATTCTCGATTTGGGCTGCGGAAGTGGTCTGCTCACCGTGATGGCCGCAAAAATCGCGAAAGAAATTGGCATGGACACAAAATTCATATCGGTTGACTCGTCCCGCACTTTCGGAGACCTCGCTAAAATTACATGCCAAGAAAATGAAGTGGAGTCGGAGGTGCGGACAGTCGATTCGAGAGAGATGGAATCGCCATCTGAAGCGATCAATCTGGTGATTTCCGAAACTTTGGACTGCGCAATCTTTGGTGAGGGCATTTGCTCGTCGTTGTTGGATGTGCATAGGAGAATGAGGGTGAGTTTTTAAGCTTTAAAAAGGGCGATTTTTTGGTGAAAAAGGGGTAAATTTTGGTCTGGGATAAGTTTTGAATTTTTTTTTGATTTTTTTTTAATTTTCGAAATTTTTTTATTTAAAAATCTAGAGAATTTGGGAATTGATAATAATATTTTGATAAGTATAAAGTTGAAATGGGCAAATTGACCCGTCAAGTTGGCCAAAATGACCGGTCGAATGGTCAAGTTGCCCGGGCAAATTGGCCAACTTGACTAATCAGACCTGAAAAATTGTCTAATTGACCGGTGAAATTTCCAGTCACATCAAAAGATGCGGATTTCGGGTATTTCGGGGCGAAGTTTGGAAAAAAAATTTTTGGTAATTTTCGATCTAAAAATCTCAAATATTTGACATTTTTCTGCAAAGCGCGAGCTAAAAATTAACGAATGTCCTTGAAAATTAGGATCTGTGTTTTTTGCGGCAGTTTTTTTTCCAACATTCGACAAACAAAAATTTTTTTTGAGATTTAACAAAAAAATTTTTTTTGGTCATCAAATCGCCCAAAAAATTCCAGAGCCCCGGCGAATTTCGTGTAGTCCCCCAAACAGCGAAGCTTTTCGTCCAACTGATCTCATCCGCCACAATCAAAAAGAGTCACTACCGAGACATGGGCGATTATTGCCTCATTTCCCAGGAGACCTATCGCAATTCCCCCGCTCCGCAACAAGCCCCGTACGACTGCGAGCGAATGGAGAAGATCGAATATCAGCCGCTGTCGGAGGGCGTTCCAGTCATCGACATCAATTTTGAGGACCCAAAACAACTCGAAGCGGTGGTGGGGAACGCGGTAAATGGCGAATTTACTGTGACAACAACCGAAGAAGGCGAGGCCACCGCACTTATGGCTTGGTTTTTGTGAGTTTTGCGATTTTTTGGGGAAATCAAATTTTTTTTTTTTTTTTTTTCTTGATTTTTTTTAATTTTGCACACACGTCGGGTATGGACTAAATATCAATTCCTGAAAGTTTTAGCTCGCGCTTTGCCGGCGCCGCTGAGATATTGAACTATCTTTGTCCGAGAGAGTACGCTAAATGTGGAGAGCGGTCAGAGAAAAACACTTTTTGGCCATAACTTTGCCAGTTTCGTACGGAAAAAGTTTATTTTTTGTGGAAACATTACCCGTTACGGTAGAAATAGATATTTATTTTTTGGTGCCGAAATTCGACGAAAAGTCTCAAATTTTTGCCGACTTTTGACCTAAAAATCTCGGTTGTTTCTGCAAAGCGCGAGCTAGGATTCTCGAATAGATCCTAGAAAAAATTATTCTAAATTTGTGCCAAGTTTCATCAAAATCTGAGCGTTGCATTTGGGGTTCTTCTTCTGTTACAAAAAACGTGCCATTTTGCATCCGGGAAGCATCAAAAATGCGGCAAAATGCAAAAACTTCCTTTGAAGGGCTCCCTCACGAAAAGAGCGGGCAAATCGGACTTTTTTCAGTTGGAGAGGGAAGCATTTTGCCACATTTTTGACATTTCCCGGATGGAAAATGCTACGTTTCTTACCACTGGATCAGGTCCCTCACTGTTAGATTAGAATTTTTCAAGACATTTGTGAAGCCTTCTTTAATTCTTTGTAAAATTTTATTCTCAGCTTGGCGACCGGCCCCAAAGCCTCTCTCAGCACCGAACCAGGCCGCCATATGTGTTGGCCACAAGCTATTTTCCCCCTCCACTTCCATCAGCGCCTTCCAGCCGGCACTGAAGTCCAATTCCAATATAAAATCGAGGACGAAAAACTTTTCATCCAACCGAAAAACCTGGCCGAACCTCAAACACCGTTCGTCCGAGCGGACATTGACTTTGACTTCAAGAGTTTAAATAATGTTGCCCTAAGGGCATTCATCGCAAGATTTGTGGAAAATTCAACGGAATTGGTTGTAGATGCGTCCAATTTGGCAATTGAGAGTTCGGATGGGAAAATTATTTCGCGGCCGAAGTTTCCGGCTCTTCAGAAGTTTTTGAAGTGAGTTTTGGAGCGGTTTGAATCAATTTTTTGAATTTGAAAATTTAAATTTTCCAAATTTTTCGGTGATTTTTGCAAAGAACGAACTACAAATTTATCCTTGGAGAATTGTAACATTAATTTGAGCCAAATTTAAGCGAATTCTGAAAAAAAAATTTGGAATTTTTTTGTTACAGTAACCCAAAATTTTTTTCTTCATTCGGATTAAAACCGGCTTTGAGGTGTCCTAGGAAGTTCTACATTAAACTTGGGCCAAATTTCTCAAAATTTCAGAGACTTGTTTGGAAATTTTTTGTTACAGTAACTCAAAATTTTTGCCGTTTTTTTCAAATTCCAAAAAAACTCTGGCCTCGAGGTGTCCTGGGATTGTAAAATTGGGCGTTTTAATTTCCCAGGACACTTCAAGGTCTTATTTTTTTTGGAATATGAAAGAAGGACAAAAAATTTTGGGTTACTGTAACAAAAAATTTCTAATAAAGTCTCTGAAATTTTGAGAATTTGACCCAAATTTAACGTTGAACTTCCTGGGACACCTCAAAGCCCGGTTTTAATCCGAACGAAGAAAAAATTTGGGTTACTGTAACAAAAAAAATCCAAAATTTTTTTTCAAAATTCGCTTAAATTTGGTTCAAATTCATGTTACAATTCTCAAAGGATAAATTTTTAATTCGTTCTTTGCAAAAATCACCGAAAAATTTGAAAAATTTAATTTTCAAAATACCCTAAAAAAATTTTCAGAAAATCCGACCTCGATCCACGCCAAGCCCGATATCTCCTCACTTGGCCGTTCTCACCCTGCGGCGCCTTCAATTTGGAGGATTACATGGCCAATGAAGAGACCTTGGTCCGCTTTAATTACACCCTGTTCCCATCCAAACTCCGATTCAACGTCCAGCTGTTTTCGTCGACGGAACTGGCCCATCAATGTCATTTGGTCCCGCAAAAAGAGAGAACTGAAGCGTATTGTGGAGTGGATTTGAATTCAATGGAAACTTTGAATATCCGATACTTTGAAGAGGTGGTTTTAAGCCGAATCGAGTGGACTCCGTGCAGTGATCCAGTGATGGCTTATGAAATTGACCTTAGAAATGTGGGTTGAGGGGATTTTGAAATTTTTTGGCGGGAAAATTTTGATTTTTTTTTTTATTTTCTTTTATTTTTTTGATAAAAAACAAAAATAAAGAATATTTATTTTTTTTATTTTTTTTTGATTTCATTTTATTTATTTTTTGATAAAAAACAAAAATTAAAAATTTTTAGTTTTTTTTATTTTATTTTTTTTTTTATTCTTTTGATAAAAAACAAAAATTAAAATTTTTTAATTTTTTTTCTTTTATTTTTTTTTGATAAAAAACAAAAATAAAGAATTTTTTATTTTTTTTATTTTTTGACAACAAACAAAAATTAATTTTTTTTTTATTTTTTTTTATTTTGTTTATTTTTTCTTTATTTTTTTAATTTTATTTGTATTTTTTTTCATAAAAAAATAAAAATAGATTTTTTTTTATTTTTCCAACTAATTTTCACCTTATTTTAGCTCGCCGAAGTAATTGTCCCCCGTCCCCAAACTCTCACATTGACCCCACACCACAATTCTCCAAAATCGGATGGAATCCTCTTTTGGATCGAAGTCCTAAGCCCATCCGGCGACATTTTCTCCTTCAAAGAGCATTCCGGTGAAGTGAAAGCCTTCGTTTTCAGCAAGCCACACAATGTGGAGCAGCAATTGCAAGTGAAAGTGGATTATATCAGTGGGCGTCTTCTTTTTACAGTCCCAGAACTGAATGAGCCCGAAAATGAGACTTTTTATGAGAAATTTAGGGATATTTCTGTTTAATTATCCGGGTATTTACGGGGGAATTTTGAGGAAAAAAGTTTTTTTGGGGGTAAAAAAAAATTTTTTGAGGTAAAAAAAATTTTTGGGGAAAAAATATTTTTTCAGTAAAAAAAATTATTTTTTTTTTATTTTTATTTTTTTTTTTTTTTTGAAATTTTAAATTTCCATAAATTTTTTTGTCCCCCAATTTTTTCCACAGCTCTTCCACAGTCTCTAAAATACCATATCTTGTTATTTCCCTATTATTTCTTCAATATTTTCATAAATTTTAATGCAGATCTCATCTCACCTGACCTCAAAAACATGTATAAATAAATTTTATTCAATTTACAAAATTTCAATTTGAAAGTGTCCTCTCTTTTAGGTCCTCATCCACAAAACAAGAGATCTTGTGATCGCCGAAACTGCAGTCAAGTCCGGCTGGCGGGGTGCAAGATACAACTCGATCTCGACATCTCTGAAAATGCATAAGTTAGGGAAGTTACAGCGATTTTTTGACAAGGGTTTATATAGGACTTTAAGTGAATTCCGATTGATTTTTCACCCCTAAAAACCAAAATTGGGCAGGTAATTTTTACATATTTTTGTAGAAAACTTTTTAGATTTTTTCCCAGGCAAAGAATTGCCCACAATTAACAAAATAAAATTTCTGACCTACCATTTTATGCCCAAATTGGTACCATTTCTCCTTCCGAACGCAATAAGCGCAACTGCTCGCCCCCGGACCCAGCCTGCAAGCATTCGCAGCATCCGTTATTCGATTTTGGGCTTGTGATGCGGCGTAGATCTCGTAACAAGCGAAACAGAGCGTTGCAAGGCTGATAAAAACAGTAACAACCATAAGAATGCGGTTGGCAAGACGAAGACGCTTCATTTCTTTTGCTTTTATCTCGAACATCTTCCTGACTCGATCAGCTGAAACAGTGGAAAAATATTGTTTTTTGGTTCCTTCGACCAAAATGGATTTTTTTTGGGAAAAATTGGGTTACTGTAACGAATTTTTTTTTATTTTTTTTTTTTCGATTTTGGACTTGAAAATTTCAGGGTCAGTTAGAAGTGAGGTGCATAATAGTTCCACAAAAAATCAGTTTTTTCCGAGCAAAAGCCACGAAGCTATCCGCAAAAAACGGTTTTTGTCTGGCCGCTCTCTCGTTTTCTCATGCTCTCTCGTAAAAAAGATCGGGTAATATCTGCGTTGTGAGTGAAATCTGTGAACTAAAAATTTTAGTGATTATTTTTTGGCCTATGCAGAGCAACTGTGCCAAATTTGGAGAACATCGGAGAGGCATGACATGAGCCCTGTACTTCATAACTAATGTCAAGGATAATATCCAAAATCAAGATTTTCCGCATTTTTCTTGGATTTCTTGAATCCCAAACCGCCTCTTGTCGCTCCAAAACTTACTGGCTTGGATCCAAGCCTGGGTTACAGGCATCATATCCGCAGGCGTGTCTCGGCCAACACTCAGATTCGTGTCCGCCTGAGGCTTCTTTTCCATTTTCAGTTTATCGTCTTCGTCGACGGCGGTCTTCTCCACGACCGATTTCATTATACTCCGCTTGCTTTTACTCTTTTTGCTCCTGCTTTTCGCGGTCTTCGCTTCCACATGCTCTTCTTTGTTAGTCTTGCCTAATCGGAGTTTCGGAAGCGAAAAATTTACCATGGTTGGAAAAGCGGCCGACGGAAAGTATCAAAATTTGAGAGAATGAGTCTTCGACGAAAATTGATCACCATTTTTATTTGAATTTTTGTTTCTGCAATTTATTTTTCAAGTCCCACCACGCAAACATTGAATGCCAAAAAAATTGTGGCATTCCGCAATTTCACAAAAAATATAAAAGTTTGCCAAAAGTAGGACAAATCTTCCCAAATCTTGGCTAAAGGGCGATAAATCTGCTAAATAAACTAATTTCAAACTGTATTTTCGCTTATTTCTGTACCGTTTATATTAACTATCATGTGCAAGATCAAAAATTTGGAAAAGTAATCGAAATCTCGTTGGAAATGTGTGATTACGGTTTCCTACAGCAACTTTATTTCTTTGAACTCAGTATTATACTTTCAGTCGACCCATAGAGTAGTCTTTGATCATGTTTTCTCGAGTAGCCATCATCAACTTGCGAAGAGGTAATGTTTCTTTTGTTTGTACGAAATTTCGTAAGAATGATGGTCATACACAACAACAGGGGCTTATTCATTCGAAGATCGGGCCATTTTTTAATCGTCTTCGAAATTTTTGTTTCATCAGAGGTCAAAAGTCCGCTAATTCCGTCTGCTTTGTAGTCGGGAAAATATTTTTTGGTGTCTGAAAGGGAACTTGATAAGAAATGCGTATTTCTTGACGGGAAACAGTACTTAAGGTGGTCAGAGCATCTGAATCTATCAAAGTTGGGGTTATGTTTCGCTTTCAGCGATTTTGTAATTTTGCAATTTTTTATATTGATTTAGGTCATCAGATAGGTCCAAAATAAAAGATTTGTCTCTCGAAAGCCAAAGTCCATTTTGAAGTGAGAACCGTTTAAAATGAGCAATCCCGAGGCCTTTCGTGTTTTCCAGAGTAAGAGGGAAATCTCTGTAACGAAAACTTTCTACAACGGCAAGATTTTTTGGACCCCCAAAATTAAGATGTACAAAGAAAAAAGGAACTAGGACGATTGGGGAAACCGAAAAGTATTATTTTTCTTCGATGCAAGTGTCGAAATTAGGATAATCGAAGGTGGTGATTTCGAAAATGACATTCATATTTTTATCTTTAATTTTTTTTCTTAAGTAGTACTGTAAAGCAGTAATTTTTTTGAATTGTTTTCACAAATACTCGTTTTTTTGGTTTCGACCTTGCTGATTTCGAAAATCTTATTCTTTTTTTCTGATTTGAAAGCAGCACCATCGAAACCCCCCAAATTGAGTATTTATGAAAAAATTACTGCTTTACTGTACTACAGGGTGTCCAGAGAAATGTGCCGGAAAGTTTTTGTCGATTTCTTGGCGCTCAATAAATATATCCGAAAAATTATTTTTGCATGATAAAGAAGAATTTGGGCGGTTTTTTGTCCGAAAGAATCATTTTTTCCGCCAGCGCGGAAAGTAGTGTATTCGACGGAGACTTTTGATTGCTTTTTTGGCCATCACACCAATTTTAAACGCTATATTATGATGCTGAAACTTCCGGAAAGTCTTCAAATTTTTGACGGAATAAATCACACAGACAGCGACATCGCAATGCGATCCCATATAGCGACTGCACGGTGCAGCCTGTCGCTGCAACACCGATAAAGTCCGAGTGCACCGTGCGGAGGTTTGAAACAGCAAGGCAAAAGGAAATTTGAACAAAAAATATTTTGTTGTTTTCTGGTGCACCAAGTGGTTTTCCGATGGCTTAGCTTCTGCCAAAGCTTGGTGACAAAATTTTCGAAGGCATACGAAGCCAGAAGGGTGTTCTAGCCAGGCCATAAAAATTGTGTTGAACCATGTCTTGTCCGCAGCTGAGTTATGGCCTCCGCCGATTCGGCGAGCGTCCGCCATACCTTCGCCGAACACTTGGTAAACATGAAAATATGCAAATATCTTTGTTTCAACCATCAAAGTTCATAATAAAGCGTTTAAAGTTGGTGCGATTATCATAAAAGCGATCAAAAGTCTCCGCCGAATACACTGCATTCCGCGCTGGCGAAGAAAATGATTCTTTTGCACAGAAAACCGCCCATATTCTTCTTTATCCTGCAAAAAGAATTTTTCGGAAATCTTTATTGAGCGCCCAGAAATCGACAAAAACTTTCCGGCACATTTCTCTGGACACCCTGTACTTAAGAAAAAAATTAAAGATCAAAAAATGAATGTCATTTTCGAAATCACCACCTTCGATTATCCTAACTCGACAGTTGCATCGAAGAAAAATAATACTTTTCGGTTTCCCTGATCGTCCCAGTTCCTTTTTTCCTTGTACATCTTATTTTTGGGGGTCCAAAAAATCTTGCCGTTGTAGAAAGTTTTCATTACGAAAGGCTTTGGACAGTTCTCACTTCAAAATGGACCTTGCCTTTCGAGGGACACATCTTTTATTTTAGACCTATCTGATGACCTAAATCAATATAAAAAATCGCAAAATTACAAAATCGCTGCCCCAAGAGGGCGTCAGATCTTCTCTCTAGACCAAAATAGACTGGTCAATTATATTAATAGCCTTCCGGCTCCCCTTCAGCCAGTTGTTTTTACACAAGAACCATTTTTCAGCCCCTCTCCGTCTTCCACGAGCGTTGGGACGCCAGCCCAAAAGAGTGTTGTCATCGTTTCAGCCGTTTCGGGGTCATTTCCTGTCCGTTCCGAACATCCAACACAACGGTCAGTTCCTGTCGCGATTCCCGAGTCCCGCGGTTTTCTCATCCTTTTCTCGATATTACACTTGATGCCTATCAATTTTTTGCGAAAAATCATTCTTTGTTGTAACCATTCTTGCAAAGTTTCTTGCCACTACAATCAAAAGTTGAGTTCCGCCCATCAAGGAGATTGTCAGATTTTTATCGCCGATTTACACTACAAAACGCGGGAAAGAACCGTGTTGTCAAGGTCAAGTATAATATCAGATGATTGGCGGGCGATTTCGGACAAAAAGGCGATTAAAACTGTTGATAAATGAGTTGCATTTTGCTTCGCACGCATTTTATTTGTAATTGTTTGTAACTCTTTGTAGTTGTACACTTTGGCCTAGGGCGCATCTCGCGGATTTTGTATCATCAAAAATTATTTATTTTCTCAAAAGCAAAATCGGTCGCAGGTGGTTGTTGAGAGGAGTTATCAGTCATGGGCATCGTGTTATCAGTTGGTATGGTGTTTATGAAGGCGAACGGGGTTCGAAACTGAATTTTTTGTATCTATTTGGTGTCTATCAGATAAAAATAGGGATATTTTGACAAAAACATGTGCGGAGAGGGTCTTCACGTGAAGACCCTCTCCGTAAAGATCTTCACGGATATTTCACAATTGTTTTGCTCAATTCTCTGCTATTTTTGTCCCGTTTTTAAATTTTTTTCACGGCTGATGCCATGGATAATATAATTTATTGTTTATCTCAACTTTTTAGCATGGATAATATTTTTGCGCGTTGAACACAGACAAAAAATGTCCTAATCGAGCTATTTCAGCATCTTATTTCCTCTCATCTGCCCAACCAGCAGTGAAAACGAACGAAAAATCGGAAATGTCGGACAAATTCGCGAAACTCCCGACCTACGCTCACCCCACTCACTATTCCATCCACCTGAAGCCCAACCTCACTACCTTCAAATGTGAGGGCCGTGAGACCATCGCTGTGAAAATTGACGAGCCCACAAACAAGCTGCAGCTCCATTCTGATAACATCGAAGTGAAATCGGCCAAGGTCAAACTTGCCGATGGAAAAGGTTCGTGTTTTCTTTGTTTTTGTTGGTTTTTAGGAAAGAACTGCGGGGAATGGACGTCAAGGGGGCTGATTAGGGTTCGCAGTCGTCTACGAAAGAAAAGGCGTTCTTTTTACATGGTTTCGATAATGTTTTAGGTCAGCTTTTTTGTTTCGCCTCGATATTGTCAAATCTTAGTGTAGGACTCCGAAAATTAAGTTTATTAGAAAGAATTTTTAGCGGAAGGGCAGTATTCACCACCCTGAGTGTTGTTGAATAAAGTTTACAGGCTTTAAAATAAAGTTTGATCCAACTTGACCTCATTTTACCTTTTCCAGAGCTGCTCAACCTTCCAATTCAATTGGACAAGAAGTGGGGATGGCTTCAAGTGGATCTGCCTTCTGAAATTAACCCTCAACAAGTGGAACTAACCCTCGACTTTATTGCCGAACATAGCGAGCATTTACAGGGCTTCTATCGCTCGTCTTATAAAGATGCCCAAGGAAATAGCAAGTTCATGGTCTCGACTCAATTTGAATCGACTTATGCGCGAAAAGCCTTCCCATGCTGGGATGAACCGACTTACAAAGCGACTTTTGACATTGAACTGGAAGTTGACAAGGATTTGGTCGCACTTTCTAACACCCCAATCGTCTCCGAGACTGAAGCTGAAGGAAAAAAGATTTATAAATATGAGACTACCCCAATCATGTCGTCGTACCTGATCGCATTTGCGGTGGGAGAGTTTGAATACATTGAGGTGAGTCTTTTCCTGTTTGCTTTTCCGGTTTTAGGTTGAATTTCGGACGATTTTTATGTTACACTTGATCCTTACAGGCCAAAGCCAAGACTGGAACCCTCGTGCGTCTCTACACGTGCCCCGGAAAGAAGGAGCAAGGCAGATTTGCCCTCGATGTGGCCTGCAGAGCCTTGGAATATTACACCGAGTGGTTCGCTCAGCCATACCCGATCCCGAAATGCGATTTGATTGCTATCCCCGACTTTTCAATGGGCGCCATGGAAAATTGGGGACTTGTTACTTACCGAGAAGTGTGTTTGTTGGTTGATGAAGCAAAATCCTCGCATCGGCAGAAGTCTTTTGTTGCTTTGATTGTTTCCCATGAGCTGGCTCACTTTTGGTTTGGAGACCTGGTGACTATGGTAAGATAATATAATTTTTGCGTTTTTTGGAGTTTAGATCGAGTTTGAATCACTTCTGAGGGATTGTTACGATAAATGAGGCCTTGAAAATGAATCCAAGCGCTGGCCAAAAATTTTTCGACCTTGTTTTAGATGAATTTTTGGGCTAAAAATTTATATAATAATGTTTTCAGAAATGGTGGACCGACCTCTGGTTGAAAGAGGGCTTTGCTTCTTTCATGGAGTACCTGTTTGTATCGCGAAACAACCCCGAATTCAAGATCTGGCTTCAATTTGTTAGTGACGAAGTGGCCCGAGGCTTCGACCTCGACTCTCTGAGGTCGTCGCACGCCATCGAGGTGGAAATCGACAATCCGAATGAGCTGGACGAAATCTACGACTCGATTACGTACGCGAAATCGAACTCCATCAACCGGATGTTGTTCAATTACCTCGGCGAAGAGAGGTTTCGAAATGGCCTGAGGGTTTATTTGGAACGCTTCAAATACAGCAATGCCGTCACGAAAGACTTGTGGAAGGCCCTCTCGGAGGCTTCGGGAGAGGATGTGGACCAAATGATGTCCACTTGGACTAAGCAAGTCGGATTTCCAGTGGTGCAGGTAAGGCTTTGACCAAGTGTAATATATTTTTTTTGGAAAAAGTTTGGAATTTTGGGAAGTTTTGTTGCTGTGGAAATCAGAGGGTCGAATTTGACAGAAAGTGGCTTCGATTTTGTCTGTAATAAAATCGACCGGTCAAATTTCCGAGTTTTTAATTTTTTTTTGTATTTTTGATGGATATGATAGATTAGAAGGTCATATGCATTGTGAGCAGCATTTTTAGGGACTTGTTGACTAAAGTTATCTGATGGACGAAACATTATAATGCATAAAAAATAAAAAAAAGACGAATTTTTGTTGTCTAAAGTAATGTTTTTTTTGATGGTTATTATCATTTTTTAAAAATCTTAGGTCTCTGAAGAGCGTCTCCCTGGAAACAAGCGTAAAATCCTCCTAAAACAACAAAGATTTTTGGCCGATGGGTCCACCGACGACACCCTCTGGCACGTCCCAATCGGAATTTGCACGGCCTCCAACCCCAACGAGCCGGTCCATAAAGTGCTCCTCACCAAAGCGCAAGACGAATTCGTCCTCGACGGAGTGGATGAGAAGGACTGGATCAAGCTGAACGCCAGCACCACCGGCTTCTTCCAAGTCCAATACTCGAAGGACATGCTGACGTCGCTTTTGGCCGCCATCAAGGACCAAAAGCTGGGTGTGCTGGACAGATTCGGAATCTCGAATGATCTGTTTGCCCAGGTGAAGGCCGGCAAAGTCCCCACCGCCCAGTTCTTGGCGTTGTATGCGGCCTCGACCAACGAAAATGAGTATATCGTGTGGGGCGCGCTGGACACTGGATTGTCGACGATTTCGAACGCTTTGGCCAGAGCTAGCGACCCAAGTCTGAAGGAGAAGCTGAACGAGTTCGTACGGAGAGCGCTAGAGCCGGTTGGAGAACGATTGGGATGGGAGAAGAGGGACGGAGAAGGTAGGGATTTCTGTAGTACAGTGGGGGACCTTATCGAGTGGCAAAAAAAAGAGAATTCAAAATCAAAAAAAAATCTAAAATACATCAAATAAAGTGAAATTATATATTCAAAATCATTCCAAATCCCCTAAACTCCCATTAAGCACCCCCAACTTTCCTTCCCAACCCCAGAAGTTCCCAAAATTTCAAAGAAAATCATCTCCACTTACAGTGGGGGACTTGATCCAGTGGCAAAAAACGTACCATTTTGCATCTGGGAAGTATCAAAAATGTGGCAAAATGCTTCCCTCTCCACGTGAAAAAACTCCGATTTGAAGGGTGCAAATGAGCGGGTGCCCTTCAAACCGAAGTTTTTTTCACTTGGAGAGGGAAGCATTTTGCCATATTTTTGATGCTTCCCGTGTGCAAAATGGCACGTTTTTTGCCACTGGGTCAGGTTCCCCACTGTAGGTGGAGTTGAGCTTTTTTTTGAAATTTTGGGAACTTCTGGGGTTGAAAAGGAAAGTTGGGTGTACTTGATGGGAGTTTAGGGGATTTGGAATGATTTTGAATGTATAATTTCACTTTATTTGATGTATTTTAGATTTTTTTGATTTTGAAAATTTTGAAAAAGTTGAGATTTTGGGTCGAATCAAGTTTCAGAGTGTTTGTAAACGGTCTTGAATTTGAATATAATAATTTTTACCCCGTTCCAGACGCCCAGATATCAATGCTGCGCTCTTTAATTCTCGGCCGCCTAGCCAAAGCCGGCCACAAACCGACGATCGAGAAAGCCCTGGCCAAGTTCGCTGAGCACGTGGAACAAAAGACGGACCTGCATCCGGACCTCAGACAAATGATCTACGGTGTTGTGGCGCGGAACGCGGGAAGAGACGGAGTCCAGAAACTGCAGAAGATCTTCGAGACCTGCGGCTTCAGCGAAGTGGAAAGAAACGCCCTCACCGCCATGGGACAGGCGACTGATCCCGAAATCCTCGCCGAGGTCTACGACTATGCGGTGTTGAAGGACAAGGTACGCTCGCAAGACCTGATCACCCTCTTTGCCGGCGCTACCGCCACTCCCATCGGACAGGACTTTGTTTGGGAGTTTTATCAAAAACACTTGGATATATTGATCAAGAAGTTTGGAACTGTGAACTCATCACTCTTCCAGTACTGTCTGAAGTTTGCTGGATCGCAACAGTCGTCCAGCGAGTTTGTGGAGAAGTATGAGGTAGGGGTTTGACATGGATAATATAATTGATGTGTGAAGGGTAATATTTTTGATGAAAAAAGTGGGTGTGATGTTGTGTAGAGCTGGGAAAGGCGGTGTAAAGGGAAGTCGGAGAATTTTGTGCGATTTTTTGCACGAAAAATTGATTTTTTGCGAAAATTTTTATTTTAAAAAATTTTTGGATTTTTTGTCATAGGTCTTTCAAATAATGATTTTTTGTTAAATTTGGCCTAAGAAATTGAGATTTTTTTGAAAAATTTTGTCTGGCCTAAAATAGTACAGCGACGGACCTGATCTAGTGGCAAAAAATGTACCATTTTGTATCCGGGAAGCATCAAAAATGTGGCAAAATGCTTCCCTCTCCAAGTGAAAAATCTTTGTTTTGAAGGCTCCCTCACAAAAAGAACGGACGCACGGCAACCCGAAATAGAAGAAAAATGTTTCCCGCCCACTTTTGAGTTTCGTCCAAACGAAGTGTCAAAATTGAAAAAAGAAATAAAATAATTCCGAGAAAAATATTTTTCGGTCGGAAAACCCCACGAAAAATTCTTTTGTGACATTTCGTTTGATTTTAACCGATACAAAATGGGCGAAGTGTCGAAAGGAGCCAGGAAACACTTCGGGTTGCCGTGGGACGCGCTTTTGAAATCTGAGTTTTTTTCACTTGGAGAGGGAAGCATTTTGCCACATTTTTGATGCTTCCGGGATGCAAAATGGTATGTTTTTTGTCAATGGATCACGTACAGTGGAGAAACCGCCACTGTACGGTTTTAGGCCAAACAAATTTTTTTCAAAAAATCTCAACTTCTTTGGCCAAATTTAACAAAAAATCTTTATTTGTGACCTATGACAAAAAATCCAAAAATTTTTTAAAATAAAAATTTTCGCAAAAAATCAATTTTTCGTGCGAAAAATCGCACAAAATTCTCCGACTTCCCTTTACACCGTTTCTCCCATCTCTACACATCATCACACCCACTTTTTTCATCCAAATGTTACCCTTCATAAGTCAATTATATTATCCATGTGTTGATTTCAGGCGCATGCCAAGAAAGCCTTTGATGCCGACCAACTGAAGGTCCTCGACCGACCAATCCGCCAGACCGTGGAGGGCATCCTGATCAACAAAAAAATACGCGAAGAAAGCGAAAAATCGGTGGCCCAGTTTTTGATCCAAAATTAGTTACAACTCGTTTGTGAATATTTATTTTTTTCAACCCTTTGTGAAGAGCAAGTAAAATATTATACAGAATTTAATTTTGCTTCAATCGGAATGGCAGAAAATTTTGAAAAATTGGATTTTTTTGGGAGATCAAAACACGAAAACCCATAAAGACCGAAGAAAAAATTGGAAAAAAAATTGAAATACAATTAACAAGGCCGCCAAACAAACTCTCTGATCGCCGTGATGGTGTTCGAACCGTCCGGATTCGCCTTCATAAAGAAGATCTCGGCGCTCATTGGCTTGAATTTGATCAATGTGTAGCTGAAATCGGAGCAGTTTGAATGAAAATTGCCGTTTAAAACGTGCAGTTGTTTCGAAACTTGCCGATTTGGCGGATAAAACGGCCAATTCGACAATTTGCCCAATTTGCCCGGTCAGCTTGGGAAACTTGCCCAATTTGCCCGGTCAGCTTGGGCAAGTTGCCCAATCTGCCCGGTCGACTCAAGAAATCTGCCATTTGGCCGCTAATGATGACCTACCGATTCTTTGGGACCGATCCCACATACAGAAAGGGGACTGTTACACCGGCAATGCAACGAACCGACAAGGAGTGGTTGTCATGGACGTGAGCGAAGAGAACAAACGCACGGCGAATGATGCTTTCATTTTCTTTACTGGTCAACCTGAAAATGACGATTACTGTAGAGAGAATTTATTCTAGGACGAACGGTCTTATTGGGCACGTTGAAATTGGTCAAAATACATAAACGTTCAGACCGACCAAGCTACAAAAATGGCCAATCAAGCGGGCTAAACTAAGAAAACGAGCAATTGGACCGGCCGAATTTTTATTCTGAGCGGTCAAGTGAAGGTTTTCAATCCGCCCAATTTGCCCGGGCAAATCATGAAAATGCCCAATCTGTCCGTTCAAATTACCAAAATTGCCCGATTTGCCCGGCCAAATAATAAAAAATGCCCAATCTCACCAGTCAAATTTTCAACCTGCCCAATTTGTCCGGGCAAATTATCAAAAATGCCCAATCTCACCAGCCAAATTTTCAATCTGCCCAATTTTTCCGGTCAAATTATCAAAATTGCCCAATTTACCCGCCCAAGTTTTCAATCTGCCCAATTTGCCCGAGCAAATTATAAAAAATGCCCAATCTCACCAGTCAACTTAACAAAACGCCCATTCCGCCCGGTGAAATCTCCCTCCTACGTTCACCAAATCACTTACCACGCCTCCAGCTCGACCTTCAGCCGATCCTTTGTGTCGGTCAGCTCATGATTATGCAGATTGATCAGCACCGGCCACGTGTTATTGCTGATCTTGTGCAGGTCATGCCGCAGCCACTGCAGCGACGCTCTGACCTTCCACATGTTCAACGAGCCCGCGCTGTTCGCGTAGTCCGGTCGATTGTGCAGCTGAATGGAATGCACACAAGCGGCCTTGTTTTGGGAGCAAAAGTCCTTGGAATAGGCGAAACTGCCGTCGTAGATCGTCTTCCACAGCAAATTACTGCGCTCCAGGTCGATGGTGAGGTTCATTATTGGGGCGTATTCGTTGGCGAACCTGCAAAAAATTATTAGTTTGATGATTTTTATGGCTTGAATCGAAAATTTGAGCGGTCGAAACGACCAATCTAAGCGATCCAAAAATTGCTACATTTGCAATTCTGAGCTGGCATGTTGCCCAATCTGCCCGGTAAAAATGACCAATCTGCCCAGTCAACCACCGTATCTGACCGAGAAAATGACAAATACAACCCAAAATTTGTTCAATTTAACAAGAGCCAAAATGACCAATCTGCCCAATCTGACCATTATATGACCAATTGGACCGGTAAGATGACAAATATGACGCAAAATGTTTTCAAGTAAACTAGAGCCAAAATGACCAATCTGCCCAACCTGACCATTATTTGACCAATACGACCAGTCAAGATGGCCAATCTGACCGGCAATTTGGTCAATTCAAATAGAGCCAATATGACCAATCTGCCCAACCTGACCGGTCAAGAAGACCAATCTGACCAAACAAAATGACAAATCCGCCCAACCTGACCAGTATATGACCAATCTCACCAGCCAAGAAGGCTAATCTGACCAGCCAAGATGCCCTATATGACCGGCAATTTGGTTCAACTACAGTGACGGACCTGATCCAGTGGCAAAAAACGTTCCATTTTGCATCCGGGAAGCATCAAAAATGTGGCAAAATACCTCCTCTTCAACTAAAAAAACTCTGTTTTGAAGGCTCCCTCACAAAAAACAGCGGGCGCGCTTTTGAAATCGGAGTTTCTCACTTGGAGAGGGAGGTATTTTGCCACATTTTTTCTGCTTCCTGGATGCAAAATGGTACGTTTTTTACCATTGGATCAGGTCCGCCACCGTAGAGCTTCCAACTCACCACGAAAGCATGTTGTTCACGCACTGATTGGCCACACAGTCGTCCACATTATTCTGATAGTCGTGATTCCCCAAGCCCGCAAAGATTGGGAACGGCATGGTGAGCCACTCGGTCTTGAAGAGGTCGAGTTGATGCGAATGCCCGAAATTGGTCAAATCTCCATTCAGGATAAGGCCCACGGGCTTGTTCGTCAGCCTTCGATGCAGATCAAAGAGGGCCTTGCGTTGCACCTCGTTGGAGAAGCGGCTCTCCATTATGGCGCATTCGTCCTGAATGGTTTGGACTTGAATCGCGGCCAAGCCGTTGGGGTCCTTTCGGAGGCAATTCTGCAAAAAAAAATCGGTTTTTTTCATTTTTTTTTTTTTGATGACTTTAGGGCTTGGGACTTATAAATCATTATGTGTCCAGAAAATACGTCACGATGACACCCATTTAAAATGTGCCAGTGATATAAACAACGGTTGAATCTGACTAGGCGTACTCTCTAAAGCATGTCCAAAAATTTCGGGAAACTCAGAGCTTCTCGCCCGCGGCAAAAATCCAGAAAATCCGTCATCCAAAACTGCGCAACGCAAAATTTTTGAACTCAAATTTTTTTGAACACCCTGGACAGTACTCCCAGCCATATACTGCTGTTTTTTATACCACTGACACATTTTAAATGGATGTCATCGTGACACATTTTCTGGAAATTTTCGAAAAATCATCAATTTCTCGCCGAAACCCACCATGTTGAGATCATTTTTCTCCCGGAACTCCTCACTGTGCTCCTTACACTCCCTGTTCGACGGTGTGCATGGGAAATGGTACTGTGTGTCGCCCATAAACAGCAGCACCAAGTCATCCGGGTCCTCCGTCTGCAGTCTTCGCGCCTTCTCTTTCGGATTTATGGGCGCTGAACCGGATTTTTTTGGGGTTAAAAATTCAAATTGTGCTTACCAAGTTTGGCAAGGGTTGAGCAGGAAATGAGAAGGATAACCAGCCAGAAACTGGAATGTCGGATGGTCCGAAGCATTTTTTGGCGGGAAAATAGGTTTAGAAACCCAAGAAGGGCTAAAAAAGAATAATTTAAAAAAAAAATCGGGGACGATTATTCGTCAAGTTGGCCAATTTGCCCGACCTGACCGGTCAAGATGCGAATTTGACCATTCTGCCCGAAAAATTGGATGCAGATTCAATATTTTTTGGACAAAAAAAAAATTCAAAAAAAAAAAAATTTTGTCAAATTTCGACCTAAAAATCATCCGACTTTTCGGGTCGACGACGGTTAGGGTCAACACAAAATCGATCGGTACGGGGCACGTCAAGAAATTCCGGGCATTGCAAAGGTTCTCACAGCGAAAAAAAATTCATAAAATATGTCATCCAAATCGCACATAACAACAATGTTTAACCTATTTTTTTTTTTATGGGAACTCTAGGGAGTACTACTAGTCGTATACAACTGTTTCTTATACCACTGGCACATTCTGAATGGGTGTCATCGTGACGCATTTTTTGAACACGGTTCGAGCTAGGCTAAAAATAGTGCAAATTTCAAGGCCGAATATCAAAAAAACTGTCCCATCAAGCGGGACGAGACCGATGTAGATACTCGAAGAATAGTTTAAGGATTTTTTTGACGTGGAGCCTATACCCCCTTCCAGTTCTCTCTGACTCGGTATCGTCGATACAAAATTTTATTTAGACGTTGTTTTCTTCGCCTTGGAAGACTGTCAAAATACTATGATTATGGGTATATTTTGGTTCTATTAGCTTAAGCAACTCTCGAGCTTTCTATTGGTATCAATATCTTGTGATTTACTATTAATCTTTATGTCAAAATCTTGCAAACCATTTGGACAAAAACGGATTTGCACCGGGCAGAATGCCAAAAAAAATACTAGGCTTTTTCATTGGGCGCCCGTTTTTCTTTTATTTTTTCTTGACGTGCGGAGAGCGGCACAGGCAAAATTTTTTTTTTCTTTTTTTTTGCACTGAACCTTAACTTTGAAACAAACATCTAGTTGAAAATTTTGTTTAAAAATACAAAAAATATTTTTTTTTGTGTTTTTTTCGTAACCCTCCGGGAACTTGCGGGGCACGTCAAGAAAAAATAAAAGAAAAACGGGCGCCCAATGAAAAAGCCTAGTATTTTTTTTGGCATTCTGCCCGGTGCAAATCCGTTTTTGTCCAAATGGTTTGCAAGATTTTGACATAAAGATTAATAGTAAATCACAAGATATTGATACCAATAGAAAGCTCGAGAGTTGCTTAAGCTAATAGAACCAAAATATACCCATAATCATAGTATTTTGACAGTCTTCCAAGGCAAAGAATACAACGTCTAAATAAAAGTTTGTATCGACGATACCGATTCAGAGAGCGCTGGAAGGAGGTATAGACTCCACGTCAAAAAAATCCTTAAACTGTTCTTCAAGTATCTACACCGGTCTCGTCCCGCTTGATGGGACAGTTTTTTTGATATTCGGCCTTGAAATTTGCACTATTTTTAGCCTAGCTCGAACCATGTTCAGAAAATGCGTCACGATGACGCCCATTTAGAATGTACCAGCGGTACAAAAAACAGTTGTATACGAGTAGTAGTAGTCTCTAGAGTTCCCATAAAAAAAATTAGGTTAAACATTGCTGTTATGCGCAATTTGGATGACAGATTTTATGAATTTTTTTTCGCTGTGAGAACCTTTGCAATGCCCGCAATTTCTTGACGTGCGGGGCGTAGGGCAAGTGGATACCCAAAAAAGCTTGTAGTAAATACCTACGAGGCCTGGCAAAGCTGTTGGATGGTCTGCGGAGGCCTGGCAAAGACTTGCAATATGTCCACTTTTTCTAATTTCACAAGGGAAGTACTCCAAGTGCGACGCTCAGATTTTCTTTAAATTTTGCACACACATCGGGTATGGACTAAATATCAATTCCTGAAAGTTTTAGCTCGCGCTTTGTGGGCGCCGCCGAGATATCGAACGATTTTTGCCGCCGAGAGAGCACGCTAAACGTGGAGAGCGGTCAGAGAGAAAAACGCTTTTTGGCCATAACTTGGCAGTTTCGTGCGGAAAATTTTGATTTTTTGTAGAAACATTATCCTTTACGGTTGAAATAGGCATGAAACTTTTCGAGCCGAAATTCGGCAAAAAGTCCTAAATTTTGGCCGACTTTTAATCTAAACATGTCGGTTGTTTCTGTAAAGCGCGAACTAGAATTCTCGCATACATCTTATAAAAAATTATTCTAAATTTGTGCCGAGTTTCATCAAAATCTGAGCGTCGCACTTGGAGTGCTTCCCTTGTCAGCTACTACCAGAGATTGCCGCGGTCAAAATTTGGGCTTCGGCTCCGGCTCTTAGCTCCCAAAGACGGAGCCGAGGCCAAATTTGCAGCTCCGGCCGGAGCTGCAAAAATTTGAAAAGGGCTCCGGCTCCGAATCCCGGCTCTCGTGCAAAAAATTTTTTAAAAATATTTTTCCAAAGATAAAGTCGTAGCGCCAAAATCATTTCTGCAAAATGCTTGCGAAAAATCTGATTTTTAGAAAATTCGACAATAAATTTTTTGGCCAATTTCCCTCAAAATCTGAGGTTTACAAAAAAAAAATTTTTTTTTAATTATATCTAATTTTTTTTTTTTAATTTTCAAAAATTCGTCCATTTGCAAACCCCATCCCTCAAAACCAGATTCCCATCTTTTCTCAAAAACCACCTCAGGCGAAATCCAAATTTTCGAATCAAAAAAGAGCCCGCTGATAACAAAAAAAAAAAAAAGGATCAGACGAGCTCTCGACCACTTTTTTAATCCGAAGATGCCCTTTTCTCCCATCCATTCAATCCGAAAAAAAGCATATTGCAAATCGGAGAGCGGCTCCATTTATATTGGCCAATGGTGCCAGCGCGAACCACTGACCCCGGCCCTTATGACAGACGGGTGATTAAACTTAAGTACGTGAATTTTGATTTTCCTCAGTTCTTTTGGGTGATGGATGGGGGTGAAATAAAAAAAATGAAAAGTTGGCCTGACCTATGAACTTGGCAGAGACTTTTTTATGTTTTAACTGGAGATTTAGATGTTTTTTAGGCGATTAGTCATCAAAAAAATGATTTTTTAATTTGAAAAATTAATAAGTGAAACTTGGCAAGAATCCAGATTACAATTTTAAAATAAATATTCCAGATTTTTACTTCACATTTTGCAAAATCCATCGAGATTTTTTGCCCGAAAATTTCAAAAATTAAAAAAAATTCGGCGATTTTCAATTTGAAAAATTAACAGTTTTTTAGAAGTGTAATGTACAACACTTCTATAAAAAATCAAGCCTTCCCGAGCGAAATTCGCAAAGATATCGCCAAAAAAAGACTTTCTCTGACCGTCTCTCCTCATTTTTCATAGTCTCTCGTCAAAAGTTGAAAATCTCCGCGACGCCGGCAAATTGCAAGCTAAAATTTTCGACGGTTGATTTGTGGGGCTTGAAGATTATTGAAGCGAAATTTCAAGAAAATCGGACCATCGTCCTTCGAGATATTAACCTTGCCAATGGTTCCGGAAAAAATTATTTTTTTAAATTTTCAAAAAAGAAAATAAATCACAAATATGTTTTATCGTGCTCAGCTAGTCGTATATTATGTATGCTTACTATAAAACGCCTGAAATTAAGTTAATCCACCGAAAATTTTCGCTTACTTTTGATGACTCATCTAAAGTAATATAAATTACCCCAAAATTCCCCTTAATTTTTTTAAAAAACCTTCCGCAAATAAAGAATTACTCATAAAAACTCGAACTCAAAGATTCAATGTACAAAAAAACAGCAAAGTGTATAGGCACTTGGCGTGCGAATTACGCAATGGATAAGATGTTTGCATTGAAAAAAACATTCGGCGTTTCGGTGAAGGAACGAGGAAGAACCGGAATCTTATGCTTTTTGGAGGGCATTTTCTTGTATTTCCTTTCGGAAAGAATCGTAGACTTCACTTCAAGAGTCTTCGAACAAAAATCGGATATTATATTATACTAGGTGATCTAAACAAAAAATAATCAAAATAAAAGTCAAATACCTGTTTATTTATTCTAAACAGCCGTCAAATATCGTACTCAAGATCATACACAATGTCATCTGGGAGGAGTGTTGAGTAGTCGAGGAACAGGAAACTTGCACTTGTCAAACTGAGCAAAACCCCGATTCCGACGATAAGACCGACCATAGCCTTCGCCGAACATGTGTAACGGTTGAACAGCGCCACGTAAAGACGGTTCTAAACAAAAAATCGTTAAAAACCGAAAAAAAGCATTGTTTTATCCAAAATTATATTACTTTAGACACCTACATCACTCTTCGGAGTCTTCACGGATATTATGCTCTTATCCTCCGGCGATCGAAGCGAATTTTCGTAGAAGTCCTCTCCCACATTCTCATAGCCATTCGGAGAGTGGGTGAGATCAGTTTCAACCCGTTCTCGTGGACTGTTCAGGACGGTTTCACCCTTTCCAGGCGGCCCTTTCGGAGGGTTCTTCTCAGGTGCCGGTGGAGGCAATGGATCGTCTAAAAACAGAATAAGATAATCAAAGAAGTTGAAGGTTACCTGTAAAAGAGCCAAGAGCTTCGTATTCATCTCCCATGATGCTGTGGTTGGCTCACGCCCGCTTCGAGGAAATTGGAAGGCAAAAAATGATAAAAATATGGTAAATTCATCCTCTGAACTCAAGGTCGGTGTATTTCTCATGCAAAATTTCTCAAAGCAACCTAAAAATGCGAAAAATTTCTCAAAAAATCTTGATTTTTTTATTCATCACCATATTTAGTACGTCTCACAACGAAAGATTTTACTTGGCATTCCGTTTTATTCTAGTTTTTGCGAAATTTTGCGAGTAATCTCGTTTTGCGATTACGTTTACATTATCACGGGTCGCTAGCCAAACAAATGAGCTCAAAACCTTCCGCTTCCACGGCTGGTTCTAATTGGGAGTCGTTGAAAAAGGTAAACCAATATTATGTTAGGGTTTTTACTCTTTTTAGGAGCTGAAAAATGAGAAGAAGACGGGGAAGATCCAATTCAAGACTATAAAGAAGGAGAAGAAGGTGGCTCATAAGGTGAATCGATTCAAAGAAGCCCATTCCCAAGCCGTCCAGTCGTTGAAGGGGTAATCTTTTATTTTTGTATTTTTTGCTAATTTAGGTATAACTTGAAGTGGCGATACTTTAGTATAAGCGATATTAAGTCTTCCGCTTGCTGTTGAGATCTTCCTTTGTTGGATTGTCGATGGTTTCACATTAAATTTACATTGTTTTATATTTTAGTGGAGATGCCAATGCGATAACTGATGTCTTGGCGATTGATTGCGAATATGTTGGAGTTGGTTTTAATGGCAACATCGATCATCTTGCAAGGGTGTCGATAGTCAATTCGGAGGGTAAAGTGGTCTATGACAAATATGTGAAACCACGCGAGGAAGTTACCGATTATCGAACACATGTTAGTGGAATTCGTCCCGGACATCTCGTAAATGGCAAGTTTTTTCAATTATTGTTCTGTTTTTAGGTTGTTATCAGCTTATTTAACCAGCTATATCATCAATTATACGGAAGGTTTGATGAAAATAACCGCTTTTGAATTCCAGGCCTTCCATTCAATCAAGTGCAACAAGAAGTGAATAAGTTGCTGACCAACAAGACTGTTGTGGGTCATGGATTGTGCAATGACTTCCGAGTGATGAATTTGTCACATCCCATGCGATTAACACGTGATTCGTCTACTTGGAAACCGTTGAGAAAGATGATAAACTACACCGGTAAACCCTCGCTAAAAGTTTTGGCGGAGAAATTGTTGAACATTAAGATTCAAGAAGGAGAGCACGATTCTGTGATTGACGCTAGAACAGCATTACGGTGGGTAGTTTACTTGACTTTCGATTTGAAAATCAATTTTTTTTTTTGCTTTTTTTGTCATGAGTAATATAAAAATTTTTGTGTTTTTAGGATATACCAACTGCATAAAAAGAAGTGGGACGCGGACATAAAACAAATGAAGAAGTAGAGGGCACGATTTAATGCTTTTTAAGGGCCTTGTTAACCTACAGTTGTTATTTTTATCAATTTTGTTGTTGTTCATTGATAAAATTCAAATTTCATAAAATATTGTAAAAGTTGGTTGTCCAAACAGTTAAATCTGATTCCCATTACATTTATTGGACTTTTTTCTGTGTTTGTTAGTAAAATTCTGTTGATCTGGACTTGTTTCAATACCTGAAATCGACCTTCTCCACCAAGTCATCATGTATAATATAAAAATTTTTCCAGATGAAGCCAATAGCCTTTAACGCCCATTATATTCGTGTGGGATATCAGGGACGAAGCACGGCGATCGCCAGAGTCGTCATGGTTGATGAGAATTTGAAACTGGTGCATGATATTTACATCCGTCCAGAGGAAAATATCTTCGAAGTTCAGTCATTCGAGGACGATAGAATCATGAGAAAAGTGAAAAATGGTAAGAAACCCTTGAATTAGCAATTTTTATTAACGCTTTATCGCATTTTCCGATAAAATTTTGACATTTTCGATTAAAATTATATTGTTTTAGGTCTGAACCCGCCGCAAGCCGCCGATTTGATCGCTCAGCACCTCAAAAACCATCTGGTGGTTGGACAAGAAGTCCTGCAGACTCTGGAAGACCTTGGCATTGTGTCTGTGTCGGAGTCGAGAATCAGAGATTTGAGAAAATACCCGAAAATCAACCTGCTTTACCCAGCTGGGTCAATGTTGAATAACGATGCGACAATACAACGAATGGCTCGAGAGATCTTGGGAGTCACGGTAAGGCGAAGTTTTTGTGGATTTTTTGGGCAAAACTGATATTTTGAAGAAAAAAATTTGATAAAAAATCTAAATTTTGGAATTTTTTGGCCAAAAAATTTTGATGTTCTTTGCAAACTAGAAATATTTTGAAAAGTTGGAACTGGGACGATTGGGGAACCGAAAAGTATTATTTTTCTTCGATGCAAGTGTCGAATTAGGATAATCGATGGTGCTGATTTTGAAAATGACATTCATTTTTTTACTTTTTCCTTAAGTAGTACGGTAAAGTAGTAATTTTTTGAATTTTTTCACAAATACTCGATTTGGGGGGTTTCGACCTTGCTGATTTCGAAAATCTTATTAATTTTTTCTGATTTGAAAGCAGCACCATCGAAAACCCCAAATCGAGTATTTATGAAAAAAAATCAAAAAATTTGCCATTTTACAGTACTACTTTAGGAAAAAGTTAAAAAAATGAATGTCATTTTCGAAATCAGCACCCTCGATTATCCTAATTTTGATACTTACATCGAAGAAAAATAATACTTTTCGGTTTCCCCAATCGCCCCAGTTCCAATTTTTCAAAAAATTTCGAGTTTGCAAAGAACATCAAAAATTTTTGGCCAAAAAATTCCAAAATTTAGATTTTTTATCAAATTTTTCTCTTCAAAATTTCATTTTTGCCCCAAAAAAAATCCACAAAAATTTCACCTTACCAAAATTTTTTAGTACGAACCCGGCTGCGACAGACTAGTGGAAGATGCCACAAACATGATGAGAATCTACAATTTGGCCGCCGATGGCTGGGAGTCGCAAATCCGATCAGAACAATCCATTTTTTCCTCATGGGCACCCAATTTTTCCCAAGGGCAACAGGAAAGAAGCAGTGATTTTAGCTGGGGCGCCTTGTTTGCTGGCGCTGCAGCGCTTGGCGTGTCAATGCTAGCTGCGCGATACGCCCCAAATCAGCGAAGAAACAGAGAATGAGATGGCTTTTGTGTGGCTGGAATGTAAAATTTGAAAAATATTTTTAACATTATATGTGTATATACATATCAAATAAGCTATATTTTGATTATTTTTGGATGAGTGAGATTGAAAACGAGTAGATTTGTAAATAAAACGGTGATTTGTAAGGTTTTTGAAAGGAAGGTAGGGTTAGAAAGGGACAGAATGAACCAGCCGGACCTAAAAAGTTTCTTTGGCTTGTAGTTCAGGAAAAAGTGGATCAAAGTTTAAAAAAGTTATGTTTTTGAGGCCCTCAAGAACTAAATTTAATGGCATTTGGCTTTTTATCAATTAAAGGCCCTCCGGCAATATGTAAACATCACTTTTATGGATATGATTTACATCGAAATCAAGAAAATTGAGAGTTTTCGAAATAAAAAATGGCAATTTTGCGAGTTTGGTGGAAAAATCTTGATCTCAAGGAAACCCCGAGGGGATATTGCGATTGGAATTACATATCATACAAATTGAAACCCTAGAGACCTTAGAGATAGAGTTTTTACAAGTTTTGGTCCAGTATTTTCCACAAGAGATCATTTGAAGAAAGATCATAAAACTTGGAAAAAAACTGGACAAAAAGTTATAAAAACTCTATTTCTAAGGTCTCTAGGGTTTCAATTTGTTTGATATGTAATTCCAATCGCAATATCCCCTCAGGGTTTCTTTGAGATCAAGATTTTTCGACTAAATTCGCTAAATCTCCATGTTTTATTTCGAAAACTCGAAATTTTCTTGATTTCGATGTAAATCAAATCTATAAACGTGATGTTTACAGATTGCCGGGGCCTTTAATTTGAAAAAAGCCAAATGTTTTTAAATTTAGTTCTCGAGGGCCTTAAAAATATAATTTTTTTAAACTTTGATCCACTATTTGCCAAATTATAAGCCAAGGAAACTTTCTAGGTCGAATATACAGGGTGCGGCAAAAAAATGGAAACTTATTTTTATAGCTATATTTTTCCTAGCAATCCAAATTCCGCAAAAGTGACGGTCATCTTCAAAAACATAGAGCATTGTTTATAACATATTCAACCCGTTTTACCGTGGCTGCTTTTGGTGGCGATATAGAGCTCCAAACGTGACTTAAAATTTTGGCCTTTTGGCCGCGGCTTTTTTCGGGGAAATCGGTCCCGTTCTTGACGCAGCGATTACTTTGCGACTCCAAACTTTTGTGGCGTGTAGTACAGATGCTGGCCTCCAATTGAAAAAAAATTACAGTCCATTGGAAATATACCCGGCGAGCAGGCGCTCTTTTCGCAGACGGGGTGAAATTGGGAAAATCGGTCTCAAAATCGGTCTTGACTCGCTGTTGCCCTGTGAGTCGGCGCTGAGTCTTGTTGGAACGCCAAATTTAGGCTGCCATGGTTCTACTGAGCCAACAGAAGCATGAGGAAATCGAGGTTAACGTGGCGCTGGAATTTTGCCCTCTTGATCCACAAAAATCTCGGAATTCTTGCCGCTGGCACAAATTCCGCCTTAGGCGATGACGGCCCTTATTTTGACGGTGTTCGTCGTTAGCCGACGTGCAGGGGGCCTCATCGGATTGGACTATGACGTTCTGTTGGTTGTGCACCCGCCAAAGATTGCACCGCGGAGGGAATGCGCTCCAATCGCGGACCTGCGGCCCGACGTCGGAATTTTCGGCATTTTTTCAGGCGTACGGGCTTGATCTTGCCGATTAGGAGTTGGGCATTTCAGACCTTGCGTGGGGAGACTTTGAGTTGATTTTTAGCTATTTGGCCGACTGGTCGGTCGCTGATGCCGGTCTCATGGGCAATTTTTTCTCGAAATTGACGGATTTCGCTATTGATGACTCCGCGGCTGGCAGAAGTGTTGGCGGTGCGTTTTCTTTCGCTTACTGAACGCTTAAAATTGTCAAAAAGCTCCCTGCATTGTGTGATTACTTTGGACACAACGTGCTTTCTATGCCGGGCAAATTAACAGTTCGCACAGGTGAAAAAACAGGTCCGAAATCGAGGTCCCTCTGTTTGTCATTCAAAAAAAGAATGTTAATAAACCGATATGGACATGAAATTATAAGGTCTAGGAGAGAAAGCTACGTAGAATTTAACGCTATGAAAATAATTTTGCTGCACTTAAAGATTTTTGCGTCAGGACCCCATGAAAAAAGTTTCCATTTTTTTGCCGCACCCTGTATAGACGTGGCGCTGATCGCCGGGGCCTTTTAGCAAAAAAAAGTCATTCCCAAAGAACAGACTTTCTGGCGGTCTTAAAACACAGTTTTTGAAATTTCAACCCATTTTTCCCCTCGCAAAATTAACAATTTCAAGTTTATTACACTTTATTGCATAGTACAATGTCGTAACGTTGATTTCCCATGTTATCCACGACGCTGATGATGCCTTTCGATCCCTGGAATCGGATATTTGCATTCTCCATGCTCCTTTTCACAGCAATAGAAACAAGTGCCTCGATAACAGGTGGATTCCAAACAAGTCGAATTCAGACTTCCTTCACAGACAGTTTGATGTGAACCACAATGGGTATTACATTGCGAATCGAACAAACAGAAGGATTCGAAGGGCCAATACATTGGCCCTGCGTTTCCTGAAAATTGATGGTTTCTTCAAAGCGGGCTAAAATTTTTTGATTTCCGAAGGTTTCCTACAGTGGCGGACCTGGTCCAGTGGCGAAAAACGTACCAATTTTGCATCCGGGAAGCATAAAAATGTGGCAAAATACCTCCCTCTCCAAGCGAAAAAACTCCGAATTCAAAAGCGCACCCTTCAAAACGAAGTTTTTTCACTTGGAGAGGGAAGCATTTTGCCACATTTTTATTACCTCCCAGGTGCAAAATGGCACGTTTTTTGCCCACTGGATCGGGTCCGTCTCTGTAAATGCGGGCTCAGGTTTTCTTCGAGTTTTCCGCACACCCTCGGCCTAATCTAAAATTTTAGCGACAGTAACGCGCTAAAATTTTAGATTGCGATTTGCATGGAGGGCCGAGATGTTCAACGTCTTTTGCCGAGAAGAGAATACACGTAATGTGGAGAGCGGATAGAGAAAAAATGCCTTTTTGCGTATTTTTTGTCCTGTGCGCGCGAAAAGATTCTTTTTCTGGAAATGTTGTTCTCTTTGTCAAAAATTAGGCTGCAACTTTTCATGGATAAACTCGCCACAAAATAGTCAAATTTGGACGAACGTCTGGACTGAAAATCTTGGTTTTTTCTGCAAAGAGCGAGCCAAGAGACTCGCAGCTGTGCTAGAAAAGATTGTTTTAAATTTGTGCCACGTTTCATCAAAACTGAACCCGCATTACTATACGAAAAACTCTAAAATTTGGCTTACGATTCTCCATCTCGGCTCTCAAAAGCAGCATCTCCAGCGGCATGTCGGTTGTGTAATTCCCGCCGAAGTCATTCAGATTCACCTCCATTCCCAAATCAGGCGCCAAGGATTGAGCCTCCGTGCCATTTTCGATCTCAACCTTTCTCTCCACAACATTATTCGGCGTTGTCGAAGCAAATCGAACGAATGGAATCCGACTGCTTTGACCGTATACGGTCGAAACGACGCCCAGAAAAACGATGAGAAGTAAGGGAGACATTCGAAAAAATGATTTCATTTGGGAAATCAGACAAAGTAAGGGGAAATTCATTATTTATACACGAATTCGCTCCGGTATTTTCCCAGAAATCGAGTTAAAATTCCGCTTTTTTTTGATACATGTGATATTGTGATAGATGATTTTTGTTGATTTACAAGGATTTCTAAAAAAAATTTATGTCATCAAAAAAACATTTGGAGTAAAAAAGCGTATGGATAAGGAAAAACAAAGATTTGGGGGTTGAAGAGTGTAGTTCTACTCTAATGGCTCCTCTATACGTCTTTCTTTTTCCACCAGTTCCTCCTGAAAGTACGCAATTTTTATTTGGGGATACGAATTTTTGGGCCAACGGCAGTCGATTTGTCGCTGCATAAGGCTAGGAAAGGATAAGGCTCAGTTAATCTTGAAATAACAAGATTTATCAGGCCGTAGGATAGTTTATCATCCATTTTGAGGTAATTTTGCGTATACTCGTAACAATAATATTGCAATAAAAGTTACGGATTTGACTTTGCTAAAACTTGCTGCAAAACAAGACTACCACTTTACATGGCATATTCGAAACTTTTAGCTAGCAATTGATTGAAATAATCAATCCCCAAGAGCCAAAGCTCCGTGATTCGTAAGTTTTTACTCCTCTAAAATTGCTTCTACTACCATAACTTGCTCTCCGAGGTCCTGCTTGCAAATTCAACGCCAGTTTACTTACGAATTCCGCGCTGTATTGAATCGAGCAGATGCAGAACCAAGTCCACCAACACATTCCCAGCCGTCCGCAATATTTCGTGCATTCCCAGTCCGTCACACAAACAGGTGTCGAGAGCAGAAAAAGGCCGGCAAGACAAAGCAAAAGAAGGAGTTTAGCTGACATTACCTTTTATTCAAAACTAGAGCTGAGTGGATTAAAATATAAGAAAAGAATTATGGGTTCCCAATGAATCATATGAGTTAGAGGGCCCGGCCTTTGTTAAACATTCCGGAAGAGACGGAGAACGAACAGTCAGCAAAAGAGGATGCAATAACAGACAAAAGGAAGTGATGACCCAAAACCCCTACATAATACATATACACCGCGGAGTATGGAACTTGTATATAAGGGCTCCACAAATGTCAGAACTGACCGTTACGTCGTTTTATGAATGGGAGAGGCTAGGGGAAGGCTTTGTTAGTAGAAATAAAAATACTATTGATCAGGTCCTAGGATAGCTTATCACCTATTTTTTGAGGTGTTTTACATGTACTCAGATTAATAATATTTAGAGAAATGTTGCGATTCTTCGTCTTTTGCAACAAGTATTTGGTCGTTTCGATATTACAATAGCTCTGGGAAAAGAAAACTAACGTTAGTAATAGCTGAAATTAGAGAACCCGGACATATTGTAAGCCTTCGCCAAGTCTCCGCCAAGTCTCTGCCGAGCCTCCGCCGAGCCTTCGCCAAGTCCCGCCGAGCATCCAACGGAGTTGCCAGGCCTCATAGGCATTTTCCATAACCTTTCTTTCGGTCTCCACATGCTCTACAACACATATCGATCTATTTTGTATTGACCCGAACTGCCTGAATCTAATGGCTCAATGGAGTTGGAAATGACATTTTTATTGACACACAAAATTTCATTCCATTCAATCAACATTTACACCGCAGATTAATACACTTGGCGAACTTGTGGCCGCAGAAATCGAAGCATTCTCGATGATTTTTGCAGGTTTGCGACGCCTCCGTCGTCATCAACGCTAGTATCAGAATAAAAATTGTAGCAAACAGATTAAGGATCCCTCCGGAAACTCTCATAGCCGTTTTTGGAAAAAATCGAAATGCAAAAAAACAGAGAGAAAAGTAGCAATAAATACCTCTCAAAACGCCTGTAAATGTAGTGTTATACAAGTCTGAACAATAGTTTTTTCTCTTCCGTTTAGCCAATTGAATAATCTGGCGAGAACACCGGCTCTTTTGTTTTTTCCCGCTTCTGGAGTTCCCCAAACTTTGCAGCTGATAAAAGGATTACGCCGCAGGCAATGGGGTCACAAACCAAAAAAGTGCATCTTGTTTACGATGACAACATACACTGCTCGCCAAAATTATAAATGCACCTTTAAAATCGCTGTAACTTTTGTGGTTGTCAATAAAACTGTGCCATATTTGGCTCCAATATGTGTTAGTGTACTATAAATCTTGTACCAAAAAATTATTTTGGAAAGTTTCCACAATTTGGAAAAAAGTTGAAAAAACCGAAGTTTGGTGATTTTCCTTGCGACAAAATTATAAATTCGCGCAATGTTTTGCAATTTTCTTGCCGCTGGTGCTGAAGCAAAGTAATTTATTGGGCTTGGTGGTATTCTTAGGGGTCCTTCTGTCATGCTACGAGGAAAAAACGGTGGTAAAATTTGTGAAGGGCGGAATTACGGCTCTGAAACGGCAAGGACCTTAAGTCTCGCAGATTTCGGCGCAGGCAGGCCATTCAGCCGGAGTTGTGAAGAACTACTGAACTCACTCAGAAGTCTTCAACACATCTAAACGTTCTGGCAAAAAAGGTTTACCACCGCGGCAGAGTCAAGGCAAAGAATTCCGCCGAACTTCCATCTCCACCATCTCTGGGTCCCATATAGAGCAGGAAACAGGTCTCAATTGTTGCAGCATAGCTCTGCTGAGGGCCCTAAGACACAGCGATGTCATCACTGGACGCCATATGAAATCGTGCCCCAAGCTGGCCTAGGTTCGGTTAGCGCGCGACCAAAATTGGCCAAGGTTACTTTGACAAAACAGTTTGAGTAGTCAAGGGTCGGTTTATCATCGTTGCAGTACCGAATTCCTTCGAGATTGCATGGTCAGACGATGTCCTCGACGCTTTCACACATAGCACATATTACCGTCATTACATCAGAAGAGAACCGCGTTACTTCTCGTGCCGTAATGTTGGAGGACCTGTCTTGGTACAAGATTTATAGTACACTAATACATATTGGAGCCAAATATGGCACAGTTTTTTTGACAACCACAAAAGCTACAGCGATTTTAAAGGTGCATTTATAATTTTGTCGAGCAGTGTATAAACCGATTGTCGGAAGCGTTGTCTAATGAAATTCTTTTGGGAATTTTTGAAGGGTCTTATCTATAATAAAACGCATCAAAAAACACGTGAAAAATGACGATAGAAAAGTAATAAGACATGATTATACTGGCGCTATGACTTTCCGGGTCGGCGACAGTTCGAGTCAACGATACTATGGATCGACGGTTTGTTATTTGCAAAAAAATTGTGAATTCTTTCATTGTGTGTCACAGTTTATTAGTCTGTCATTTGGAACAAATCACTTCCCACATCTGTAGCACATGCACAAACGGAAAGCAGTGCATTGAATTGTGTCGGTGCCGTGGCAGGTGCACCCTCTGAAATGCGATTTTAATTAGATATATGTATAAACAAGGGATGGATCCCAAGTGCGACGCTCAGATTTTCTTTAAAATTTTCATACCGTCGGGCATAGTCAACATATCAATTCCTGAAAATGTTGGCTCGCATTTTACAGGCCCAGCCAAAGCATTCAACGATCTTTGCGGCCGAGAGAGTACGCAAAACGCGGAGAGATGTCACTTTGAAAAACTCTCTTTGGTCTTGGCCGGTTTCGTCGGGAAAAAACATGTTTTTATGAATACATTACGATAGAAAAATCCATGGACTTTTTCGTGCCGAAACTCGCCAAAAATCGGCACATTTCCCAACTGTTAGCCTAAAAATCTCGGTCGTTTCTGCAAAGTGCAAGCTAGGAGTGTCATATCTTTCTCAGAAACAAGTAATGGATAACAAATGTGTGCCAAGTTTTACCAAGATATCGCAAAAAAAGTCGCTTACTCCTGAGCACAATCAGCATTTGTTGAACAAGCCAGCCCGCTACATTGTTGCAATGTAACGCCAACACACAAAGCGAGGATGACAAAAAACCTCAAAAAGTCCATTCTTCAGAACATGAGGGTTGGTAAAATCATGATACTACCAGAACACTTTATATACCAGTAGTTAACTGACCAGTTTTTACTTTGTAGTTGTTGTCTTATTTGGTTATGTTGAAAACAAGTTTTGATACCGCTTTGTAAACAGTGATTTGCATATTTAAATTGGTCGTTGTTGTTGGCGGATTTGCAAGGATTATAAAACAAAACAACTTGGGAATGTAGTGTCGATTGTAGCTCTCCCGTACTCTACCCAAAAGTTGTACCCAACTCAAAAGGGAAGTGCTCCAACTGCGACGCTCCGATTTCGATAAAATCTGGCACAAATTTAAATTACAGGGTGTACCAATTTGGTGGCCCGATTTGAATTGGCTATAACTTCTTTAATTTTGGGCCAAATTTTAAAATTCTTTTTTTACCTGAATCCTCAGACATCCCCATTGTGTTTAATACCAAATATGTGGCAGGAGTACGGAAATCTCGCCATCTTCGTCGTGAAGAACAAAAGATCTCAAAAAATGCCGAAAATCAGTCGTATCTTGTGAACGGTATAGATAGTTGTGGCAAATCTAGGTTCATAAGGTTTAGAATTTTGTGTATAATAGTTTGGAATCAAAAAAACCTAAAGCAAATCCGCAGATATGGAAATTTTTTCAAAGACATATACGAGACTCCGAGCTCGCGCTTTGCAGAGATGAGCGAGATTTTTAGATCGAAAGTTGGCAAAAATTTGATACTTTTTGCTGAGTTTCCGCACGAAAAGTTTCATGCGTGTTTCTACCGTGGAGGGAAATGTTTACACAAAAAACAAAACTGGCAAAAAGTGTTTTTCTTCTCTGACGCGCTCTCCGTGTTCCACGTGCTCTCTCGGCCATAAAGATCGTTAAATATCTCGGCGGTCCCTGAAAAGCGGCAGCCAATATTTTAAGACATTGATATTTAGCCCATGTCCGATATGTGTGCAAAAGTTTAAGAAAATCTCAGCGTCGTTCTTGGAGTACTTGTAAATTTACAGGCAAGCCTCTTTTACCGCTCAAAAAATCGCTTAGTTTTGCTTCGTTGCCTCCGTCGCAGCGCCTCCACCGAAGCCTCGCTTGGCCATCTACGCCCCTGCGTGCAAGATGAGGTCTTTTGAGCACGGTACCATGCACTTTATGAAAATGTCATCCCTCTGTTTCGCCGTTGTCTGACATCTTTTTTCTCCGTAACTTTATGACCTTCAAACTGAAAAATGTTTATTTGTCCTGCCCACTTTCAATGCTTCTATGACGTCATTACTGTGTCACACCCTGAACGCGACCGCAATATCCCTCGGCTGATGGCTCATTTCTATTTTGCGGAGCCATAAAAAGCGTTTAATGATTCAAATATTGCTCCACTTTCCGTGAAACTGTTTATTCAACCCGGGTTCCACAATCAATTTCATTATTTCGCAAATAAATCGCATAAAACATGACAAACCGGGGAGGATATAAAGCGACAGTCGGCTGCAAGTCACACCGGGATTATGAAGTTTTTCCACTTGTGTGTGGTTTTGGCTATTTTCGGCTGGAATGATGTGATTGCGCAGGATTGCGCGTATGCTTCCTGCTACACGGCGTTCGATTGCTATGCTCAGTAAGTTTCGAAAGAATAGTTAAGAACCCCGGGGCTAAAGATAGCTCAGAGACCGGTCCGCAAGGCTTCGGAAAGCCGGGCCTGGAGCCATGTCTTCGCGTGACAAAAGCGTCGAACCGATCACCATTTTTCCCCAGACTAATCTCTTTATTGTCAAGTACAATATTGGGGTAGTGCGGGTAGCAGGGAGGTTTTTTGCAGCCTCGTCATACACGGTTTAAAAGCGCAATTTCTGAGCTTCAAAACCCTGTGTTCAACGTATCTCGTAATGTGTTTCAAAGCTCACAGGAATTCGCACAAAACGACGACCCAAAAATACGCAAGACTTATGGGACACCCTTGATACTTGATAAACTCCGGATAGGAGTAGGATTTACACCAATCGGAATTTTAAAACTTCATTTTTCATCAGTCCGTTTCAGAGGCTGTCTCTGCGCCCCAGGCGACGTCCTACAGTGCACTCCGTACTTGTCCTGCATTTGTCAAACGTGCTATAAATGATGTGAATTGACTGAAAAAGCATTAAATAAAGCAGCGTTCAAGTTGTGTTAGCTCTATTTGAAAAATCCGTTTAAATGCAGTTTTCAGTCTGGCTTACAATGTTAGCCATGTGTTTTATCATTTCTTGACACCCATTCCAATCTTTTACCCAACTTTTTGAAATTTTGCACTCATTTCAACTCACTGGCTAGCTTTTCGAATAATTTCGCCACATTGGTTGCACATGCATAATTGGGCCAACCTCCGCCCCGTCCCGACTTTTCGGGACGAAGGCAGTTCGGGTCAACACAAAATCAATCGATACGGGGCATAGGGCGGGTTAATGCCCAAAAAAGGTCGTAGGAAGTGCCTATGAGGCCTGGCAACGCCGTTGGATGGTTGGCGGACGCTCAGCGAAGGCTCGGCGGAGACTTGGCGAAGACTTGCAATATGTCCACTTTTTCAAACTTTAGTTATTACTAACGTTAGTTTTCCTTTCCCTGAATTACTGTAACATATAAAAGACGAAAATTTGCGGCAAAAAACGAAGATCCGTAACTTTTTTCTAGACATTATTGATGTCGGTACATGTAAAATACCTCAAAATATTAGGTGATAAGCTATTCTGGGACCGGATCGATCTTTTTATTTCTACTAACTACGTCTTCCCCTAGCCTCCCCCATGCATACAACGACGAACCGACGCAATCCATAGTATCGTTGACCCGAACTGTCGCTGACCCGAAAAGTCGTAGCGCTCAGTTTTGCAAAAAAAACAACAGTTGAAATATTATGATTCCATGCAGATTCCGGAAGTATTAGTGATAAGACTACTCAATATTCAAATCTCCCGGAATACCCAAAACATCAATTATATAACGAAAAAACCCTGGCGACACTCACTATAGTAAGTCCTGACTTACCATGACGACGAGGTTGTCGTTAGTTGTCGTCGTATTCTCAATTGTCTTTGTTTGCGTTGCATCGCAAACGAATAGCTGCAGCGGGCCGTGCAACAGTAACGAGGATTGTCTGAGAACGTATGTTGGCAAAATAGAAAGTAAACTATGTAGCTGCAAAAGGGGCATATACAATCTATGTTTCCAGGGGATGTGCTTGTCACGGAAACGACTACCATGTCTGTTCTCCATACCACTGTTGTGTGTGCATTGTAAATTGCAACACTTGTTGCAATACGTCTACTTCTACGACTACGAAAAAATCGACGTCAACTTCATCAGTCTACATACCAAGTACGACAACGGCAACTACTGAAACAACAACGGAGACAACTACGACTACTACCGAGACAACCACCACTACAGAGACGACAACGACTACAACGGAAACAACAACTACTGAGACCACAACTGCAACAACCACAACGCCGACAACTACTACTACTACTACTACTACTACTACTACTACTACTACTACTACTACTACTACTACTACTACGACAACTCCGACGACCACTACAACCACAACTACAACCACAACTCCCTCTGCAACAACTACCACAACTACCACCACAACACCAACAACTACAACAACCACGGCTGCTCCGGCAGCAGTTCGTTCCTCTAGAAAAACTCTTCTGCAACGAATGCTCAAACAACTTTTGCAGTTATTACAACAAGAATAATGTCATCGGCTTCTCATAACAACTCCTGCCATAATCATTTCCAACAAAATTTCAAATCCCTGCCATCTTCGGATACAATTTCTTGAAGACTATAAACCCTCACAATCCTTGACTTGAAGCTGTTTAATAAACAACGAAACTCGAACCCATTGCCGACGAATTTTATTACACGAAGCGCGTTTTTCCTCACATTATATCTGCCAAGCAAAGTTTCCCACAAATGTCATTTTTTAAAACGAAGTTGGTCATGTTCGAAGCTTTGTAAAAACCGTTGTATAAAGCTTTACCATACGACACATATATCAGTAGAGAGCGTTTTCAACGTTCTTTCAGATGATCTAAATGGGGCCACCCGGAAATCACTGCCCAAATTGTTGTGGATAGTTTTTATCAGTCTGTCGGGAAAAAAGTGAGCGCTCTGTCGCATCGAAAATCATTTTCGCCGCGGAGAAAATGAATTGTGCCGCTGCAAAATCAAATTGCTTTTCATTTCAGCGAGTAGTGCAGTGACATTGCGCTCACTATTTCTTCCGACATACTGATGATTTTGGTGAAAGTAAACAAAAAACTTTTCACTGGATTAAGAGCAAAACTTGAATGCACGAAACTTATGCCCAGCCTTTGACCTTCCCCTGTTTTTTTCCCATTCACAATTGCAAACGTAATCTGTATAACAAAAAGGAGCCTTCCCACAGTCATTATGCACGCCATTAACTCCATGCTTTCCGATTTATGTAAGGTCATATGTGCATGGCCGCCTCGGAACGACCATGAAACTGATCGTGCTTTTGTTTTCGCTTCTCTTCAGCTTCTCAGGTAAGTTTCATCCATGAAATTTGTCACCGCTCATACTGCAGACGCTTTCAGAGTTTGTATCCGAAACTCGGACTGCGAATACAAATGTGACGTAAAGCCGGGATACATAACGGAATGCACTTTTCTGCACTGTCAAACGTACTGCAATGATCCGATTTGCTACGACGATGCAGAGGAATAAACATCGATTTTACTTTAGTTAGTTTCGCCCCAATTTTTAATACTTTTTCCAATTAACAACCATATTACTTTATTCATTAGACCTATCAAGTACAATATTAAATCATCGATTACTCTGTTAGATAAATCTTTCTTGTTCGCGAAATTAGCTCGGAATTCTTTTTGCGGTTGTACAAGTAGATGGAGCCGACAGCTGTTCCGAAGAGGATCACGACCAAAAACGTGACAATTGAGAAGACTCCCACTCGGCTAATGCAGACCCCGTTGTTGGCGCGGCTGATGTACGGGAGGGTTGAGATTACATCCCGAGGCTTGTCTTTGCCTGAAAATTGATCAGTTTTGCGTAAACCGGATTTTAGGAAGAAAGGGGCATTTTATACGATGAAACATGTTTTCGCATGTTTCATCGTATAAGATGTTCGCTTTTTGAAGTTTTACAATTCACTATGACTAAAACTTTGGACCAACTTCTTTTAATAAATGTCATTGCAAAAGCTGCCATTTTATACGATGAAACATGCTGACACATGTTTCATCGTATAAAATGTCTCCTTTTTCGGGATTTACAATTACGATGACTAAAAAAGTTTACCAACATTTGATGGCGAGTGGCAATGTAAGAATGCCATTTATATGATGAAACATGTTCATTCATGTTTCATCATATAAAATGTCACCGTTTCAAACGAAAATTTTCCTAAAGCAAAAACGGCGAAAGATATACCAGCTCCATCGATCTCATCGAGAGGCATGACCATTAATTCCGCGCTTAGATCCGTTTCCATAAAGTTCAAGGCATCTCTGCTTGATCTGCTCCGCCCGCCTTTGGCAATGGTCTCATTCAGCTCGAACATGGTCTCATTCAATTCCACAGCAGCCGCATCTTTGATCAGTTTCCTGAAAATCAATTTCCAGCGTATTTCGTCCGGTTATAAGCCAGCTAAAGGCGTCTGGGGCGAACTTTTTTGAACCTACTCGAAGACGCTAGTATCAGGGTCATCCTTCAGTCTCGGGGTCAATTTTGGTGGCGGAGGGGGAACAAAAACTCTTCGTGGGATCGACTTGAAGAGCGCCTGCGCGGCCCGTTGACGTTCTTGAACGCTCTTGAAGGCGGCGGTCCGGTCGACCTCGGGACGTTCGGATGATTCGGCAGATGCGTGATTAACAAACTTTTTCTCCGGAGATTTGGGGCGCGATGGCCCTCCACAGTTTGGCGGCTGGAATTAGAGTTCTCAAAGCTTTAAAATTCCATTAAACCTCTTTCACGACGAAAGGGACATTTTATACGATGAAACATGTTCATGCATGTTTCATCGTATAAAATGTCGTCAATTTCTAGTTTTACAATACACAATGACTAAAAAGTTTTATCAACTTCCTATGACAAATATCAATACCAAAAAAGACATTTTATACAATGAAACATTTTCATGCATGTTTCATCGTATAAAATGACCGATTTCTTACCGTAATCCCCTCACAACCTCCATCCTCTTTGAAGCAGAGCTGCACGGTGCATGTGAAGAAGAGCTGAACTCGGTCGGCGTATTTGAACACATGCGAATTTACAAACGCATTTACGCCATTGGCCTCGTAGACAATGTCGCCGAGAAGAACTTTGTCGGTTGCGCACCTGAAATTGGTCAACACTTTGGGTTAAAAAATGTCCTGCAAGGTGCCAGCCATATAGTTTCTTATTTTTTACCCCCTCTGATCGACCAATTCGAACTTATTTCCTCTTCCATCATCCACATAGCAACTGTGAATCAGAAGGCCGTAGAGCCAAGCGGCGGAGGAGTCGCACTCCCACACATGCGTTACAGAATCCCCAACGCTCGCGAAACGAAGCGCCGACCGATCGCTGCTCGATTGCCGAAGATGGTAGTTGCATTGGGGCAGAGTGAACTCTTGTTGGACCACTTCGGTGACTAGTTGACTAAAAAATTTTTATGTTGTTAGTGTGTGGAGAAAATCAGTCATGATTTTTTGAATTTTCAGACTAAACAAGAAGTTTTTTGTCGATACATTTTGTATAAAAATTGCTTTGCTTAAGAGAGAACTCAAGAACTTGTAACGGAATCTTTTTTCTCTGACCGCTCTCCTCATTTTCTATGATCTTTTGTCCGGAAAAAATAGTTGAATAGCGAGGCTCTTTCTTCAAATTGCGGGAGAAAATTTTCAGGAATTGATACATGACTTATGAAGATTTTGCGTTCAAAATTTGAAGAAAAACTGAGCCTTGAAAGTGGACATATTGCAAGTCTCCGCCGAGCCTTCGCCGAGCGTCTGCCGGCCATCAGCGGCTGTGCCAGGCCTCGTGTGCACTTCCTACAAGCTTTCTTGGGAATCTACCTGCCCTACGCACCGTACCTATCAATTTTGTGTTGCCCCCTACCGTCGTCGACCCTTTGAAAGTCACTTTGAAAATTTTTGAGTTGTTTTAGAACTGCGAGCAATTTTATCGCTTACTTCACTTCCAACTGCGACTCCACACCTTTGATGGCCTCCACAAAGAAGCAGCGGACATTGAACGCCCTATCAGCACCGGTTAAGAACGTTGAATGGAACGACGTGACCAAGACGAAACTAAATGAGACTCCTCGAGGGCTCAACTAAAAATTAGATTCTTTTGAAATTTTTTTAGTCATCGTTGCCAAAAACGGCAAAAAAATCTTTTTTCATCTTCAGAACTCAAGAAAAATAATCAAAAATTTGAATTTCCTACCGTTCTCTGCCTTCTCATGTTGCAAGCGCCAAATTTCAAGTGGAATTCGGCGGAATTGCCGGGGCTCTCCGAATCGACGTAAGAATGAATGCATTCGGGCCGATCGGCCTCTTCAGCGACGAATAATCGACCTCGGAACGGGCCTTGTGTACGAACCAGGACGTGAATGCCCTCAGGGCCGCAGAAAATTTGCGGTTCTCCCAACACTCCATTGGGTGCGGGCTAAAAATTTTTAAATTGAAATTACAGTAAGACGGATAATATTTTTGTCGAAAATTCGTCAAAAAATCAAACTGTTCTTACTCCATGCGCCTCCACATTGTTTATAATGGCCAACAAGAGCAGCAGAACGCCCTCAATCATAGTTTGAGACACCTGCCAACCAAGTGTAATATCAGTGATGAAAAAATTTTCGCCTCCAATGTCTCGATAGCTTAACACACCGCAAAATAAAATGCCTCAGGCACCGGATGACAGGAGTAGCCGACCTTCCACCAGAAGCAACACCTGCCCAATAAACGGTTCGTTTCGCGGAATCAACTCCCAAATATCAGCTTCCGTCAGGTAAATCCGTCGGTTAAGCCAATAAAATGATGACATCCTCCTCCTCACAATCAACAAACCGGCCGCCTTCGCCGCGAAACCGGCTCCGCACAGTATCACATTCCTGTTTGGAACACGTTTCGTACGGTTATAGCGGCGGTAATGAAGTCATAAAATTTTCGAGTGGGGTTTTCATTTGTTTTTCGAATATCTTATTGTTTCTTTTTTCTCTGTTGCACTTTGGTTATGAAATATGGTAAAGCGAGGTGTGAGGGACAGGCGGAAACCATCCATATACCCTAAAGCATCCCTAGAATCCAAAAAATTGAATTTCAAAATTGGACCATCAGGAATGCATGGATAATGTCAAAAAGTTATCAAGGTTATCAAATCTGCCTTCCAATCAAAACAAAAAACTGATTATTTGAAATAACAAAGTCTGACGGACAGGTGGAAACCATCCTTATACCCTAAAGCATCCATACCTTCCAAAAAATCGAATTTCTAAAATTGGACCATCAGGATTGCATGGATAATGTCAAAAAGTTATCAAATTGATCAAATCTGTCTCCCAATCAGTATAAAAAACTGATTATTTCAAATAACAAAGTCAAGGCAACTTGTATTTACTCGTAGATACTCAAAATATATCATAAAGCGACTAATTTAGACTATTTTAGGTAATGGAACTAATAATAAATTATAAAATAAGTTACAAACTGAACAAAGTTTAGTCGATGATCTTCTTGGCTCGCAATTCCTTCTGAGCCTCCGCAATCTCCTTCTGAAGTTCGGTAAAGGCTTCGGGGACATCATTTATTCCAAGTGCACGAGAAATAACTTGATAAACGCAATGGACCTAAAGTAAGGTCATGAAATTAGGCAATCTCAAATCCCTTATCCAAAATGTGGCAAAGAATTTTCTTTCTGCATCTTACTGTATCTAAAAATGAAAACAAAAATTAAAACACTTACTCCAAACGAGAGAACACCAACAATTACTCCATAAAAGGCAAAATTGGCCAAAGGCCCATTCCCCAAAATTCCATACGCCCAAATCGACAAAACAATGGTAGCAACGGCAAGGAATCGGTGTAATGCTGTCGTCATCTTATCGGAATACTTGATTGCCTAAAAGATGAACATAAAATTCACGTAACCAACTCCAAGTATAATATAATTCCCTTTTTTACGCAACAAAATTCCCCAAAAAAATATAAAATTACTAATGTAACTCCTCGAGTTACTCCGTTACACTTTTTTCTCTACAATTACGCAAAATCCTGTTATTACACGATTCTTTATTTTCCTGAAACACAATGCCAAACTTTTGGCATTGCACGCGAAAAACTTTCAGTCTCGAAGCGAAAATATACGGTCGTGTATTTTTTCCTCGAAAAAATTTAGATAGGACGAAGGAGAATTTACTTTTATTTTTTCTTTTTCTTTTACCCGTATTTTCCGTATTTTAGGCGGACTTTCAGTCTTTACTAAATTATTTTGTGATATCTGATGTTATCTGAAATGTTTCGGATGTCGTTTTGGCTGCTTTTTGTCCAAATTTGAATGAGTTTTGCTATTTTTGAGATTGATCAAGAGATTTTTCGAGTTTTTTTATTTTATGCATATTAGAATATTGTTTTACCTTGTTTGTTGCAGGTTTCATCATGGGAAAGCCAAAGGGAATCCGTACGGCTCGTCGTCTCAAAAAGCACCGTCAAGAACAGCGCTGGCATGATCAGAGATACAAGAAGGCCAACCTCGGAACCCGGTGGAAGGCCGATCCTTTCGGTGGCGCTTGCATGGCCAAGGGAATCGTTATTGAGAAGATGTAAGTGTCTTTTAATGTTGTTATGGGTTTAGATTGTGAGAATAGGTCTTTTAGGCCAAAATTAATACTTGCCTATTTGCTTAGGCGGTTTTGTGAAGGCAGTTTTGGATGTTGTTTTAGGCCAGAAAAGAACTAGAATAGAATCTGGCAGATCGGGGACCTAATTTCTCTTATTTTCAGCGGTGTCGAAGCCAAACAGCCCAACTCTGCCATCAGAAAGTGTGTCCGTGTTCAGCTCATCAAGAACTCCAAGAAGATCACCGCCTTCGTCCCCAAGGACGGTTGCTTGAACTTTGTTGAAGTGAGTTCTTTTATTTTTCTTTAGTTTTTAGCCTATTTTGTCGAAAATAACGTAAATTCTTTCAGGAAAACGACGAAGTTTTGGTATCTGGTTTCGGTCGCTCAGGTCACGCCGTCGGAGATATTCCCGGTGTTCGTTTCAAGGTTGTCAAGGTCGCGAACACTTCCCTGATTGCCCTGTTCAAGGGAAAGAAGGAGCGCCCACGTTCTTAAGATGCTAATTGTTGTTCTCTAATTCTTTGTCTAAAAATAAACGTTCCTTGTTGTCCCTAAATGAATTTGAAATTGATTTGTACGGATTAGCGACAATTTAGTCTATTTATTAAAATATATTACCAACAAACGACCCATAGCAAGCTAAAGCAGTACTTAGGCACTTATAACCGTCTTCTCCGTTGATTAATGATCTCCGAATGTCTTGATTTGACTACACAAACCGCGTCAAAGAACCTCGAAACCAATAATTTGTTAGTCGATCCAGCGGCGATTTCCTTCCGACAATCCAATTGAATCTCTTCGTATTGGCGGAGGAACCGGATACGTTGGCGGTTTGGTTCGCGAGCTCTTTGAGGGGCTAGATCAAGGTAGGAGCCAACCACAAGTGTTGGGAGGTATCCAATCTGCAAATACAATAATACAAAAAACCTCAATATTAATTTACTACCTTTTCCACATCTCCTAGCCTATTGAACTCTCCGAATCTTTGGCTGCCATTCGGTCCGGGGTACTCCTCCAAAAGCGCGGCCCATTGGGCCAAGTTCTGCTCGGATCTGGAGTTGGTCAAGTCGTGAACGTAGATGATTCCACACACATTATCCGAGAAGACTCTGGCGGCGGTCTGCCGATGGATGTTGGCTCCTCCCACATCCCACAATTCAATGATCTCCGTTGATTCCTGAGGTGTTCCGGCTGCAAATTGATGAGCAAGGACCTAAAACCCGAAAATTCCACAAAAAAACGTCTCCCTTACCTTGATCGAGACTCCCACAGTGCTTTCCGGTCGAGAATCCGGCTTTCCACACAACGTATCCACCAAAGTTGACTTTCCGACACCAGTGTCACCAAGTAGAAGGACTTTATTGCTGTTCTGGTTCATTTCGGTAGACCTGAAAAGTCCAACATAATCATTTTCAATCCACACAGATTTTTGTTACACCTGCTAGGACACAACACATGTTATTCCACTAATAGCATCACCTTTTTATATTACACATCCCTACCATTCATCCATGCTGTATGTCTTCGGTACTAGTACTCACTTTAAAGCACAAGGAGCAGTTGGAGCACTCGAAGAGAGCGTAGTCCACCACGTTGGCAAGATCTTCCGCGTGGATTTCAAACAAGGCGCCGCAGCGACAATCCGTTTCCAGGGTTTTCTCTTCCGGTTCAAGATGAATCTCTTCCGAAATCAACTCCCTTTCTTCGCGAAGTCGCTGCTCACGCAGCCAAATGTCGTAACCTTTTCTGGTCGAGGGGTTCCTAAATTCCAAGGCACATGTTTCAATAAAAAATCACCTTACTTTAGGGTCTTATAGGCTTGTTGAGCAAGATTGATGATTTCCGAATCCGATTGGTCCTGATTTTTATCCGGATGGACTTTGAGGAGGAACTGATGATACCCTTGTTTGATATCCGTGGGAGATGCGTTCTCTTTTAGTCCAAACAACGCGTAAAAGTCCAACATTTACGAGAGCACCATCTGATGTCTAAAATAAGGTCAAAAACTGATTTTTTTTCGTAACTCTTGTACTTCTCAATCTCAAAAGCCGTAAACTGAGAGATACTTCCTTGGCATCAACAAATTTACACAAAAGTCATCAAAAAATTGCAGTTTATTTACATTCTTCTTTATAATCTCATGACTATCTGAAATAATATCAACGAAGGACCGATACACGTCTGAAATATTGTACAGGGGAGATATAGGAGTAAATAAAGCCGAGAATGGGCGAATACACTTCGTAGTAGTGGTAAATGGACAAGTTTTTAGCCCATTGTCGCCTAATCAGGAGTCTCGATGCTCCACAAATGAGTGGTCATCCGGATGGTGCTTAATGTTCGGGGAGGGCCGCTATACGCGGTTCCGCTGTCTTCATTGGGCCTGGCGACCTGCTGATCCGACACACCGATTCTATACGAGATGTTGGCATATTGCCTTAGGAAGGGGAAGGCGTCAAAGATGAAGTTGCAGAAGGGAGTTCTCATCCCAAACCACCACGAATTCCCCGACGGTGATCCGAACGTCATCAAAATCAGGAGGAACAATGCGCTGTACAGTGGGATCGAGAGCATTGTGAAACTCAAGTGTTCGGGTTGAATATCCAACGGATATGTGGCGGAGATGATCCGCGGCGGAGGTGTGGGCATCAAATTAGGCGCCACCAGAGGGCCATTCATCAATTGTTGGGAGGCCAGGGGCATCAGGGTTGTAGCCAGATCGATTAATTGAGGTGCCGGGGTCGCAAGATGATGCGCTGTTGCTGGTGGAGGGATTGCCATCCACCTGAAAGCATCCAATCGGGCGGTCAGCAGGACAAAGAAAGTGATGAGAGGGACGGCAAGGATCAGGTGGCAAGCGGACACATACACCTTAAGAATTATATTACTTTAGGGAAGGTACAGTGGGGGACCTGATCCAGTGGCGAAAAACGTACCATTTTGCATCCGGGAAGTATCAAAAATGTGGCAAAATACCTCCCTCTCCAAGCGAAAAAACTCCGATTTCAAAAGCGCGCTCCTCAAAACGAAGTTTTTTACTTTGAGAGGGAAGCATTTTGCCACATTTTTGATACTTCCCGGATGCAAAATGGCATGTTTTTTTGCCACTGGATCAGGTCCCCCATTGAATAATATAATTTCAGCAAAATTTTGGATTAAAACTCACTTGAGCCCTTCGATGTTGCTGCAGGGCGTGCAAAGACCGTGTAAGGAATACTGAGAGCAGTAACGAGTACAATGTTCCAATTACTCCTAATGAAAATAACACCCAAGTTGGGACAAACACCACGACCCAATTCCACCTCAATGTATCGTCCATTTTAAAAGCGATGAAAACAAATTGAACCACATTGATGGCAAAGAACATCTCAAATTCGAAGGTTCGATCATTTCGTACCGACCAAACTGCGATTACCATCGCCACAATACTCTCAATAAACAGCGGGAGACAAGCCAAACTCCAGGTAAATTCCTTGTCGTTAGGGGCAAATTCCAGCTTGTAGACGCATAGGACGGCAAAGGCAATGAGGAACAGATGCTGAATCGTTGTCAGACACATGCAGACAAAGTCGATTCTACTGGCATTGTCGTATCTGAATAGACAAGTGTAACACAAATTTCTGGTTATTTCAAGGCCTAAAAAATTAAGAATAAAGCGGAAAAGACATACCTCGACGGTGGCTGAGCGCAGAATCCCACAACGCCAATGAAAAATCCAGTCAGGACAATAATTTCGCCAAACCATATTGGTCCGAAAATGACGATCCAATTAACGTCCAACGTTCCATCTAACTTCAACGCACAGAGCAAGGAGAACAAGAGAAGGCAAAAGAAGACCACGAATTTACTGAAACATCATAATTCTTTGTTATCCGACAGACACAAACAAAAGTTCTTGATCCTTATATCTATGTTAATATACATCAATTTTCTTGCAAAATACCCCTCGAAATCACCTGATTTCCAACCTAAATTACAGCAAACTAAATGAAGCAACTTACGATCCATTGAACTCGCTGAGAAAAGACCGCAATGAGAGCTCAATCATAAATTATGGAGAGATCCGCAAAAATCGTCACAAAGCCGCTTTCGAAACCAAAGTTCCAGATGACTAAAGCAATATCTGCTTCGAAACTACCATGAATGTTGTGTAGAGAGAGCAGTCAAACCCAGTTTTGGCTGTAACTACAAACCCACATCAATAGAAATAAAAATATATTTTTTATTCGGGCGCAGCTCGCCCTCTTGGAAGGGATTGGTTTCAAGTGGAATTTCAGGGATTTCTGGCGTCGCGATGCAGGCTTTCTGGATATTTTTACAGAAATTGGTGAGACAAAACGAGGATTTCTCGGTAGTGCGAAATTCACATGGATTTACCTTGTTTTTTGATATCCTTATATTATACATGATCAGTTTTACTAATTTCTTCCAGATTTCATCGAAAATGTTGCGTGTTTCTATTGTAACTTGTCCAATCTAACATTACCTTTCTCTTGATTATTTTAGAGATGCAGGAGATGGAGTTTGTAGCACTTTCCGGCGGTGGGACGCGCCCTCCACTAACAATGGAAGAACGGATTGGTGGATGTATATACGAGTATACGGACGTTGAAGTCATGATAAACGAGCAACGAGGAGCTCGGCCGGTAAGTTATTGCCCCTAAAATTTTGGAGGGCCCTTTCTTATTGCTTCATTTTAAAATTTTAGGTTCCGTTTGCGGGTATGGACAAATCTGGTCGTGGAGTTTGTATAAAGTTCAGTCGTGATCCAAATAGTTGCACATTAGGCCTATTATGCCCGCTGCGGCATCTGATCGGCGATAAGCAGGTGGTATGCAAACATTGGCTTCGAGGGTTGTGTAAAAAGGGAGATCAATGCGAATTCTTACATGAATATGATCTAAGTAAAATGCCCGAATGTTATTTCTTCTCCCGATACAGTAAGTTGGATTTTCTGGTATATTATACTTTCTTTTAGTGGCCTGTTCGAATAAGGAGTGCCCGTTCCGACATATTGATCCGGACAGTAAGATCAAAGATTGTCCTTGGTACGACCGAGGTTTCTGCAGGCATGGTGAGTATTTTTGATTATTTCTTTTGGTTTTTAGGCCACAAGGATTATCGATTTATTGCTTCAGGTCCCTACTGCAAGCACCGACATCGTCGGCGTGTCCTTTGCCCCCTCTATTTGGCTGGTTTTTGTCCCAAAGGCAAAGAATGTAAACTTGCCCATCCATCTTTCGCGATTCCTCAGATTGATCGAACTGCTGGTCCGGTTTTCAAAGTCAACACGGCTATAACATGTCACAACTGCCATGAACGAGGGCACAAAGCCGGAAATTGCCCACATTTACCGAACATGGGACAACAATCTTTCGATTCGACATTCCAAAGTAATGGTGATACCGAAAGGAAATCATTGCAAGAAGTGGTCTGCTTTAAGGTAAGGACTTTGGATTTGGAATTTTTGGATATATTTAGGCCAAATCTCTCTTATTTATACTGTTCATGCTTTGTTAGATTAAAATTTTGACATCAGTTTATATTATCCATGATAAAAAATTTTTAAAACTTTTATTTTTTAGTGCGGAGAAAAGGGCCACTACGCTAACCGGTGCAGTAAAGGCGCTCTCGCTTTTCTCTCACAAAATCAACACCAGATCAGTGCTCAATAACTTATTTATTATCGTTGTTTATACCTCTTGTTATAATAGTTACAATTTTGTTGATAATAAAAAGAAGAGATCTCTATTTTCTATCCCAGTTTGTATGAAAAGGTTGATTCAATAAATACTGAATATTTGAGATCGATCTTTTGTCGAAAAATGAAAATTTTTGAACTATTTCAGAGATGACGTCAAGGAGAAGGTAATCATGGTAAATTCGATATTAAAAGCAATTGAGAAGGCCTCCAAAAGCCGAGAATTTAATAGCTTGATCACAGAGACCTTCGATTTGGCAAAGAAACAGGCCGAAGAGCATGTGAAAAATGGGAAACGACCGTTTAGTGTGGTCATCAAGGATAATTTTGCGTGAGTTGATGAAATTTCTTGCAAGAAATGTTTCAATTTTACTGAAGTTTGGGAGAAAATCAGAATAAAACTTTTTGTGACATTTTTGGACGATTTGGCTCGCGATTTGCAGAAAAAACAATTTTTGTCTGACCGACTCTCCTCATTTTGTGTGCTCTCTCAACAAAAGTTCCATATCTCCGCTGCGGGTGAAGAGGCTTGGCTAATGTTTTGAGGGGTTGATATGTGACCTATGATGAGTGTCTAGGCCAAGTTTGAGGACAATCGAAAAAAATTTGAGGTACCTCAAAAAAATTTTTTTTTTGTTTTTGATGGTTTTTGATTTAAAAATTTATCGTTTTTCAGTGTGGAAGATGTGAAGATGACCTGTGCCTCAAAGATGCTCGAAAATTACATCGCTCCATACACGGCGACGATCGCTTCGCGGCTTTTCGCCGCCGGCGGATGCTTGATCGGCAAGGCGAATATGGACGAATTTGGAATGGGCTCCTCCTCGATTAACTCGCACTTCGGACCGGTCGGGAACCCGAGAGATCGGGAAAGGAGAGAAAATGACTTCCGAGTCGCCGGCGGAAGCTCTGGTGGATCGGCGGTGGCTATCGCTGAAGGCTTCGCTGATGTGTAAGTTGATATTTTTAGTGGCTGAAAAGGTGGGGAAAATTTTTTTGTGGAAAGTGTGAAGGACTTATGAATAAAATTTTTGACCAATTTTTGCTGAAAAATTCGAGAAATTCAATTTTTTTAAAAATGAGAGATTATGGAAAACGAGGAGACGGTTAGAGAAAACCAATTTTTTGATGTTATCCTTGAAGATTTCAGCTGGAAAAACACGTTTTTTTGTAGGAAATTTAAAAGAGTGGACTCCGAATTTTCATTTTGAAAATCGATTTTTTTTAATTTTCATTCTTCTCGACCAAAAATTAAAAAAAAATTAGTCATATACTCCCGGACATAAATTTCTGACCACCCATATCTCAAGTCAATATAACGCAATCGCTTTGAAACTTGGCACGTATACTAGTCATGACAGACAGAATGTGCCACATAAAATTGTTTTTCGTGTCTCTGTCCTTAGGCGAGTTATGCCGGTTTTTTCAAAAATTGGTGGACAAAACTTTCTGATCACCTAAAATAACTAAAGTTTTCTCAGCCTCCTTGAGTAAGCGACATGGTTCAGTTATCTTCGAACACTATTAAGGGACCTACAAGGATGATGGGTATGCTTTTTACCACCAAATTCGGCGTGTGCCCTCAAGCAACTCGTATTCTTGCAGCGCTCTTTTTCTCGTTAAAATCACGCCCTATGCGGCAAGGACGACTTTTTTGTTTCAGTAAAAGTAATAAGGAACTCATTGGAGGTAGTGATACAAGATCTTACTACACTGCAATGTGAAATATGCCATTAACGCCTTAAGCAAATCACCTAGGAGTAGCCGATCTCTGAATAATTGATCATAACCGCAGGCGTTTTTATTAAATCAGTCTAGAAATCCCCTACAGTACTCTTTGGTGAATACTGAAGAACTGGGATAGTAATCTCCCGTTATCTTCGCATTTCGTGCGCGCACTAACGCAAAAGTCCAAAAAAGCGCAACTTTTCCGATTTTGTAATTACAAAATGGTCAAATTTTGCCAAAAAATCCTCAAGTTTGCGTTATCGCGTAATTTCACCCCGAAATTTCATGAGGCCGGGTCAGCACTAATATAACTTTATTCTTCATTGTATAGGGCTAAGCCATGTTTAATTTCAGCCAGTTTGGGCTGATTCTGAAAAAGTTACAGGCCGCTAAAGTCCGGCCGGCTGGTCAGTTTTGTAATGATTTTGCACATGCTTGATGAAATCCTTAACATCCCTCGGTATGATGGACGGAGATTGACCATGTGTGATCAATTACAGAATCTTGTACGTTTTTTATCCTTCTAGCCCACCTCGAGCCGTCGTATACTAACCAAATCGCGTAATGCGCAGAATGCACAACCCCTTGCGACGTATGTTACTACTCCTCGATTTTTTTCCGTAAATATATGCGGTACGTCTGTGCTATGCAGTATAAGCAGTTTTAGCCCCGTGGCAAACATTTTTCGGCAGTTGCGAACAATTTACCTAAGTGATCAGAAAATTCTGTCCACCCTTTTTTTGAAAATGTCGAAAAAACTGCCCTTAAAGTGCAAGGATGGAAAGTTCCGTTTTACCAAATGTTTTGCACCTCTTCTTGAAAGTGCAGTTAAAATTTGGAACATGTAGCTCAATTAACAGCCCAGTTAAAGGGTGGTCAGAGAGATATGTCCGGGAGTATAGGACGAGCTAAAATTCTTGCATAAAAGATTATGCTAGACCGAACGCAAGCTCACAAAGAAAAAATATTTTTTACAGTTCCATCGGAAGTGATACCGGAGGATCGACCAGAAACCCGGCCTCGTTTTGTGGAGTCTTCGGGTTCAAGCCGTCCTATGGCCTGATGAGTCGATATGGCCTGGTACCCTTGTGCAATGCATTCGACACCCCGTCTTTCTTCACCCACTCCGCGGAGGATGCTCAGAAATATTTTGGTGAGATTTTTTTGATCTTTTTTTGATTCTGGCTCTTGAATTTTGATAAAACTTGGGAAGTCTTGACATGTTTATGCACCGTGCGTTTTTTGGCCCGCGTTTGGAAAAAATAAACGACATTTTTTGATCAAATCAGTTTGAAAATAAAACTTTTTTTTGGTTTGGAAATTTTATAGACTTGTTAGAATATTTCAACAAAATCTTTATTTTTTCACCATAAAATTGGCAAAAAATCAAAAAAAAAAAAAAAAAAAAAAAAAAAAAAAATTTCAAATTTTTTAAAATTTTCAGAAATTTGCCTCGGAAAAGATCCTCGTGACCTGACCAGCCTGGATTTGCCCCCAAGCACTGCCGATGACCTTCCGCAATCCCTAAAAGGCATCAAAATCGGTATTCCAAAGGAATTCCACAACGATTATGTCTCCGACGACACCCTCAAGTTGTGGCGTCATGCCGTTAGCCGGCTCCGCGAAGCCGGCGCCGAAGTTGTGGAGGAGGTCTCACTGCCCAACTCACCGTATTCTCTGAGTTGCTATCACATCTTGACGGCGTCGGACGTCCAATCCAATATGGCCCGATATCTGGCCATCTTTTATGGCCATAGAAGTGAGAGCGAAGGGGATTCGTTCCAAGAGATGATCGCGAGATCGAGGACCGAAGCCTTTTCGCCAGTTGTGAGACGTCGCATTTTTGCCGGCAATTTTTTCAACTTGAAAGAGTGAGTTAAAAAAATTTTTTATGGATGCTGGAAAAAATATTGGTTCGAATTTTACACCTATTACAAGGCTGCTAGTAAAGTTGCTGGAGCGATTTTTGGCATTGCACAGAAAAGTCAGGGTGCGAGCGACGCCCCCAAAAAAGCCTATTGCACAGTGCAAAATGCAAGAAATTGCACTGTGCAAAAGCGACAAATTGCACGGTGCAAAGTGACCTTTTGTTTTTGCACGGTGCAGAAAAAGTCAGGGTGCGAGCGACAGCTTGAAAAAAAGCCATTTGCACGGTGCAACAAGCAATAAATTTCACGGTGCAAAGTGACCTTTTGTTTTTGCACAGTGCATACTTTTGGCTTTTGCACTGTGCAGAAAAAGTCAGGGTGCGAGCGACACCCCAAAAAGTCCGATTGCACAGTGCAAAAGCGACAAATTGCACGGTGCAAATTGAACTTTTGTTTTTGCACAGTGCAGAAAAAGTCAGGGTGCGAGCGACAGCTTGGAAAAAAGCCATTCGCACAGTGCAACAAGCAATAAATTTCACGGTGCAAAGTGACCTTTTGTTTTTGCACAGTGCATACTTTTGGTTTTTGCACAGTGCAGAAAAATTCAGGGTGCGAGCGACACCCCAAAAAAAAGCCTATTGCACAGTGCAAAAGCGACAAATTGCACGGTGCAAAGTGACCTTTTGCTTTTGCACAGTGCACACTTTTGGTGTTTGCACAGTGCAGAAAAAGTCAGGGTGCGAGCGACACTCCCAAAACAGCCTATTGCACAGTGCAAAAAGCAACAAATTGCACAGTGCAAATTGAATTTTTGTTTTCGCACAGTGCACACTTTTGGGTTTTGCACTGTGCAGAAAAAGTCAGGGTGCGAGCGACACCCCAAAAAGTCCGATTGCACAGTGCAAAAAGCAACAGATTGCACGGTGCAAAGTGATCTTTTGTTTTTGCACAGTGCGTGTCGCCGAAATCGCCCCAGCGACTTTGCGAACGGAGTGGAATGGGATTTTTAGCCCGCTGTTTGCAGATTTATTGAGATTTTTTGATCGAAAAAATTTTTGCAACGGTTTTTTTCTGGGTTGGAAATTGGGATTTTTATACTTTTTGACTATAAAATTTCTTGTGGATTTTGATGGAACTTGGCAAAATTGAGATTTTTAGAAGTTTTAATTCCAATTTCATAAAAAATTTTTTTTGTTTATAAGTCAGAAACAAGGTTTTTGTATCGTGAAATTGTACATTGTTGCTATAAGTCTATAATCCGTCTTTGTTTCTTATCAATCTGATCAATGTTTCGTTGCAAGAGTTTGGGGAAGTAATCCTGCTATCAAAACGAGCATTCGGCGGACTTTGTAGTTTGAAAAATATTTTTTTCAGCTAACGAGGGAATGGTCTGAACTTCCCCCAGCGTTCGGGAAAATGACTAGTACAGGTGGATAGAGCAGGTCAACTTTGGTAAAAAGAACCATTTTCCAGCTGCGAAATAAGCCTAGCCGACGAGAAAAATCGACCGAAAGTTCCACAAAAATTTCCTCTTTCTCTTCCCTCGGAAAAGAAGAGCGGTGTCCAGTGGTTCGATTAGCCGAGTGGATAAAGCATCCGCTCGATATTCTTTTGAGGGTTGGTTCGATTCCGGGGACCGTGACAAGGCTTCGATGAGCAAGATAAAATTCTGACAACCCAAAAAAATTATTTTGCCTTTTTCAAAGACAAGTCTATCCCCAAACGAGTATAACTTCGACGTTCCATCGCTTTGAAGGTTCGTAAACACCCAAAAAATTCATTTGTTGACGAATATTGTTTTGGTATAATGCCCCTATAAAACGTATAAAAATGGCAAAATATATTTTTTTTGGTTATTAGAGTTTGATCTTGCCCATCAAAGCTTTACACGGTCCTTCGCGAGACCCCGGAATCGAACCAACCCCCAAAAGAATATCGAGCGGATGCTTTATCCACTCGGCTAACCGAACCACTGGACACCGCTCTTCTTTTCCGAGGGAAGAGAAAGAGGAAATTTTTTCGGAACTTTCGGTCGGTTTTTCTCGTCGGCTAGGCTTATTTCGCAGCTGGAAAGTGGCTCTTTTTAGCAAAGTTGACCTGCTCTATCCACCTGTACTAGTCACTTTCCCAAACGCCGGGGGAAGTTCAGACCATTCCCTCGTAAAAAAAGATAAATTTTTCAATTTTTTACCGGAAAAGTCTTGATGATTCTGCAAAACGCGAGCTAGAAAGATCACAAATGTAAATTTGCGCCAAGTTTCAACAAAATCTGAGGATTATTTTTCCTGGAATTTGAAATTTTGTCCACCTTGGTCCCCCCTGACGGTGAAAATAATTTTTTTTCGTTTTTATTTGAAAATGGATTTCTAAAAAAATTAATATGCGGTTTTAACTTTTTTACTGGCATATTAAATTTTTAAACATCAAGTTTTCACTGAAAAAATCGAAAAAATCGCAATTTTGGGAGATTTTTGGTCAAAAAAAAAGAAAAAAAATCAAAAAAAATTTATGAGCGATATAAATATAAATTTGTTTCCAGAAACCGCGGAAAATATTTCCTCCAAGCCGCCAAAGTCCGCCGCCTCATTCAACAAGATTTTCAACGGGCTTTCGGCCAAGTTGACGCCCTATTGGTCCCTTCAACCTCACATTCAGCGCCCCTGTTCAGCGAAGTCCTCAAGAAATCGCTGGAGGAAAAGCGAAAAGACGATTTCTTCACGCAATCCGCAAATCTCTGCGGATTGCCGGCGATTTCCGTCCCTTATGGCCACTGTGGCCTAGGATTTCCGATCGGAATGCAGCTGATTTGCGATTATTTGAAGGACGAAAAGTGCATTCAATTAGGAAAGTTTTTACATGACATTAGATGAAAAATTTTTTTTTTTTGAATTTTTGAATTTTTTACTGGTTTAAACGTATTTTACAAAAAAATAATAAATAAAACATTAATATAAATACCAAAAATGAACATTACTCGAAGTGCAAAGCTCAGATTTTGATGAAACTCCGCATAATTTTATAATATTTTTTTTTTCAAAACGTATGCAAGACCCGAACTCTCGCTTTACAGAAACGGCCGAGATTTTTGGGTCAAAAGTTGGCCAAAAAATTACAATTTTTTTTTGCGAATTTTTCCATGAAAACTTTGATTTAAAAAAAATTTGCCTTGGTCCCCCCTTACCACAAAAAATATTTTTTTTTTCAAAATCTGAGCTTCCAACTTCAAGAATCTTTCCTAACAACAGTTTCTACATTAATTGTAAATTTTCTAAAATCCTTTGAAATCCGAGATGAACGCATAATGATCGGAAGGCCAGTCGTTATCCTCCACCGGATTGGGATAGGGCAGGAAGTCGCCGGCGTATCGCTCACTCCGTACCGTCTTCAAGTTGTCACTTCTGTACAGGATGTAGTCGATTCGGTCCTGCGGCTCGGGAATCGTGTAATTCCAGCCGCCGATGAACTGGTTCACCGTGGACCACGAAGTGCCGGGATGCGTTACCGGATCCGGGTACAACTCGCGAAAAGAGTCGATGAGGCCGGTCCCATTTTGGAGGATAAATGTGGCCGGCCATTGGTACACCCAACCGCCGTGGAGATGTCTGCAAAGGAAGTGTTATATTGAAGTTGTGAGAGGTCGGATCAAGGAAAAAATTTTTGAACAAAACTTGGGACACATCTAGGTGGGGGTTCAAAGAAGACAGACGACATTTTTCAGATCGCGCTTTGCAGAAACCACCTAAATTTTCAGCTCGAAGAAAGCAAAAAAAATCAAAATTTATAAATAATATTTTCATAAAGTGCATGGACTTTTTATCGCGGCCTGCACTGTGCACAAAAAACCCGCATTTTGCACTGTGCCTTTCACTTTTTTGGTTTCGCACCGTGCATCGGAAATATCGCCGCGCGAGAAGAATTTGCACAGTGCAACCGGCATTTTATGGTTTGCACAGTGCAAAAAGAGAAAATGCAATTTTCGTTGGCGACAAGCGTGGGAAAATGTTCAGGATGCACTGTGCGTTGGCGACAAGCATGGGAAAATGTCTGGGATGCACTGTGCAAACAGAGAAAATGCATTGTGCGTTGGCGAGAAACGTGGGAAAAATTTCAAAATGCACTGTGCAAAAGAAATTTTTATGTTTTGCACAGTGCAAAAAGGGAAAAATGCACTGTGCGTTGGCGACAAGCCTGGGAAAAAGTTCAAAATGCACTTCAAAAGTGAGAGCTTTTTGCCGTAAGCTTTCCGCACTGTGCAATTGACTTTTGCACCGTGCAATTGAAAAATCGTCGCGGCGCAAGGTTTTTCGGCTTCGTCGCAATTCACTTTTGACTCGTGCGACAGACACTGCACAGTGCAAAAAGTGGAAAAATGCACTGTGCGTCGCGGAAAAAGTCTACGCTCTGGAACGACTAGTACTAACCTTGTTGCTTCCGTGTAGTCCAAATGCGATGGGGAGTTGAAGTCGCCGACCACAAAGACTGGCTCCGTATCCACGCGGTCCAAGGCTGCCTTAAAAGGCGCACTGCCGACCAGCTCTTTCGCGTTCGCACAGCGAGCTGAAAGAAATTGAGACATTTTGTGTTTATTTAATAGCCTCAACATTGGCTCAAAAAATATCAAAAATGTCCCTACTCCAGTATCCATGACATTCGCCGTAGTCCACAATCGCAACATCATTCATTTGTCGATACATCAGGGCGTACGGTCCGTAGTCGGTGTAGTCCATGTGCAACGAGTAGATGGTGACTTTGCGCTTGCTATCCAGGATGACTTGAACGCCAACGCCGGAATAAACGGTGACCAACGTGCTCTCATTGAGCTGAAAAACATACGAAAATTGTTTTTGTTTAGTTTGTGCTCTCCACTTTTTAGAGATAGGCATGAAACTTTTCGGCACGAAAAGTTTCATGCCTATTTTTGCCATAGAGGATTACGAGTGCCGTATTTTAAACTATAAACTTACTTGATGTTTCGTAACAATGGCACAGTTCCACCTGTCCACATAAACGTACGACCATCGATAAATCCTGTCTTCGTTGAGGAATTTGACCACTGCTTCCACTTGGTCTCGAGCTCGGACTTCCTATAACAATGAGTCAGAGAGAAAAGGGGGTGAGAAAAAAACTGTAACTTTGCCAAAGTTACGGCCCAAGTATTTCGTGAAATTTGGGGTATTTAGTATAAATAGGCGATATGCCAAATTCCTAAAAGGTTTAGCTTATGTGGAGGGACCCAAGATTTTCAACTAATATTTTTTTGCGAGAGAATACGAGGAATGGGGAGAGTGGTTAGAGAAAAATACGCTTTTTTGGCCATATCTTTGCCAATTGCGCGTGGAAGAAATTGATTTTTTGGAGGAAATTTTTTTACTCTGTTTTTAAATGACACTGAATTTCGACAATCTTCGATCAAAAAAATTTTTAATTTTCCGCAAAGCGTAGGCTAAAAACAGATTTTTTCGAAAACTTCGCCGATTCTGAGCCAAATTTAAAAATATTTTTGGGTGCCTCCTCAACCCAATATTACCCACCTGCAAGCCGGCAATGTCCGGATCATTCAGCGCAATGTGTTTGGCGATTTTCTTCAGCCCATCGTTGATGAAGACTCCCATATTCCAAGTGTTGAAGGTCATGATCCGCAAGTACTTTCCCACCCATAATTTTGAGCCTTCATTTTTTGCAATTCCCCCATCTTTCGTCACTCCTTCATTCCTCGTCTTCTTGACCTCATAGTGCTTCTGTCGCAGCTTCAAACTGGCCGCCTCCGCCGTCAACAAACCCGCCGCCACTATCAACAACCACACGACGGGACGCCGCGACATTTTGGTAATACAATACCGTACGAACCGCCGAACATCAGCGCGGTGACGTCGCCTTAAATAAACACAACTTTGCTCTCTGATAAACAGCTAAGCCCTGATGATAAGGGGCTTGTATTCCCTCTCGGCCCGCATTGTACTGGATGGAAAACTCCGAACGAGAATTCTTAAAAGTCATAGGGATTGTCCATGACATGTGTTGATGGGACACTGATAATAGGAAGGCATTCCGAACAATCTGTTTTTTATGTGTTGCAGAACTTTTTGTGCGACGATAAGCGATGACCTATGGCAACGGAAAGTCGAAGGGACCAAGTTCAAGAAGATAAATAAAACGCTAGAATTTCGCTCTGCTCTTTGGCTATGGCACAGAAGTTAGGATTTTTCAGCGCCAATTAAGTATATGGAGAGTTGAAATCGACCGCAAATGGAGTCTTTGTGAGGGCTGGCTGGCAAAGTGTGGTCTGGCCAGCCAAATAGGGAGAAAAATCATTTCCCCCCAATTGTCGAGGTCGGGTACAAAATAAATATTAAGAGCAGAGCAGAATCCTAGCGATCCTTGACAGTTTCGCATGAAAAAAATTATTTTTCAGGAGAAATACCCATTCAACTTTTGACGACAAAATTCGCAAAGAAGCGTTACTTTTTTTGCCTAGTTTCGATCTAAAAATCTCGGTGGTTTCTGCAAGGCGCGAGCTGGAAATCTCGTATATGCCTTTGTAAAAATTAGTCTAAATTTTTGCCAATTTTTAGGAAAATCTGATCGCCGCACATCGGGCACTTTCTATATATACCTGTCGGAAAAATAATGTGGACTTGTCGCAGAAAAATTTGTGTCGCAGTCGCGAGAATCTCCAGTCGCGGAAAGCCGACGCAAAGCGATGACGGACGATTCCAAACGAATCCACACTATTTTCCCGACACCCTGATACTCACATGGTCGCTTGCCGGAGCACCTGTCGCGTTGAAAAAACAAAATTAAATTTTATGAGAAATAAAGCGGCCATAATTCGGTGCGCTTAATGAGTTTACCGGGCCGCAATTTCGAAAGGCAACTGCACAGGATTCAATTAGAACGGTGCTAACATGGTTACGAATGAGAACTTGACGTTAAGTGGTATATAAATCGCATTCCCTTTCACTTCCTCGGGCAGCTTTTGTTGGTCGCATGCTTGGGAATACGGTAATGTCGGAGTTGGCGGACAAGTTCACTGCGTTGGGGAAGTCGTCGAGTCTGGACAAGGAGAAGAGCAAAGGTTTGGGAGGTGGGGCGCGGCAGGGAAGTGCGCTAAGTGCGACGCTCAGATTTTCGTAAAACTTGTTGAAAATTTAGAATAATCTTTTCTAGGACTCTGCAGAAATTCCTGAGATTTTGTTAGTCCAAATAGGCAAAAAAATTAGTCATCTTTTGTGATTTTTCGGCGCAAAACGTATTATATCTGTATTTCCTCCATACTTCTGCCGTGAGTTGTTTTCCCACAGAAAATCGAACCTTTCTCCGCAAAACACACAAAGATACGGCCAAGAAAGTGTCTGGCCACTCTTTGCATTCTTTTTGTACTGTCTCGGCGGCAACAAATCGTTAGAGTGTTGCGATTTCTTTTTGTTGAATAACTTGGCTGCCTCTGCAAAGAGGTAGCTAAAATTTTGAGTAAATGACAAAAGACCTATGCGCAATGAGCCTGCAAAATTTTAATGAAAATCTGAGTGCCCAACCTGCACTTGGGGCACTTCACTTGTGAGCCCATTTTATTACATTATGTATGTATATTATACATATTACCTATAACTTTCCAGAGCCCCAATCAAAGTTCCGTCCCGGCTCTCCCGAGCCTCCGCGCAAGGGCTCGAACAGTGAGCCGGCGAGAAAGGCGTCCGGCAATGAGCCGTTGAAGAAGGCCAACGACAAAAAGCCGGTCATGGTCAACAACATGGGCAGCAATGTGCCGCAACCAATGAAGGGCGTGGTCATGATGGGTGGGACGTCGATGCTGGGCAGCAATGTGCTGATTACGGGCGCCGAAAGTGGGATCGGCTTTGGGATGGTGGAGTATCTAAGCAAACAGTTCGATGTGAAGCACATCTTCGCCTGCTGCTACAATGAAAAGCAGTGCAAAGTGAGTTGTTTGTAGCGGTTTTGCGGCCTAAAAGTCGCAGGAATATTGCATCTAAAGGTAAAATTTTGCGTGCTATAGGAGCTGTTGGAAGTCGCCAAGGACAATCCAAAGATAATTGTCATCGAAATGGACGTTCTTCGCGACTCCAGCATCCAGCACGCGCTGGACCGGGTCGTTTCCGTCCTGCATGACGGCGTCTTGAACCTGCTGATCAACAACGCCATCATATTTGAAAAGTCGGAGGGCGGAACGTATCTGACTCCCAGGCGAGACGTCATCCTAAAGCATCTGGAAGTGAATACGGTCGGAACAATGTGTGTCACGTCGGTAAGCAAGTCATCTGTATGCTGGGATTACCGTATTATAGGCATTTTTGCCACTCATTCGAGCCGCGGCGCAGCGAGAGGAGCCGGCAAGAGTGGTGAACGTCAGCTCACCGCTCGGCTCGATTGCCAACAACTTTGGGACAATGCCGTGGACCGATAAGAATGTGGCGTTCGGAATGAGCTTGGTGAGTTCTGGGAGGCGGAGCTTTTGACGTGGAGCATGGCTACCGATAAATTAAAGGCCTGAAAAATTATGAGACGTACCGGGCCGGCCGCGGAACTGACAAGTGAATTACCTTTATGAGGCTCCTACGTTTAGATGGGACATATCTCAAAAAATCCTTAAAATTGTGTTGTTCAAGAAGGCTTATTTATTACGTCTTAGCTGTTCAAGAAACATCATTTTAAGGTAAGATAGAGTCTGTAAACCTATGAAAAATTGAGCGTAAAGGGGTTTATATAGGGCTTTAAGTCGACTTGCGATCGGTTTTTAACCCTAAAACCCAAGATAGGGTAGCTAACTTTTTACCTATTCTTAATCATCATGATTTTACGTATTTTTTGAGGTATGTCCCGCTTAAAAGTAAGGGCCTCCAAGAAGGTATTTTTCTTGTGAAATACAGGGGATATTTTGCAAGTTGCGAAGTTCCGAAATCGATGAAATTTGATGCAAATTTACAATACTCTTTTCTAAGCCGTATGCGCTACTTTTCATCGGCGTTTTAGAAAAAAATGAAGATTTTTTTAACAAAATTTTTAGGTCGAAAAGTGCCAAAAATTTGTTTACTTCTCCCTTTTAACTATTGCATTTCCAGGCCGCGTTGAATCATCTCAGCCGCTCGATTGCCGGTGACGAACGAGACACGAACGTTGTCTATCTGAACATTGCCCCAGGCTGGATCAAAGCGTCCGTGTGCGCGCCGGAAAGCCAGAGTCCGATGGAAGAGGCGGCCGTGGGGGTGTTGAAGACGATCGCGCTGACTTCCCGCGGTGACACCGGCCGCTATATTGACCGCAATGGAACCCCCATTAACTACTAAGTCCAATCTAATTACGCTTACTTTTATTACTCTATAACTAAGTTGACTTACCGTATTTTTTGGTGACTTGGAGCGAAAATATCCGCCTCGTGGTTACGATAAAGAAAATAAGTTAACAATTTATTGGAGTGACAACAAGAAATTTTTACAAATAATCAATTTTAATATCGTTAATTTTTGTTGGAAAAAACTCAGGTGGAGATCAAAATGGAGAAGAGATGATGATAAATATTCAAAATCCTATTGCTGAAAGACAGAAATCGTCGGGTAGTACAACAGAGACCATTTTTGCGCCGTTTAGACGTCCGTTAACTACAGTTTCAACTAGTCTATAAAATTAAATGTGCAACAAATTGCAAGAGCCTCAAGAGAATTTTAGATCAGCCAGGTCTTCGAAAAAACTCGACCAGATGATTGGTCGATTCCTTTTGCTAATGGCTTTGGAAGTAATGGACCAAAAATTTAAAATGTGACATATTTGCGACTATGAGGTCTACCACGTTTTAATCCGTTACTTTTTTTTACTAAATAACCCTTAGGCAATTCAGAAACATCACTTCCATAGAGTCTATGAACTGTCAGCCAAGAAAATCGCCGTTTTCAGATTGAGAAGTAAGAATATTGCAAACTTGCGATAAAATCTTGATTTCAAAGAGACTCTGAGGGGCTGTTGTAATAATACAAAGTGATCTGAAGATTAGAAGTCCCCGCCATTTCAAAAATATAAAATTTAAAACTTTCCATTCGTTATTTCCCAAGTTATCGTCCAAATAAACCTTCCAGGTCCAGCTGACCTATACTATAATAAACAAATTCTCTTGCTCTTTGCAATTTGTCATACAGAGGGCCTAGACATGCCTCAACTACTTCTACTGTCTACATATTCGCTACACAATAGCACAAGTCCTCGACTTTTTGGCGACCGTCGTATTGTTCGAGGTTCTCGTATCACCCGACGCCGACACGGTTGATGGCTGACTTTTCTCGCTCACGTTCGACTTCCTCCCGGTCTTGTCCGAACCTTTGCTCGGATTGGAGCCATTCGAGACAACCGTGTCGTGCCGGATCTCCATGACATTCACGACCGTCGTGGCCGGTCGTTCCGAGTCGGCGATGGAGGGTCGAGGGCGTTGAAGGTTGGAGAGCGACATTGTTTCGTCGTTACCGTCTAAAGACTGTGGGTTAGCGGTTGGAAAAGGGTGGAAAGAGGAAGCTAATGCTCAGCGACACAAGGTTAAACGAATAAAATGGATGTTCTCTGTGAAGGCCAGGATATATCAGCGTTTCATTGAATAACGCGGGTCGGTTGGACATGGAAGACTTCTTTTGCCGATTACTGGGAAAATAATGGTCCAGCATTTACGAAATTTTTATTTCTGGGGCTTGCGAGGCCACGGTGTTGCGGCGTATTACTCTTTATTTGTAGGAGACCTTCCGGCAATCTGTAGACATGACTATTCAAGATTTTAGTGGCCCTAATCAAGTAAATCGGACGCTTTCGAGATGAAAAGCATCTGATGTTCGAAAATTTTATAAAATTGACAACCACGGATCGCCCGAGGGCATTTCCTTTATAGAAACTTAGAGAACAAAAAACGAGGCCCTGAGGGTTTGAAAAATCTATTTTTTGTAAATTTTGATCCATTACTTCCCAGGTTGTCCGCAAAAGAAGTCCTCCAGGTCTGGCCGACCTACCCTGTACTCCACAACGTTAACGTACATCCAATACACAAAGGTCTAGGAAGAAAACGAAAAGATTAGCGGCACAATTAAAGCCCAAATCACCTCGGTTAGTACACAGTCCCAAAGGGTGCAAAAAGGCGGACAAAAACAATGGTGATTCATTTACCTACTTGTCAAGCTGTTAGTACTCAACAAAGTGTGCAATCGATGCCGCTCACTTCGACTGTATTGTCCGGCGGGAGTGTTGTGCAAGCAGAGGATCGGCATTTGCGCCGTGTTCGCGAGCTTGGCCAGAATGCGATGCGCCTCCATGGACACGACCAGCCCTTCCACGGCGCGATGCGCGTTGAAGCTGGAGAGCCGTTGCTGGGTGCGCACGTAGTAGGCCTCGATCCAGCCCGCCTCGTCGCCCGAGATGACGATGCTCGCGTCGTGCGTGAGCTGGATGCAGGTTATGGCCCCCTTCGCGGTATACTGCAGCCGCGACTGGCCGGTCTGCGCGTCCCACACAAAGCCCAGTTTATCCTTGCCGCCGGACGCCACCGTTTTCCCGTCGTGGCTGCAATAGCAGCACAGCACAACGCCTTCGTGCCCGACCAGGACTTGGGTCAGAAACCCGGTCTCCAGTCGCCACACTTTCAGCGATTGGTCGGCGGAGCCGGTGACAAAAGTTGTGCCCGTCCGATTCGCGTGGTAGCAAGTTATGTCTTCGGTATGATGGGCTTTGGTTTTGAGGGTCAACACGGCGTCGTATTGGCTCCAAACGTTCAGTCTGCAAGACAAGAAACATGTGGAAAAAGCATCCTTTTTGGAAAGAAAAAAGTTGCAATGCAGGGCAAAAGAACTTGACGAAATTGGAATAATTTGGAGAATGTGGTAAGAGGGGGCCAAGGCAAGTTTACAAGTTAATTGTTCACTGTGAATTTATTTAATTTTTGGCCGCACTTGCACATAGACTACATTCAATTTCCGCTAATTTTAATTCGAACTTTTCAAGGGCAGCCGAGGGATTCAATGGTCCTTGCCGCCGAGAGAGGACGAGAAATGCGGAGAGCTTTCAGAGAAATAATCATTTTTGACCACTTCTCTGTCAATTTCGAGAGGACAATGTGATTTTTTCATAGAAAAATTTTCCTCTTTCGAATTGTCCAAGGGAAAAAAACTCTGCGGCCGAGGGAGTACGCGAAATGCGGAGAGCAGTCCGTGAAAAAATCCACTTTTTGGCCGTATCTTTGCCAGTTTCGTGTGGAGAAAATTAATTTTTTGTGGAGACATTACTCTCTACAGTAGAAATAGGCATAAAAAATTTTATGACAAAATTTGCAAAAAAGTTTGTCATTTTTACCAAATTTCGACCAAAAATCTCGGTCGTTTCTGCAAAGCGCGAACTAGGACTATAATATACTCTTTAGAAAATACAGTTCTAAATTTACACAAAGTTTCATCAAAATCTTTGCGTCGCATATGGGATATTTCCCTTATAAGCCTAAAAAATTCTTCCTTGGTCCCCCCTTACCATACTTTTTAAAATTTTTCGAAAATGAAATCTCAGCGAAACCACTTACTCTTTCAGGTTTTGCGTGTTATACGATATCACAATACTATCTTCCAGCCTCACATAAACCGGTGCTCTGAGCGCCGTAAACGACGACAGAATCTCGATTTGACTCGGATCCTCCGACGACGAAATCGACCAAATAAAAGCGGCGTCGTTGCGGTCGACGGTCAGCACGTTGTTCCCGTCCGTGAAGCACACAATCTCCACAATGGCGTCGTTGTGCAGGTCGAACTGTTTGGTGAGCTGCCCGCTCGACGTCTCCCACATTGTGATCGAGCCCTGCGCACTGCCGGAGACGATGAACATCGAGTCGACGGTGAACTCGACGGCGGTCACAGCGCCCGACTTTTGTTGGGAAGTCTGGAATGGAAGAGTTAAAACTATCGACCGCAGAGAGGGGTTTTCCGACCGAGATTTCTAGTTCCAAAATTGGGGAAAAAATGGCAAATTATTCGCGAATTTTGTCACAAAAAGTTTCATGCTTATTTCTGCTGCAGAGGGTAATAATGTCAACAAAAAAATCTATTATTTCCGCGCGAAACTGGCAAAAATACGGCCAAAAATGCTTCTCTCTCGGACAGCTCTCCGCATTTCGCGTACTCTCTCGGCCGCAGAGAGCAGTAAGTAGAGTGACGGACCTCAGTGGCAGAAAACGTACCATTTTGCTCCGGGAAGCATCAAACATGTGGCAAAATGCTTCCCTCTCCGAGCGAAAAAACTTGCTTGGAGAGGGAAGCATTTTGCCATGTTTTTGATACTTCCCGGATGCAAAATTATACTTTTTTTGTCACTGGATCAGGTCCCCCACTGTAATTTCCCTTGTTGAAAAAGCCGCCATAACGACGAGATCCCCAAGAAAAAGAGACAAAAAAAGTTTCAAAATGAACGGTGACATGTTTTACGATAAAAAAAAAACGTTTTGTAAAATTTAAAAATCCTAGCTCCAGGGGCCTTCCTGGTTCTTCACCTCTTCACCTGCAACGCACAAAAAATAGCCCGCAAATTAATCTCTGGTGCATGGTACACACTGCGGCAAAAACCCCATGCACCTTATGAAATTACTGATAGCAAAGTGACCTTTTGCAACTTTTCTGTACACCTCCTTACCGTCCACAGACATCTGCATCCGTCCAGATCCCAGACCGCCAACACGCCGTCTTCCGTGCCGCAGGCGGCGGTGCGCTCGTCCGGCGCCAGTTTCATACAGATTAGTGAAGCCGCCGAGTTCACCATGGGCTCGTTTTCGATGGAATTCACATCCCACATGTGCATTCGGCTTCCACACGCCGCAAGGAGGAAGGAATTGTCATCGCTGATCTGAAAATTGCGATTGACTTTAGAGAGGACGTGCTCCAAGTGCGGCGCTCAGATTTTGATAAAACTTGGCATAAATTTAGAATATTGGCTTGTAAGGCATGTCTGAAATTTCCAGAATAATCTCGGAATAAATGACCGAGATTTTTCGGAAAAAAACGTTGCGGCAGAACTCTACCTCTTCTGAACTCTCCCCCTTTTTCAACTCTCCCCCTTTTTGAACTTTCCCCTTTGAATGAACACTCCCCTTTTTGAACATTCCCCCTCATTTTGAAAATTGAAAAAATGAGGTGTGACATCTTATACGATGAAAAATTTTATCAAATTGAAAAAAATAAGGTGTGACATCTTATACGATGAAAAATTTTTTCAAATTGAAAAGAATAAGGTGTGACATTTTATACGATGAAAAATTTTTTCAAATTGAAAAAAATAAAGTGTGACATGTTATACGATGAAAAATTTTTTCAAATTGAAAAGAATAAGGTGTGACATCTTATACGATGAAAGATTTTTTCAAATTGAAAAGAATAAGGTGTGACATCTTATACGATGAAAAATTTTAAAAAATTATAAAAAATAAGATGTGACCTCTTATACGATGAAAATTTTTTTAAATTGAAAAGAATAAGGTGTGACATCTTATACGATGAAAAATTTTTTCAAATTGAAAAAAATAAAGTGTGACATGTTATACGATGAAAAATTTTTTCAAATTGAAAAGAATAAAGCGTGACATCTTATACGATGAAAAATTTTTTCAAATTGAAAAGAATAAGGTGTGACATCTTATACGATGAAAAATTTTTTTCAAATTGAGAAGAATATGGAGTGACATCTTATACGATGAAAAATTTTTTCAAATTGAAAAGAATATGGTGTGACATCTTATACGATGAAAAATTTTTTCGAATTGAAAAAAATAAGATGTCGCATCTATTTTTTCATCGTATAAGATGTCACATCTTATTTTTTTCAATTTCAAGAAAAAAATGCGAAAAAATCGAGTTGTTTTTTAAAAAATTTTTTTTGAAAAAAACTTCTCACTTTTAACGACGAAACTGGCAGTCGTTGCGAACATTCAAGCTGCTCCAAAATCTGACCGTTGTGCACGTCATAGCACACAATTTTCTTCGTTGTCGCCGCAAACAACTTGCAGTCATCTATCGTCGAACATAACGCGTTTACTCGGCTGTCGTGGCCCTGAAAAATTGAAATTTTTGTCAAGATTTTTTCAAAATTTTTAAAATTTTTCAAAATTTTTTTTTACCGAGAGTTCATGAAGTTCTTGCGTGGAGACTGTGCTGAATACCCGTAGAGTCTCGTCTTCGCAAGCAACCGCCAAAAAAGCGTCGTTTGAAGTGACAGTAAGACAGGTGACTGGTGCCATTAGTCCGACCATTTTTGTTATCACCTGAAAAATAATTTTTTTGAGGAAGAATATATTACTTTTTGTCTGTCAAAAATTATTTTTTTGGTTTTTTATTTTTTTTATATTTTTTATTTTTTTTTTTTGAATTTTTTCTATTTATTTTTATTTTATTTTCTCTGTAAAAATTACATCGCAGATTTTTTTTGTATTTTTTTTATTTTTATAGAATTTTATTTTAGCTGCCAAAATTATTTTTCAAATTTTTAATTTCTATTTTTTTTATTTTTTTATTTTTTTTTATTTTATCTTTCAAATTAATTTTCTGTTTTGTTTTAGTTTTTTTATTTTTTATTGAATTTTTTATATTTATCTTGATTTTATTTTCTTTATAAAAGTTATTTTCCCGATTTTTTTATATTTCTTTTTTATTTTTTTTATTTTAATAATGCCAAAATTATTTTTCTAATTTTATTTTATTTTTATTTTTTTTGAGTAGTATTTTATCTCAATTTCAAATTTTTAAATTCTACTTTTTTTATTTTTTTATTTTTTTTTTTTATTTTATCTTTCAAATTAATTTTCTGTTTTGTTTTAGTTTTTTTATTTTTTATTGAATTTTTTATATTTATCTTGATTTTATTTTCTTTATAAAAGTTATTTTCCCGATTTTTTTATATTTCTTTTTTATTTTTTTTATTTTAATAATGCCAAAATTATTTTTCTAATTTTATTTTATTTTTATTTTTTTTGAGTAGTATTTTATCTCAATTTCAAATTTTTAAATTCTACTTTTTTTATTTTTTTATTTTTTTTTTTATTTTATCTTTCAAATTAATTTTCTGTTTTGTTTTAGTTTTTTTATTTTTTATTGAATTTTTTATATTTATCTTGATTTTATTTTCTTTATAAAAGTTATTTTCCCGATTTTTTTATATTTCTTTTTTATTTTTTTTATTTTAATAATGCCAAAATTATTTTTCTAATTTTATTTTATTTTTATTTTTTTTGAGTAGTATTTTATCTCAATTTCAAATTTTTAAATTCTACTTTTTTTATTTTTTTATTTTTTTTTTTTATTTTTTTTTTTTATTTTATCTTTCAAATTATTTTTATGTTTTGTTTTTGTTATTTCATATTTAATTTTTTAAAATTTATCTTAATTTTATTTTCTTTATAAAAGTTATTTTCCCGATTTTTTTTATATTTATTTTTTATTTTTTTTTATTTTAATAATGCCAAAATTATTTTTTTGATTTAAAATTTTTTTTTATTTTTTCTTTATTTTTTCTATTTATTCGCTTTTTTCACATAAAAAAACAATCCTCACCTGCCCAGTATTCAAATCCCACACCATGACCGCAAAATCCCCGCTTCCAGTGACCAGCAACTCGTCTTTGGACATTAATTTCAAGTCCACGACTGGCCCGATATGCTCGGGGAAGGACTTTATCACTTTTCCCGTTTCGAGGTCGATAATTCGAGCGGTCGAATCGGAGCAGCCGATGATTAAGCGACGGTCATCTTCGGCCATGGCTGAGCAAAGGATTTTCGTGGGTGATTTGATTGTTTTTGAGCATTCCAGCTGAAAAAAGACGTTGAAAAATGTTGATTGGGGAAAATGGGCAAGGCAAAAAATGAGTTAAAAATTTCCCAAGACATATACGACATTCCTAGCTCACACTTTTCAGAAATAGACGAGATTTTGAGTCCAAAAGTTGGTCAAAATTCGAAATTCGAAAAATTTTTTTTTTTCGAATTTTGGCATGAAAAGTTTCATCTCTATTTCTACAGTAGAATAGAGTGTTTCTACAAAAAATCAATTTTTTCCGCGCAAAACTAGCAAAGTTATAGCCAAAAAGTGTTTCTTTCTCTATGGTCTCCGCATTTCGCGTGCTCTCTCTAAAGATCGATCAATATCTCGGCTGTCCCTGGGAAGCGCGGGCTGAAACTTTCAGCGATTGTTATGCGGCCCACAGCCAAAGTGTGTGCAAGATTTGAAGAAAATCTGTGCGTCACACATGTGGTTATGGTGTAGGATCAAAGGTGGATAGGTAGAAGATAGTAGACACAAGATTAAGAGTAAAGTTTATTGGACCACCGCACACGAAGAAAGAGAAATGAGATTGATTATCTAATTGGTGACGAGACATAGCTTTTATATGACTTGGTTTATGCTAACTTCTGGGGAATTGTGGAGGCTTTTGAGGCTCCGCAAAATGGTATTCCGCTTGTGAGCCACTCGACGAACGCTAATTGCGCGGCAATCTTTAAACTCTTTAAACTCACATTTAAAATCGACCAGACCCGAACGGAAGCGTCGTGCGAGGTGGACGTGAAGAAGGTGCCATCTGATGATGTTTGAAAAGAAGTTACCCGGTCAGTGTGAGCTGAAACCAAAAGATTACCCCGCCCTCCCAACGTGCGGACTCACCTCGAAAAGTCTTGAAAAGGATCTGCGACGCAATATGATACATGTAAATGGCGCCCAGATCCGCGTTATCACCCGCGATCAGGAGATGCTGATGATTGCAGGTGGGATGCAGGATGGGTTTGGTCGCCTGGAATGGGACCTCGAAGCTGACCACTTGCTTCATCTTCGGCGGATTTATCCAACACGTCATGGGGACGAGCAACGAGCCGTTCGTGTAGAAGTCGGTCCACAACATGGCCTGCTCAATCAGCTCGTTCAGGTACTCGCTGTTCATGGCTGCAAAAACGATTACTTACAGAAGTTAACCGAGTTGTGAAGCTCGGGAGGTCGCTTTTTTGAATTTTGAGATGATTTCGACCGAAATACCATGAGAAGTTGTCAAATAATTTGACTTGAGATGTCAGATTAGCAACTTGAGCAGCCAAGTTGCGACCTTGCCTTGTCAAATTTGGAATTTTCAGGTGGCCAATTTGGCCGGTCAAGTTGCCAATTTGACCGGGCAACTTGCCCAAACTGACCGGTCAAATTGAAAAATCACTCATTCAAAAAATTCAAGTTGGCTAGTTTCACCGATCAAGTTGCCAATTTGACCAGTGAACTTTCCCAATTTGACCGGTCAAGTTGCCAATTTGACCAGTCAGCTTGCCCAAAGTGACCGGTCAAATTGAAAAATCACTCATTCAAAAAATTCAAGTTGGCTAGTTTCACCGATCAAGTTGCCAATTTGACCAGTGAACTTTCCCAATTTGACCGGTCAAGTTGCCAATTTGACCAGTCAGCTTGCCCAAAGTGACCGGTCAAATTGAAAAATCACTCATTCAAAAAATTCAAGTTGGCTAGTTTCACCGATCAAGTTGCCAATTTGACCAGTGAACTTTCCCAATTTGACCGGTCAAGTTGCCAATTTGACCAGTGAGCTTGCCCAAAGTGACCGGTCAAATTGAAAAATCACTCATTCAAAAAATTCAAGTTGGCTAGTTTCACCGATCAAGTTGCCAATTTGACCAGTGAACTTTCCCAATTTGACCGGTCAAGTTGCCAATTTGACCAGTCAGCTTGCCCAAAGTGACCGGTCAAATTGAAAAATCACTCATTCAAAAAATTCAAGTTGGCTAGTTTCACCGATCAAGTTGCCAATTTGACCAGTGAACTTTCCCAATTTGACCGGTCAAGTTGCCAATTTGACCAGTCAGCTTGCCCAAAGTGACCGGTCAAATTGAAAAATCACTCATTCAAAAAATTCAAGTTGGCTAGTTTCACCGATCAAGTTGCCAATTTGACCAGTGAACTTTCCCAATTTGACCGGTCAAGTTGCCAATTTGACCAGTGAGCTTGCCCAAAGTGACCGGTCAAATTGAAAAATCACTCATTCAAAAAATTCAAGTTGGCTAGTTTCACCGATCAAGTTGCCAATTTGACCAGTGAACTTTCCCAATTTGACCGGTCAAGTTGCCAATTTGACCAGTCAGCTTGCCCAAAGTGACCGGTCAAATTGAAAAATCACTCATTCAAAAAATTCAAGTTGGCTAATTTGACCGCTCAAGTTGCCAATTTGACCGGTCAACTTGCCCAAACTGACAAATCAAAGAGCCAAAAATCATCCTTACCCCGCCGATACCTCAAACGGTTGATAAACTCCGAAACGAACTGATTCCCATCATGGATCAGTGTGGGAATGGCCGGCAGTAAAATTTGCTCAAACAGAACCAACAAATCATGATGCAGAACTTGTTGTAAACACTCCTCGAACACAGTGAGAAGTCGAGTCAGTCCAAAGAATTGAAATACCCCTTCGATGTATTCGAATGCACATAACGCTTCGCTTTTTAATTCGTCGATATTCGCTGAAATTGTAGAGAAATTTACAAGAAAACTGGTCGATATTTACAACTCGGATCTTCCAATAAACCCCACTAAAAACCTACCGGAATGCAGCAGATAATACCACGAATAACGCAGCCTCCGCAAACTTCTTGTATCTTTCGTAATCGCCGGCGGATAGTTGACAATCCCCGCGGACTGCGCATTCGGCCGTCCGTTCTCGAGACTGGGCCCCGTCTTGAAGAGCTCCGACATGATTTCGTTCGTCTTCACCAACTCCGTCGCCGTTTGCATGTATTTTTGGCGGATGAGGACGGCGTTTATTGGATGACGAATTCGATAGGCGACGCGGTCTTCGATTTGAATCGGGACGCAGAGTTGTGCTGGAACGTTTCTTATACAAGTAAAAAAAATTTGAAAAAAATCAAAAATCGAAAAAAATTCACTCACCCAGTCGTCGGAACACCATCATTGGCATGGCCGAAAACAAGTTCTGCGCTTTTGTGACCATCCCGTTCTGAAAGTTGGCCAAACGCACGCCGTCCGAGATCTCGGCCGACGTCAGGCCGAACGGCGAAACCGCCAACATTTGGCAGATGATGCGGACCGTTTGCGGGTCGTACTGCTCTTCCAGTTTTTGCAGATATTGGTCGATGCGCGAGAATAAAATGGGCGACACTTCCATCAACTCTTTGGCTTGCAATCGGCCGAGAATCGGGTCGAGGGAGTCGGTTTTGTGCTGGAAGTTTGGATAAGACTTTTTTGCGGAATTTCTAGGTCTTTTAGTACAGCAAAATGTCTTCTAACGTCATCACAAATCAACACTGAGTATTAAAATTTAACTTTTACTAAAAAGAACGCAATTTTTTGAATGCGCGAGCTGCGCCCTAGGTTACTAAAACTTGCTTAAAAAGTATCGTGTAACATCGTAGGTCTTTTAGTACATTAAAATGTTATCTATCATCATCCGTGATCAACTAAAGAAGTATTAATTCAACTTTTTGTAAAAACAACGCAAATTTTGAATGCGCGAGCTGCGCCCTAGGTTACAAAAACGTGCTTAAACAGCAACGTGTAATATACCATTCTCTTCGTCTTCGAACGCTCAGTAAGATAGTGCAGTTTATTTTTACGGTACACTAATTTTTCCGCCGAAAGCAGGGCGCAGCTTGCGCTTCGAAAATCCGAAACCTCGGCAATTTTGTTAATTTGCTTTACCTAGTCAGAGCTTACTACGTATTTTTTCACCCCATATGTTCCACCCCGTATGTTCTACCCCTTAAGGGCTTGTTTCCGTTTCTGATGACTTTAACAATGTTTTTGATGACTAAACTGCCAAAAGACCTCTAAAATCTTAAAACTTCTCAACTTCAATCAAAATTCAGGCTCCTTTCAGCTCACTAATCACCAATTTTACAGACCAAAAAATTTCCACTCACCATTTGCTGTAGCATATTCATATTTTCGGGCACCACCCCATAAGCCGCCTTCATTTCGCTCTTCAGAATCTCCAAGCATTGCTCGCCCGCGATCGGCTCCAACGCCAAGAACTCCTCGGCCATGGGGAAGCAGTCGATCTGGGCGTCCGCCGAGTTCGCCGTGTAGATGATGCTCATCTTCGGCAGCAACTTCTTCAGCGGTTTTTCGATCTCACTCAAACTCCGCCCGAACTTCAGATGATTCGCGTTGTCCAGAAGCAAAAAGACCGGTTTGTCCACCTTTTCCAACAGTAATTTGGCTTGAGAGATGGTTGTGGCGAGGGTAAATGAGGCCGAGATGGGGTTGGGGTCGATTCCGGCGAGTTGGCAGAGCTGAAAATTGAAGATTTTTGCGGCAGTTTGGGCAAATTGAAAATTTGACGGGCTAGATTGGGAATAGGACCGGGTAGATGGTAATTTGACCGGGCAGATTGCCATATTGGGCATATTGGTCAAGTTGGGTGTCTACCGGGAAAATTGGCCAAATGACTGGGCAGATTGGTAATTTTGGGCAGATTGGTCATTTTGCTGGGAATATTGGTTATTTTGGCCACGTTGCCCGGCGATTGGTCATTTTGGCTATGTTACGGGCAGATTGGTCATTTTGGATATCATGCCGGGCAGATTGATCATTCTGGTTATTTTTTCGGGCAAATTGGTCATTTTTGGCAGAATGGTAATTTTGGCTATGTCGCCGGGCAAATTGGTAATTTTGGTTATGTTTCCGGGCAGATTGGTAATTTTGGTCATTTCGCCGGGCAGATTGGTTATTTTGATCATGTTTCCGGGCAGATTGGTTATTTTGATCATGTTTCCAAGCAGATTGGTCATTTTGTTCGTCTTGCCGGACAAATTGGTCATTTTGGTCATTTTGCCGGGCAAATTGGTAATTTTGGTTATGTTTCCGGGGAAATTTAGCAGCTTCACCAAACCGAGTTGCAGACCTCCCAACCCCAACTTACCGTCAAAAACGCCCCTTTGATCAGTTCGTTCGCGTACATTGAGCAGTCCGTCAGCTGTGTGAATCTCGTGATCACATAGCAACCCTGTTCCGTAAGTTGTTCATGCAGTCGCGCGATTGTCGCCGACTTCCCAGAGCCAGGTGGGCCATGGATTAACGCACAGATTGGCTTCTCCATCCCTTTTTTCGCAAACTCCGCGAGTTTCTGGTCGATTTCGGCGCGCGAAATCCATTCCTTTGCCGCAACTTGTTTCAGATAATCACTGTGCACTTTGTGATCTCTTGCCGCCATCTCCGAATCAGTCACAAGATGATTCGTATCCAGCTTTGGCATCACATTTATCCGCGTTTTTAACGCGTTGATCAGCTGAAAACATTGTTTTTTAACGCTGAAAAATCCACCTACATCCATGGTGAGCTGTCGCTCATAGACGCCGGCGTCCTTGCCGGTCAACCAACGGCTGGGATCGGTCATTTTCGTGTTCAGCACGTGTGATATGTAGGCTTCTTTGGGCAATTTTTCGGCAATTTTGTTTTTTAAATTTGTCACTTTCTCGAATCGCGGCACATCATAATCTTTCCAAATATTGTCGGCGGATTTGGCTTCCAGATCTGTAATGGAGGAAAAATTAACCATTGCAAACCAAGTGTTTTGAGGAACTGAAGTTCCGGTAAGAGCGGTCAAATAAAAATATGACCGGTCAGATTGGACAAGTTTCCCAATGTGACCAAATGAGAAATTTTTGAACATTTTTGGACCGCTAATATAAAATTTGATCGGTCAAGTTGCCCAACTTAACCGGTCAAACCGAAAAATCACTCATTTGAACAAGTCAAGATGCCCAATTTGACTGGTCAAGTTGCCCAATTTGACCGGAAATTTGCCCAATCTGTCAGGAAATTTGCCCAATCTGACCGATCAAATTGAAAAATCTCTCATTCAAAAAGTCATGTTACCTCATTTGACCGGTCAAGATGCCCAATTTGACTAGCGAAGTTGCCAAATCTGACCGGCAATTTGCCCAATCTGACCGATCAAATTGAAAAATCACTCATTCAAAAAGTCATGTTACCCCATTTGGCCGGTCAAGTTGTCCAATCTGACCGGCAATTTGCCCAATCTGACCGGCAATTTGCCCAAACCGACGACCAAGATCATTGGCAAAATTATTTGTAGCTACATGTAGTACATGTAGCACAAAAATTTCAGACTACTAAAATTCAAACCTGACCGGTAAAATTGGTCAAATGCAAAAAATTGACCGGTCAGATTCACTTCAAACTGCTCAAATTTTTCTTTCAATTCCCAAAACAAGACAATTTACCTTTGAAGCGACGTAGAACAAAAAGATGCCGACTTGGGTCCTCCATGACTTTCTGCGCAACCTTGTCGATGAAACTGGTCTGGAACTGCAGTCCCATCGACTTCTCGCCATTCCCCGATACCAGAGTGCCGTCTTCAAGAGCGCGCTGCGACGCCTTTCGCACGACCGCCGCCAGTTTGTCCATCTCGGCTCGAGGTTGACGCACATTCAGAAAATACGAACTGGACGGCTTGCTTTGGACGTAGTACTGCTCCAAAAGTTTGGCGTCTAAAGTGAGGAAAAGTTTTGTGGGTTGGGACCGAAGAGGCCCCGCAATGAAAAGGCCCCCAAAACGAAAATATAAATACAAAAAAAAATTTCATCATATAACATGTCACCCCTATTTTTTCAATCAACAATTTTTCTTGAAAAAAGAAGGCCTTTGCGCCTTTTTGGGGACCTTTTCGCCAGTGGGGGTCTTGGGAAAAATAAAAATACAAAAAAAATTTGCATCGTATAACATGTCACCCCTATATTTGCAATCAACAATTTTTCTTGAAAAAAGCGGGCCTCTTCGCCTTTTTGGGGGCTTCTTCGCCAGTGAGGGTTTTGGGGAAAATATAAATGCAAAAAATTGCATCGTATAACATGTCACCCTTATTTTTTCAATCAGCAATTTTTCAATTTTTCTTGAAAAAAGAGGGCCTCTTCGCCTTTTAGGGGGCCTCTTCGCCAGTGAGGGTTTTGGGAAAAATAAAAATACAAAAAAATTGCATCGTATAACATGTCACCCCAATTTTTTTTATCAACAATTTTTCTTGAAAAAAAGAGGGCCTCTTTGCCTTTTTGGGGGCCTTTTCGCCAGTGGGGGTCTTGGCAAATTAAAATACAAAAAAAATGCGTCGTATAACATGTCACCCCAATTTTTTCAATTTACAATTTTTTTTGGAAAAGCGGGCCTCTTCGTCTTTTTGGGGGCCTCTTAGTTTTTGGAGCCTGAGGCCTCCCCCGGTTGTGTGGCCTCTTCGCCAGTGAGAGTTGAGGGAATCGGGACGCAACCGCGCCTACCTTTACAAGCCTCCACCGCCGCCGTCCGCAAGCACCCAAACTCGGCGTTGTCGATCTCCAACGGCATCTGCGGATCGCCGTACTTGTCGCCGATAAAACACTAAAAAATATTTTCGCAGAGAATATCGCCTACAACGACGGTGGTTCGAGGCTCCTTCAACAGCCCGAGAAGATGCGAATACTCGGCCATTTGATGCGAGCTTTCGGAAATAAAGGTCGAGCACTCCAGATCCATATCATATTCGAATAAATACTGCTGCATGTCGTTGATTACGGCGCGAATTACATCGAATTCGAGGGGGAATTCTGGAAAAGTTCAAGTTTTTTTTATTTTCTCTGTAATTTTTGAAATAACGAAGCGAAAGTCGCACAAATTACATTTGCGGACTTCACAGTGATTCTATTTTTTGGGATGTAAAAATTTTGTCTTCAAAAGCCCTCCGGCAATCTGCAAACATCATATTTACGGAGGTTGCTCCAAATTAAGAAAATCGTTGGACTGACTTGGAAAAACATCGATTTAAAAAAACCTGAGGTGATTATGCGATAAAATGTAATACGCCCATAAAGTAGAGGTCCTTCGTATTTCGAAACTTTAACTTTTTTGAATTTTACTCCATTAGTTCCCAAGTTATACGCAATTCATCATGAAAAATGATGACAAAAAAGCTTTTTGCCGATAACTTTTGAAAAACCTCTTGGAAAAAGTTGATTTTTCGTACAATTACTATACACCTCATGCTTAATCAAGCCTGAGATTTTTAGTTCGAATTTCAAAAAAAAAAATTTTTTTGAAAAATCATTTTTTTTTTCCGACACAAATCGACCAAAATTGCAGTCAACAACCTCACCTTCGAAGCTCGGGAAAACGAACGCGAAATGATGCGAGCGCAGCTCCACTTCCGGCGCTGCGACGCCGTTCTCGGCCGGCGCCGAGCTGCTGGACGCCTTCTTGGCCACACTTTTCTTCTTCTCCGGCGGCTTCGGCGACTTGGCCCGACTTTTGCTACCGCCGCGGAACATGGTCGTGTAAATTTTGGCAAGATCGTCGTTGGGGTCGCCTGAAGTGTCACATGTGTCATACAGTGCGCGCCAAAATGATAGAGCCACTCAGTTTTTCTGGATTTATTCTTTTATGGTTAGGTGGGCCAAGCCGGCATAATGCATATATGCAATTACATGATGGACCCATACTATCACCACCATAACTTAGGACTAGCCATGGCGCCCAATCCAAAAAAATCAAAAAATTCGGACCTTCCCCCTCGGTCGACGCGTCAAAATGATAGAGCCACCGGATTTTTCTCCTCGGTGGTGGCAGGCGGGGATCTATTGGTACTGTAGTCTGTTAATATCACTACTGCTATTCATTGCTGATGTGAAAAGATTACTGTAACTACCGGTCATACGGTAGCTTTTGGCAACTTTAGAAAATCTTCCAAGTTTTGGCTAAAACTGACCGGAAATAAATTTTGCGATGGTTGAATCCGGGTGGAAATACTTTCAAAAAGTATTAGAAGGGCTATATTTTCTAAAGGGAATCAATATCCGTCGGGATCGCATCGACCATAAACAGAGAATGATATTATATTACTTTAGTAGATGGGCAGGTTCTATAATAATGTCAATTATGCCAATGAGGGAGCATGGAGGTAAAACCAAACTTCCTGCTAGACTGCAACACACGATGTAGAATATTTTCATTTAACCTGGAAAGGCTGTATGGTCTCGTACACCCTAGGAATAATACCACAAGAGAAGCAATTCTGGTTCTCTAGATGACTACGTCAAAGTTTCTCTGTAGTTGTTTATCATTACGTTATTATTGAGTTAATCATGCTGCGTTACGCACAAAAAGATGCGCACTAGTCGTTTCAAAGCCCGAAGCCATCATATTCTGACGCTAGTAATGCCACCAAAATGTCGGTTATTCGGGTATAAGCTTGGTATACTTCATAATACCGTTAGCAATTTGAATAAAGGAATTATTAAATTTGGTCCTGTTATAGTAATCTATGGTCCTCGTACGATTGTACCGCAAGTTCTGGAGCCGCTTCTAAGACTCATACATAAACAATTGACATTAATTTAGAACCTACCCATCTATTAACCCTTTCCGGACGAGTCGGCACGTACTGGTAAAAATGAAAGAGGGTACCCTACTGAGTAACGGCATAATAGTGGTTCAGCCCATCGAAGCGTTATTTGGGACTTAGGACAAAAAATGTCCTAAAACATACCCCCATTTGACATATCACTTTTAAAATTTTTGTGACAAGCTGTAGGTCGGAAACTACCCCTAAATTAAAGTCGAGGAGTCCTAGTACTGTTACATCCAAGAACTGTCCGAATCGGACCACTATAGGATTTGTTATCGATTTTTGGAAATTGAAATTTTAATTTTGGTCAATTTTGGACCTAAAATCAAGTATATCTTCTGTCGACATCAACCATTTCGGTCCAAATGTAGTTTTTCCAAATCTATTTTGATGCTAGCTTCTTCCTAGAATGTTTCCAGAAAAAACCTATGAGGCATATTTCGGTAAAACGCAAAAATGTTGAAAATGTAAAGGTTTCATCGTATAAAATGTCGTTGCAAGCCGAGAAGGGTCGGGCGCAACTCGAATCGAGAAAATAATAATTTTTTCTTTGATAAATATTATTTTAATGTCAAAAAGATGATTCAACACGAAATACAGACAGGAATAGCACACAAACATTACCTAAATGTCATTTTTATATTTTTACTCTGTTTTCAGGCAATTTTCATGGATTTTAATTTGGTTTCACACTAAAACAATATTTATCAAAGAAAAAATTATTATTTTCTCGATTCGAGCTGCGCCCGACCCTTCTCGGCTTGCAACGACATTTTATACGATGAAACCTTTACATTTTCAACATTTTTGCGTTTTACCGAAATATGCCTCATAGGTTTTTTCTGGAAACATTCTAGGAAGAAGCTAGCATCAAAATAGATTTGGAAAAACTACATTTGGACCGAAATGGTTGATGTCGACAGAAGATATACTTGATTTTAGGTCCAAAATTGACCAAAATTAAAATTTCAATTTCCAAAAATCGATAACAAATCCTATAGTGGTCCGATTCGGACAGTTCTTGGATGTAACAGTACTAGGACTCCTCGACTTTAATTTAGGGGTAGTTTCCGACCTACAGCTTGTCACAAAAATTTTAAAAGTGATATGTCAAATGGGGGTATGTTTTAGGACATTTTTTGTCCTAAGTCCCAAATAACGCTTCGATGGGCTGAACCACTATTATGCCGTTACTCAGTAGGGTACCCTCTTTCATTTTTACCAGTACGTGCCGACTCGTCCGGAAAGGGTTAATAGATGGGTAGGTTCTAAATTAATGTCAATTGTTTATGTATGAGTCTTAGAAGCGGCTCCAGAACTTGCGGTACAATCGTACGAGGACCATAGATTACTATAACAGGACCAAATTTAATAATTCCTTTATTCAAATTGCTAACGGTATTATGAAGTATACCAAGCTTATACCCGAATAACCGACATTTTGGTGGCATTACTAGCGTCAGAATATGATGGCTTCGGGCTTTGAAACGACTAGTGCGCATCTTTTTGTGCGTAACGCAGCATGATTAACTCAATAATAACGTAATGATAAACAACTACAGAGAAACTTTGACGTAGTCATCTAGAGAACCAGAATTGCTTCTCTTGTGGTATTATTCCTAGGGTGTACGAGACCATACAGCCTTTCCAGGTTAAATGAAAATATTCTACATCGTGTGTTGCAGTCTAGCAGGAAGTTTGGTTTTACCTCCATGCTCCCTCATTGGCATAATTGACATTATTATAGAACCTGCCCATCTACTAAAGTAATATAATATCATTCTCTGTTTATGGTCGATGCGATCCCGACGGATATTGATTCCCTTTAGAAAATATAGCCCTTCTAATACTTTTTGAAAGTATTTCCACCCGGATTCAACCATCGCAAAATTTATTTCCGGTCAGTTTTAGCCAAAACTTGGAAGATTTTCTAAAGTTGCCAAAAGCTACCGTATGACCGGTAGTTACAGTAATCTTTTCACATCAGCAATGAATAGCAGTAGTGATATTAACAGACTACAGTACCAATAGATCCCCGCCTGCCACCACCGAGGAGAAAAATCCGGTGGCTCTATCATTTTGACGCGTCGACCGAGGGGGAAGGTCCGAATTTTTTGATTTTTTTGGATTGGGCGCCATGGCTAGTCCTAAGTTATGGTGGTGATAGTATGGGTCCATCATGTAATTGCATATATGCATTATGCCGGCTTGGCCCACCTAACCATAAAAGAATAAATCCAGAAAAACTGAGTGGCTCTATCATTTTGGCGCGCACTGTATTATGGATAAATTAGTGTTAATTGGGGAAGAGTAGGCGCGGTAAAAACTGGGAAAAAGAAAAAAAATTTTCGAAAATATGGTAAGGGGGCACCAAGGTGAATTTTTAGAAGTTGATAAAAAAATTTTTTTTTGATTTTGGCAATAAAAATTTTACATTTTAGTGGATCTAGTTCAATGTTTCTACAAAAAAAATTTTCTGCGGACAATCCATAAAGATACGGCCAAAAAAAACTGATTTTCCGATCGCTCTGCAGCCAGACAGCATCAAAAAACAATTTTTTCTCTGACCGCTCTCCGCACTCCACGTACTCTCTCGTCCGCAAAAAATGTCGAAAATCTCGGCTCAGACTGCAGAGCGCAAGCTAAGATTTTTAGGCATTGATATGTGTCCTGGACATAATATATACGCAAAATTTTAAGCAAGTCTGAGAATCCTCCCCCTCCCCGTTAAAAATGAAAATAACGACCTTTAAATTGAAAAATCCTGGCCCACGCTTCGTCCAAGGTAATTCGACACCGTTTCCCGGCCTATTAGGAAAGCCTTATTTTAGTCACCAATTAATTGCGGTTTCGTATTTCGCATCGAAATCGTATGTCAACCACGCAAAAAGGAAGTTTTTTATATTTATAAAGACAACCGGAGAAAAAGTGGAGACAAGGGGCGATTAGAACTAGGAAAAAGTAAAATTATCGGTTCTCGGTAAGCATAACATACGGATTATCAGTGAGAATGAGGCACTTGTATTGCAAAAACAAGAGTTTGTAGTCAACCAAGTGCTGCGGGTAAGCGGCTCAGAGTTTCCTTAAATTTTGCCTCCATTTTGACATGGATCTGGGGCCGAGCCGGGTGGCCGACCGGACCGTAAGTACGAAGTGTAAGTATTATTTGTTTGTTATGCAATGAATAATAAATTTTTAAAACAAAAAATAACCAACATTTGCCCCCGCAGCCACGTCCACTTTAGACACAGGCCACATACCAATTCCTGAAAATTCTAGATCGCGCTTTGCAGAGACAGCCGAGATATTCAACAATCTTTGGGAGGCTCATATCTCATTCAACATACAGGGGAAGTACTGCAAGTGCGACGCTCAGATTTATTGAAACTTTTGATCAGATTTAGTGAAATTGCGACAAATTTGGAATGATTTTTTCGAAGGCTTCTATTGCCCGCGAAAAAAAACGGTTGAGATTTATAACTGGAAAGCCGGCAAAATTTTTGATACAATAAATTTTATGCCCTGCACAAATTTAGACTGACTTTGTAAGAAAATGCGAAAATCATAGCTCGCGTTTTGCAAAAAGAAGCGAATTTTTTTGGGTAGAAAGTTTGCGAAAATGACTTTTTTGCGAGTTATTGTAGAAAAAGTTTCGTGCCTATTTCTACCGTAAAGAGTAACATTTCCACAGAAAATCATTTTTTTCCCCGCGAAACTGACAAAGATATGACTGAAAAGCGTCTTTTCTCTCGCCGTCCTCCGCTTTCCACGTATTCTCTCGGTCACAAAGGCAGTTGAATCTCTCGGCTGCCACTGCAAAGCGTGAGCTGAAATTTTCAGGACTTGATGTGTGACCTACACACGATACGTATGCAAAATTTAAAGAAAGTCTGAGCGTCAAACATTGAGCACCTTCCTTGCGAA